GTCATGCTGTTTAGGCAAAGATGACTGATTTTCTCATGCTACTTTAGCAGCTCGAGCTCTAACCCCAAACAGGCTTACAATCGGCCTCACTTGCCTGCTCTGCAACACACGTATTTCGCGCTATGCATTTTATGCATCACAAATTATTTCAACTTTGGCGATTTCAAACCTGACGCTTCCATACCGACCTGCAGCAGCGTCGTGGAATTCTGCGCATTCGCCTTCACGGTGGGGGAAAGGAGCGCCTCGTCCAGATCGCTGTCGAAGACAATTTTCGGCCCACCATGCGCGTCCTGGCCGCCGGGTTCGCTGCTCTTGACTGTAACCTCCAGAGCCGCAAAGTTCTCCAACGGGGCCGTGTATTCGGCCCAGGAGATTGTGGGACGGAAGTACTGAAACAGGCCCGCGCCCTAGTCCGGAATGCTGCTGCTCGTCGGTTGGTGTCCTTGAGTTTTCTCGTCATGCGTTTCATCTTCTGCACTAGCACTACTTCGCCCCTCGCGCTGCAGAAGGTCTGCCCGTGTGACGACCGGTTGAGCGGTGAAGAGGGTGAGCGGGAGGCTCGTCGTTGGGAGCAGAAGGAGCGACGATTTCATCATGGTCTTGGTTTTCTATTTTTTGATGGTTATGGTTTTATATTGTGAACAAGAACAGTTTCTCTTCTTGATATCGTCGGGCTAAAACGTCTTCGCAACTACCGACGTCGGTCCATTGTCTACGCGTCACCTGCGAAAGCAGACATAATGCACTCGTATCCGAAATCGAAAGGTCAGCGAATATTGCTGCATTTGCTAAAGCAGATTGCTTCTTCCGAGAAGGGGCAACGGCAAGGAACGAAGAAATATATCGAAGGCAGAAGTTCTAATCCCGATTTCTCATTCTCAGTCTCACGCACGCTCTACCGCGTTCCACGTGGAACCCCGGAATTTCTTCTTCGATTCTGAGCAGAGGACTTTGAAGAAAACGCGGTCACGCAGGTACTTCTGCTGCGACAAAAAATTCACGTTTGCCTGAGCTCCGACTCTGGTAAAAAATGCGAGCAAGTAAGAAATAGAATGTTCTAAGACACGAGAACAAAAACGAGTACTACTTAGGCTTAGCAACTATTCAACATTATATCCTGCCCTGGGGTTTCTTTCTTCGATAGGCACGGCCTGGTCGATTGTTCTTCTTCATGGAGGAAAGACACAATCAAAGTCCCTCCTCGAACTCGATCTTGTTCCTGCATGATAGAAACACAAACCACTCTTCAATAAACAGCAAGAAGAGGAGACAAGTTCGAGGACTATATCGTTTTCGAGCTCATCATCCTAGTGGTAGTACCAACATCTACTAGAGACAACACTTGCTGTACCACTTTTGAGAACAAGAAGCATCAATCTATGGACCTTAGACAAGTGTCAGCGCGACCACTCTGACATCTTGTTGGCCCACACTGTGAGTACTAGCGACCAAAACGACCTCGGCATCAACATCCTCGGCAGAAGCGATTTGTGAAGACCGTGCAACTTTTTCGGCGAACGCGGCATCACGATCTGCAGTAGCCCGAGGAAGACTACCTCCGCGGTTTTTTTTTCTCTACTTCCCCAGTGACGCAGCTGTTTTCAAAAGAAAGCACTGTCGTTAACATTACGGGGCCTGGACGATTTTGTTTTCGATTTCTACGTACACACAAGGACTACAACTACTACAAGAAGCAGGGCATTAAGTTCATTTTTACAACAAGAAAGAGCTCCGGAAGGAAAAAGCTAGCAGCAAATTGTTTCGAACTAAACCAACGTAAAAGCGGCGTATTCGTGTTGTGAAGGAGGATTATAGTACGCGCGGCGAAGATTTTTTGAACTACACTTTTTACAACGATCGCAAGTAGAACACCAACCGGCAAGTATCAACCGGCAGGATGTCTGTGATCGAGCAGAACAACCCGCCGGATGATCTCCCGAGCGACTTGGAGGAAAGCGAGGTATGGAAAAAATTTGCCGTTTGTCATTCATGTTTTCAATACACGTGCGGTGCTGTAGTTTGTGTTTGTCATGCATATTTTCAAGAGAAAAATAAAACTATAGGTAGCGCATCTTCAATCACAAATTACAACCCGACATATTTATCACAGGAGCCGTACTTCGGTGGTGACGAGATTGTGGTCGAGGAAAACAACCAGCAGGACGAGGAAGTTCTTCTTTTTCCTCCATGTGGAGGAGGAAAAAGAAGAAAACGAAGAAGAAAAACAGGAAGGGACTGCCACCAGGGGTGGATGGAGGGGAAAATAATCATCAAGATGGTGGAGGACATCAAGTTGTCCAACCACATCACAAAGGCGACAAGAACAGCTCCTACTATGACAAAAACAAAGGCAGCTACAAAGGAGGCAAACCTGGTGTCAACAGCAAGAACGGTACTGTGTATCACGATGGTGGAAAAGGTAAATATGGTGGTCACAAGAACGGACCGCCTCCTGTTCCCGAGAGCAAAGGGTATAGTATCGGGAAATCACCGTCTGGCACGGTTTATTTAAACAAGAACAACCAGTTCGGGTTCGGCCCAACCGGAGGACATGGAGGACATCAGCATCCACCAAGTAACGACAAAAACCACCAACACCATCCCCCGGGTGGGAAACCAACGACCCAATCCGTCAACATGGGCGGCACCTTTCGCATGAAAGACACGGGCTACGGGCCGATTAAGGGGCCAGCAGCGCCGTCCGGAGGCCCTCCGCCAAAGGGAAGCGGGCCGTATGGCCAGTTCTCGGCCGTGAAGGGCGCACCAGCTGGAGGACATCATCATCAACACCCTCCGCCACACCAGCCGCCCGTGCACCACCAGTCCGCCCAACTTATCGTGCCAAAAGGAGCTCCTCCACCCCCGGGGCCCCCAGCGGAAAAGGGTGGAAAGAGCACTGGTGTGCACCAACAGCAAGCCCCGAAAGGCGCAGGTGGAACCTACCGCGCGCCTGCAGCGGTGCAGGAGGCGCACAAAGGGACGAGTGGTGGCACTGCGAAGGAGCATGGCGGGAAAGGTGGAAAGAAGGATGGCTCTTACAGTGGGAAGCACGGGTCTTCGTCGGGAAAGCCGGATCAGCATCATGGAAAACAACAAGATTATGCACCTCATCAGCCACCACCGCATCAAGGCGCGAACGCTCCTGCTCCACCGCAACATCATCCTGTGAGGAAAGACACAATCAAAGTCCCTCCTCGATCTTGTTCCTGCTATTGTAGTCGTGCAAGAACCCCGGGTGTAGCTGCGGCGCCCCAGAAGTTAGTATCCTTGAATTTTTCATCAATTCGCGTCTTCTTCCTCCTCACAGTCCAGACTCGCCAGCCCGGGCAGTCGCACCTTTCCCGTTTCGAAGGACTCGGCCGCCGGTGTGATGGCGGTGCGCCGGTAGAAGTCGTGCTCGGCGCGGTACAGCGATATGGCATTCTCAACTGATACTACGTTCTCAACTGTTACACGGAATTGTCATGCAAAATTGCCATCACCCTCCACTTGATCAAGGTGTGCTTAACATGCCAAATTTTCGAAGGGCTAAACAGCATCACAATCTGTGGAAAATCTGTAATGCGAAAGCTGCAATCTTGCCACTTTCACATTTCATTCACTGTTGCTGTTCTTGCATTACAAATAAAATCCATGTAACAGTTGAGATGAATGTAACGTTTGAGAACTACGCCATAAGCGAGTGCCAATCGTTTTGCAAAGCCCCCGTCCCCCAGGGCTCCGGTTCCTTGTAGCTGTCCAACTGCAGCTGCCCCGTCACGGTACGGCCCGCTCGGTGTTGATGTTGTTCCAGGTCCTGCGTATCCATCTGTTCGAGATGAAACGCTTCAACATCGTCGTGCTCCTGCTCCTGTCCTGCGCCGGCTACGATTTCTACCGTGCCGCGGGGTTGCACCGGCCGTCCGTGCTCAGTGTCTGTGTCGCTGTTGTTCTTTTCTTTTCCTGCTGACGTCCTCTGCATCTTCATTTTGTAGGTCTCCGCTTCTGTAGAGCGAGAGAGGTCGGAAAGAGTGGACCGCGAGTCACCTGACATGGCAGTGTCAGCTATTAAGAGGAAAAATACCCCCTCCCCATATCGAAGAGGTATGTTTCCGGAAATTTGCGTTGCTGATTTGAGACCTCAAATCCCGTCTGTCTTGCAAGAAGGCAACTCCACAAGCTCCGCAGCATTGTGCAGGCGGTTTGTGATGCTGATGGGCCTACAGCACGGAAGTTTCTCATGCTAGACGCCTAGGCCAGAACCTCTCTACTTAGGCTTAGTACGGGGCTGCATTCCTCTCCAGCAAGACAAATCTTATTTGTGTACGCAAATCCTGCATCAGAAACTTCCTTTTGATATGGGGAGGGGGGATTTTTCCTTTTGATATCAGCACCGTCCTCTTCATCTGCTTCTGCTCCTTCTTGTTCTCGACGAGCGGCGATCTCTCGAAGGGAAAAGTCTTCTTCTTTTCCCGGTAGTACTCTTGCACTTGCTGTGTTGGTTGTTCGCTGACCAAGAAGATCTAGATCATCTTTAGCTTTCGTTCCATCTTCGTACAAGAACTTGTCCTTCGTAGTGCCGGCTGCGAAGAAGCTTTCGTCACTGGCGGTCATCATACCGGTCTGCCCGCTGCGTTTGAAGAAGCGCGCTTTATAATTCTCTCCTGCTTTATTCCTGCCTGTTCTTTCCTCCGCTTGGGTCCTCCCTTGATGTTGACTCACGAGTTATCCTGAGTAAAAACGTACCCACACCAGAGTCAAGATGGCAAATCTGCTAGACAAATCAGCCAGCTTTGGTCGTTTGGCATGACAAGTTCGTCTTCGTAGTGTAATCCTGTTTAGGTAGTTCAGCAGCATCACAGATCTAGTATATCATGCTGATTGTAGCATCACAAATTCCAAAACACGACTAGACAATGCCTCTCATGGCGCTCCGCATGACAAACCTTTTTGGCATGCAGGTTTGCATGACAACTCTGGTGTGGGTACGTTTTTACTCAGGATACGAGTTGTTGTACTATCGCTGACTGAAGAACTGGTGGACGTGAGGCTTCATCTCCCATCGAAGCCCCCCGGTCGTGACGTATCAAAAGGAGAAATCCCCCCTCCCCATATCGAAAACGAAACCTGTGATGCTGTATTTGAGTACACAAATCGACTTGTAATGCTAGAAGGCCAAGAGACGCAGCTGTGGCCTCAGTTGCAGGCAATTTGTCATGCTGTTTCCCACTTTTAGTTGTTTTTTGTTATGTTGAAGACGCAAAGGTTTATTCCCACGCCAACCAGCACTACAGTCCACATCTTTTCCCTTCTAGCATGACAAAGCTGATTTGTGACCACAAATCTGCATCACAAATTTCTAGTTTGAGTATGGGGTGGGGGGATTTTTCATTTTGATATGACGAGTATCATGATCATCTCCGGCGTACAACTTGACAGCGGCCTCGATCCGCTCCAGGTCCTTGGCGCCGCAACACCGGTTCTTGAAGTACTGGTATTTATTTCTGTTCACCGCGGCGCGGCTCGGCGCCATTTCGTACAAGTCCACATGCTTGCAATGTGCCGCCATCAGGACCACCGCACGGAACCCCGTAGTGGTTGCGAGGCTCGGTAGTCCCGGGAGTCGCAGACCACCCGCAGCAGGAGAAAGTGATGTTGAAGCAGGCTGTTTGATTGTTTTATTCATCGAAGTTGTTGTCCCAGTTGTAGACAACGCCACTGTTGCTGTTGTACTATTTGTAGTTGTAGTACCTCCACCTGTTGCACTAGTAAACCCACGACCACCTCGCGTCCCTCCTTCCGGTACAGGAGCAGCTGGATACATGGCGGCGAGCAACGCAGAAAGCTCGGGATCTATGTTTCGGGTGACGCCATGCCCGAGATTCGCAAAGGCCTTCAGGGTGATGTTGTTCCTGGCGCATCGGGGCACGAGCTGTTCTGTTTCCTTTGGATCCAACATTTCGACGTAAATTGCCTTACTTGTTTTCCCATAATTGTCTTTGCTTGTTTCCTGCAAAACTGCCTGTACGCGCTTGTTGTAGTCCTGATGTGAGGACGAGAGGACGCTGGTCGTGGTTGCCGCAGGTTGTGGAGAGGTGCGCGATGGAGGAACATTTTTACCCTCCGCAGCTCTACTTCCTTGTTGCACAACCTCCATCGCCGACGACCACGGGGAAGAAATCGACCAAGGAAATAAAACACCCCCTTCCACGTCGTCCCTTGCCTTGCTTGTAGGTGTACTGTGACCCTTCTCATCTATTGCAACGAAAAATCCCCCCTCCCCATATCAAAACGAAATTTCTGATGCTGGATTTGTGTACACGAATCAGCTTTGTATTGCAGGAAGGCACTGCGGCCAGATCCCCAGGCTAGGCAGGGGTGTATGGGTCTAGTTGTTCAGCATGGCAAACGACTCCCCTTTAAGCCCGACAGCATGACAAATCGCTTCCATAATGGGGCCGAAGCTTCTGCCCTTTTCGTCTTGCAAGACACGTGTGATTTGTGACCTCAAATCAGCAACACAAATTTTCGAAAACATAGCTTTTCAATATGGGGAGGGGAAATTTTTCATTTTGATATCATCAGAAAAGTCTTCTTCGGCGTCGTGGGTGTAAAACTGTGACGAAGGAGGTCGTGGTATCCTGAGTAAAAAGGTACCCACACCAGAGTTGTAATGCAGATTTGCAAAGACAGGAAGACCTGTAATGCGCATCCACATGAGAGCCATTTCCAATCGTCTTTTGGAATTTGTAATGCTGTAAACAGGATGAGCAGATGGATTTCTGATGCAGCTGGCCTTGCGAACCTGCACTACACTACGGACTGCAACTTGTGATGCGTGACTCACAAAACTCCTAGGTTTGTGTTGCAAAATCCCCATCTTGACTCTGGTGTGGGTACGTTTTTACTCAGGATACGTGGGGTGGACGAACCAGTTGGAGCGACGGTTGAAGATGACGGTCGTGGAAGACCATGCTCGGTCAGAATTATTTTCTCGTGCTGCCCTTGCCCGACCTCCGCACCATCTTTTTCCTCGGACTTGGAGGTCGTTGTGTTTGTTGCAAGAATCTTGTTCCCCTCCTGCTCATCTGCCCCAACATCTTTGCTGTCGCCGTTATTTTCAGCATCAGCATCAGGGCGCAGAAGGACCTCCGGCTTTTGCTGCGCCAGCCGCAGTTTTCGCGTGGCCTGCAAGCGGTCCCACTCCCAGGCGACGGACCCCCTGCGCAGGTAGTGCGCTTGTTGCAGCGCCTCCGGTCCCGCGCAAATCTCCTGCAGAACGTCCTTGATGCCGACATACACGTCCTGTTTTCCCCCCACGTGCTTTTCCCACCCGTCGGTCGGCGCGCTGTTCATGCGCACGACAAAGTATCAAATGCAAAACTCTCTGGGTCTGGAAGGTTGTAACTTGTGATGCTGTCTTCGGATTCGAAAAAAAACTGTATTGCATGCCCTGCAAGAAGAGTCCAGTCTGTGCTACGCGGGGAGGGCATTTCTCATGCGGAAGCGGCATCAGGAAGCCCTCTCAAAATCTGTGATGCTAGACCATGCATTACAGACCTCATCGATCATGGAAAACGTGCATGACAAATCTTCCACTCTTCCAGACCCAGTCCCAGACTACATATTTGCATTCGATACAAAGTCGTGCTGGTCAATCTCGGCGCCGTACTCGTGATTCAGCAGTGCCCCGGAGTTCGACACGACCGCGCACGTCTTGTCGGTAAGCGGCGGCACAAGCTCCTTCGTCTGCCCCTCGTCGTAGTGCCGCAGCGAGGCGGGCGTTTTGACCCACTTCGCGTGGGGCCCAAACTCCACGTGCTTCCGCAGCAGGCAGAGCATCTTCTTCCCTTCCGGCGACGGCGCGTGGCCATCGCCGCCGGTGGCGTCCCGGCTGCCGTCGATCGCGAAACCAGCCAGATCAAGAACTATCCTGAGTAACAACGTACCCACACCAGAGTTGTAATGCAGATTTGTAAAGACAGGAAGACTTGTAATGCGCATCCCCATGAGAGCCATTTCCAATTGTGTTTTGGAATTTGTGATGCTGTGAACAGGATGAGCAGATGAATCTGTGATGCGGCTGCACTTGCTAACCTGCACTACACTGCATAGTGCAACTTGTCATGTGTGACTCCTAAAACTCCCAGGTTTGTGTTGCAAAGTCCTCATCTTGACTCTGGTGTGGGTACGTTTTTACTCAGGATAGTTGGAACATCATTTCTATCGGCTGCACCTAGAGACAAAAGTTCCTGCCGTGTGGCGTTCGATCGTTCTGGAGATGATGATGATGATGATGTGGGCGGAGAACCACTGGCGGCGCGATGCTGGCCCGTGCGTTGTATGAGCTCTATGCGCCCGTCGTCCTCTAGGGACGCTTTTACGGCCGCGTCATCCGATGGAGCGGTATCTATCGGAGGCGGTGCACTATCACGGCCGCGAAGTAAAGCGTTGACAGCACACAGGAAAGATGGCTCGTGCTGCTGAAATAAAGCGACACAAATACAGGCCATGATCCACGCGCTGCGGGCCGTCATGATCCACGCGCCGCGGGCGCTCCACCGCCGGGAACGAAACCGATCTTTTCGCATCATCTTGGTGTAGTTCGTTTTTAGTTCTAGACCATCGCGTTGCAATCGCGGTAAACACCCATAAATGCGACACGTCTGATGATCGAAGAGAAATATACCACAAGCCACACAGAGGAGCTACCGAATAGTTGCTTCACAACGACCAGCACTCACGGACCGGTGCCCCACGCTGCGATCAATTTTGACAAATAGAACTTTGACACAGAACTTTGACACGGACACCACGAAGCGTTCGTCTTTTTCCACTCACACTCAATATCGATTCTCAGCTTTCCGATGAACCTGCGAATGCGATTCCGATTGCCGGGCCCCTCATAAGAAAGTAGTACCTTCTCTCACTACAAGAACGAAGTCACTTGAGCAAGCTCGTCATGCTCATGGTTCGCAAAGTTGCTCATTTTGTCACGATGTGAATCTCAATCGCCATAAACAATGGATACTGGTAGATGTCGTCGTGTCGCTTGCTTTGCCTTTATCGGAACAAAAGGGATACTGATACTGAAATCCTTAAATTCCCTACAGTTTCTCGTCAAGTTGAAATGGGGTTCTTGAGTCCCAGCGCCTCTAACTCTTGTTGGAACCGGCTTGGCAAGGGCGCTTCAATGGATATCGGAAATCGGGGGTCGTTCTCGTTGTCAACAAGCAAGTGGTCACCCGGTGAAGATGTCAACGGATCATTTTGATTTTCCGAGGAACTGTTGTCACCCGATGCAGGAAAAGTTCTAGTCGTCCCGAGATCCAGTTTCCATGCGTGCAAGAAAAACTGCTTGGAAGTTTGGCCAGCTACGCTCGGAAAACTATCGCTCTCGGCTTCGCGGTCCGGATAATTCTCCACATTGCTACTTCCAGAATGAGCTGCTACTTCTTGTTTTTGATCCTGCTGTTCCAAGGGGGTCTCGCTAGTCCTCAACCCGGCGACGACATGATCCTGGACGCCGGTGGAACAACCAACTTTCTCCGTCGAGCCCGCTTGGTACTCGCGATCATGCAGTAAAGGCATACCCAGCCGCGCGCAGTGTCTGCGGATTTGGTGCGTGCGCCCGCCTTGGAGTAGCTCGCAGCACACCAGGGCGTAGTTGTAGAAAGAGCCTGGTTCCTCTTGTATTGCGTCGTTCTTGTTGTCATTCTCTTGGTCATGTTCTCTATTGTTTCCTGTCCGACGAGGAAAAACTACTTGGTCCAGCACCTCCACTCCCGTTACCGCTGCCTTCCCATCCAGGGGCTCGGAAATCTTCACGAAGAAGTGCTTTTCCTTTTTCTCCACCAGCAGCAGCTCCTCAGACACAATTCTGACAATCGCCAAGTACCGCTTTCTCGTGCGTCCGGCCCAAAACTCCTGGTTCCCAAATTGCTTGGCCGCTTCGCCGTGCTTCGCAAACAGCAGGACCCCCGATGTGTGCACGTCCAGCCGGTGCAGCGGACTGGGGACGGTGGGTAGAACTGTCGTGGTCTTGTTGTTACCCAGCACAGCTTCTTCTCGGTGTTGCGATTCTACAACTCCCGTTGTGCAGCTCGGCTCCATGATTTTCGACACATCATCCCCTGTCGTCCTCTTCCAGCAAGAGAGCTCCCTTGTCACGTACGCCAGCATCTCGTTCTGACAGCTGTCGGTGGACGCTAGTCGGTGGAAGGGCGTCACCCGCTTGCCCGAAGGCTTGTTCATACACAGGAGCTGTGTGTCCTCGTACAAGATCGTGTTTTGGCAGTATTCACGGTAGTCTCCCTCCTCTCAAATGCAAAAGTGTCTGGGTCTGGGAGGATGGAACTTGTGATGCTAACTTCGGACTCTAAGAAATTCTGTATTGCATGACCACCAAGAGGATTCTAGTTTGTGCTACGCGGGGAGGGCGTTTGTCATGCGGAGTAGGCATCAGGAAGCCCTCTAGAAATCTGTGATGCTAGGTCGCGCATTACGGACGTCCTGGGTCATGCAAAACATGCATGACAAGTCTCAGAATCTTCCAGACCCAGACATTTTTACATTTGATACCTCCTGCATATCGACCACGTCGCAAGCCACCTGGATCGGGATTTTGCGCAACCTATCAAATGTAAAAATGTCTGGGTCTGGAAGAATGGGACTTGTCATGCTAAATCTGAAGCATGCAAAAATCTGTGTTGCATGATTACCAAAAGTCGTCCAGTTTTGACCAAGTCGGGAGGGAGTTTCTCATGCAGGAGAGGCATGAGAGAGATCACGCAGAATCTGTCATGCTAGGTCCTGCATTCCAGACCTCACGGGTCATGGAAAAGCTGCATGACAAATCGCGCATTCTTCCAGACCCAGACATTTTTACATTTCATACAACCCGGTGCGGATCGACTCCAGGACCACTTGTCTCGTGATTTTTTTCCGTTTTTTTCTCTTGTTCTCCGTTTGTTCCGGCGCCTGCACCTGGTGTACTTCATCATATTCGGAAGTAGTAGGTCGTCCGTTCAAAATATGTCCACATGCGGTCTTGCTCCCATGTTCGCGGTAGTTCCACAGCTCGGCGATCTCATCAGGGTCTTCCAGCCGGTGCTCTTGTACTCCCCCACTGCCGCTGGTAATGTTCTTCTTCTTCTTGTTCGGGGTAAAAAATTTTTCGTAGTCATCTTCATCTCCAAAAGAAATGATCTTCGTCATCTCCCACAAGCCTAGGCTCACAGAGATGCAGAAGAGCTCCAGGTCTGAAAGGTGGGCTCTGTGCGCTTCCAAACTCCGCAGCATGCGCTGTCTCAACACAGTTCTGTCCAGAAAACCGCTGTGGGGCGCGTTTTTCTGTTGTCTGTGCAGCTGCTGCTGGGTCGTGGGCGGTCGTGTGCAAGCAGTAGAAGTTCGTGTTCTCGAGGTTGGCGGCTTTGTACCAAGCGGGGGGGATGGTACGAGCGTATTCCCAGCCACCAAGAGCGGATCAGGCACGTAGTCTGGAGAAACGAAGGGCATGATTTTTATATTTTTGTCAAGCGGGGATCAATGGGGTCGCGGGGCGGGGGGGGGGGGGATGAGTAAAAAGCCCCACCTCTACTTCAAAGATGGGGACAAAACCACGTGCGGGGGTACATTTACGTTTGTCTTCTTCCCTGGTTCTACTTCGAATTCGAATTCGAAAAATGATCCAGTACAAAATGCCAACAGAGTGAAGATAAAACTTGCTTGCTACGTAAACTGGAGGGGGAGGAAACGAACGCTGCCTGCGGAGTAGATGTAATTCACGAAGAAGAATTTGACGGCACACACAGGAAACACCGATGTTGAACAGATTCTCGGACAACATAATTTGAACGGCCGCTACATTCATTTTGCTGAGCTAGATCTTCTTTTAATCAGCTGCACGAGGATGACATCGAGATCGAAGTACAAGTACTTATTTAGCTTCGGAAAATAAGAACCTATACCTGATTGATGATGACAATGGAGCGACAATTTCGTCTGTGATCGAACTCGAAGAAGGTACAAGAAGACCTGGACGAATTGTTCCAACCCGATGCATTTTTTTTTTTTGATCAGAGAACCGGGCGGCGGTTCTTCCATTTGATCTGAGCACCGATTTATCGTACCGTATTCCACTTCCACAACCACATTGTCATTCGTGGAGCCGATCCATTAGCTAATCCCCCTCGTGAAATAATTTCGCATCGACAGGAAAACAACTAACGCAACGCGGCTGAAGAACGCTCTCTCGCGCGTGCCGTGATCAACACTGTGTGCTAATACAGGCTTCCTCTAAGTAGTCACTGAATCGCCTTTGAAGAAAGTGCGGTTCGTGATGTCCAGTTTAATTTTTTCCGGTACAAAAAAGTCGATATGGAGATGACCGGTCGTACTCGCTTTGGTTTTTAGAGATGAGCAGAGACAGAATGGTCTGTTGTTACAAAGAACGAGCCTGTTTTCTTGCACCGCTCAGAATGGAATTTTGATTTTCCAACAATGCAGCTGATGCTGCCCCAAAATAAATGCACGCTCTACCATTTCTTCCAACTCTGTCCCTGCGGCGCGTCTGGGCGGTCTTTTCCCTCGTAATCTGCTTTCCCCACCTCGTCCCAATTTGTCGAAAGCACGGTGCCCCCACTGGTCTGGAACGATTTTACCTGATAAAAAAGAAAGCAATTTGCTCAAGTACATAAAAGCCCGTCGCTGAGGTGCGGTTTAATTTTTGAAATCAAACCGTTTATGGAACACCAAATTTTTATTTTCCTAGTAACATCATAGTACACCATGCCCTGTACCATCGCTCTTCTTGTTTCGTCGGTTGCATTACCGTAAATTTCCTTAAACAATTTGTTCAGAGCCTCGTCGTATCAAGTGCAAACATGTCTGGGTCTGGAAGTAGATAAGTAATTGCAGGACTTTGTAATGCTCTGCTGACAGGAAAGAAAGATCTGTCATGCATGTTGCGCTACCAACAAGCTATTTTTTTTTGTGAACGCAGTTTCTCATGCAGTTTACGCAAGATGACCTAGTCCTCGCTCAGAAACTTGTCATGCCTGTCCCCATATTGGAGGTTGCTGGTGTTTCGCAAACTGCCATCACAAGTTTATTCCAGACACACACATATTTGCATGGCATACGTCGCCCTGCGGTTTCTCGTCCTCGTCGTCGTCCACGGTGGTCACCCACTTGTTCTTATCGCGAGGAACCGCCCCCCTTCCCCATATTGACGCGGTACGTTTCCGAGAATTTGTGTTGCTGATCTGTGGCCACAAATCGCGCCTGTCTTGCGAGCAGGCAACCCCACAGGCTCCGCGGCATTATGCAGGCGGTTTGCGATGCTGTTGGGCCTACAGCACAGACGTTTTTCATCGACTAAGCGCCTAGGCCAAAACCTCACTACTGGGCCTTGATATTTGCCTGCAAGTCCTCTCCAGCAAGACAAAGCTGATTTGTGTACGCATATCCAGCATCAGAAACTTCGTTTTTATATGGGGAAGGGCCGGAATTTTCCTCTTGATAGTTCTTTTTCGCATTGGAGGTCGGATACGCCAACGGTTTGTCGTTCACCTGCTTAGCCTCCGGCGTCAGCCCGCTCCACTGCAGCCCCGGGACGGCTTTCTTCAGTTTCAACTCGATCTTAACCTGTGGGGGTTGTTCGGGGGAAGAGATGAGAAAGGTTCCGGTTCTTTCACGAGAACGACGGAAAAAAAAAAGGAAATAAAGCAGGCTACATCATTGCATTGTGAAAAACAGCAACAGTTTATATTCGATTGATAGAGTACAGACAAACAGAAAAATCACAAAGCATGCATTGAGATGGAACAAGCACGAAGCATGAGGAAAAACCCAACGTAAGTAAATACGCTCCCATGGTCCACCACGCATTCCTCTGGTACGATCTCGGTGAAGAGCTGCACCGCCAGGGTTCTTTCGAACAGTTTTTCCTTTTCAAACATCGCATCTGACTCCACCCGCAGGTTTTCCACTACAAACCGATTCTCCTCAAAACTCACCCTGATTTGGTCCTTCTATCCTGTGTAAAAACGTCCCTTTTCAAGAGTTGTCATGCCAATGTGCAATGACAGGACCATTTGTAATGCGCATCTCCTTGAGAGCCACTTCCAGTCGAGTTTTGGAATTTGGAATGCTGTAAACAGGAAATGGCTTTCTCATGCGGCTTTCCTTGCTAACCAGCACTACACTGCAGATGGAGACTTGTCATGCAGAACTCCCAAAACTTGGAGATTTGTGTTGCAGATTTCCCATCTTGAATATGGTGTGGAGACGTTTTTACATAGGATACCTTCGGCAGGTTCTTCAGATACACCGACACCATCACAAAATCGTTGTTCTGGTACCACTCGTGGCGGATTGGCTTCAGCGGCGGTGTATGCATTGCAAATATGTCCTTTGGGTCTGGAAACTTGCGATGCTAATTCCTGCATCGCAAACTGACCCTCATACGCAGCCATGCATGAGAAATTTTTGAGCAGTTATTTCATGCGTAACCCGCACCACAAATCGCGTTTTTGTATGACAGAGGGTTGGCCCTATTCCACACCATGCACCACAGAGTTCACGGGCATGCGAGTTCAGCAATACAAATCTCGCAATCTTCCAGACCCAGATGACATATTTGCATTTGGTACGGTGCGGCTGGTTCTAATTCCTCTACCTCGATTTCGTCGTCCTCCTCGTCGTGTCCGTTGTCCAGCCCCTTGTTTTTCGCGTCCGCGGGTTTTGCAGAAGCAGGAAGTTTCGACTTGTTTACGACTTCCGCCTTGTTCGCCGGCGGTACGGAAGCGGTGGCGGTGCGTTGCCCTTGCCCCGAAGTTGTACTAGAGGACGCCGCCGCGGCCGCGGTTCCTGCGGGCGGCAGGAAGTTCTTGAGCGGCAAAACCGATCCGCTCATGGCCGCCGACACTTTGCTCTGCCACAGCTTGTGGTCCGTTTTCCCGAAGTACTTCATGGCTGCGTCGTACTTCTTCGCGTAAAAGCACGTTTTCCCCAACGACAAGTTCAAAAAATCCAATTCCGGTGTCAGCTCCGCGTCGCCCTTCCGGGAGGCGTTTGTGGAAGCACCGTTGTTCGCCTGGTGGAAAAGCTCGAGGCTTTTCTCCAAATCAAGCTCCGCGTTCTTCCAGTCACCGAGCTGGTACTTTGCGAGCCCGCGCAACTTGAAAAACTTCCATGTAGTAGTTGTAGTTTCCGGGAGGTTCTCTGCGGGAGTTGTGGGAGGGTCTGGCAGCATATGACAGTGCACAACTCCCCCTGCCCCACATTTGTCATGCAAAACACCAACTCCACGTGCTTGTGCTTCCCACCTGTGCACTGTTTGCATGACAGATTCCGGAAGCGCAAACAGTACTACACGAGGCGCATGAATTTGTAATGCACAGGCTCCCTGTATTGCTGCTCATGCAATACAAATGAGGGGGAAGGGGACTTGTGCACTCTCATACAGCAAGTCCACGCAGGCTTGGTACCGCTCGTCGATGTAGAGCTCCTGGGCACGCGAGAAATCCGTCATTTTGTTGTGTAGTTACCAAAACAAATGGGCGATCCCCGGGCAGACTCAAATCCTCGAATGCATTCACGATGACCAGGTGAAGTTGAAAAGAGAGGTACTAGAGGTGGAGAACAGAAATTAGGCGCAGCTACGAAACTCGTGCGAGAGAAACAAATTCATCGTGAGTCGGATTCGATTCCGGAAGAAATACGTAGGTATACGTTAAAAAAACGCGAAAATATAACTTTGGGGTTCGGCTAAGCCTCAGAGAACAAGTAGACTGAAGCTTGCAAAGTTCTTGTCGTGTGTAAGAGTGGCTGCAGTTTTTTCAAACTCTGATGTTGGCTTCATTGAAATAAACTACGCCGAGCACTGCTTACAACACTGGTCTTGCAGCTTCTTCTACGAATCAGCTGCCTCGGCATGTTGTAAAGTTTATTCAGGCTCTAAATCAGTGGAGAGTTGATCGGTGTACATGCTCGCTTCTTGCCTGATCGCATCGGATCACAAGATTTCATCATGTGCAAGTGCTCAGATTTCATCCTCCCTCTGAATCTCAACTCTCTTTGCGCTGGGTAAAACAAAAAAAGCTTGGGATGTTGGCGTTCCAGTAGAAGATAAAGCGCAACTTACGAAAGCACAACACACACAAGGAGGACGGGAACACCGACGAAAAACAAAAAAGACCTAGATGGCCTATCAGAATAAAAATCATGTCTCACTAGTTGGTTTCGGAATGACAAAATCTGCCGATTCCAGCTCGCTGCAAAATTGAAAGTGTTTTTGTTGATCTTTCATGGAAAACAAAACAAGCAAAATTTCAAAACTTCAAGTCGTCCATGAATCGTCCGGAAGAAGACGATAATTCACGAGGAAACAAGTGTGGATAGGCGTGCGCGCATAGATATCCACAACCGGCTCTTTTGCAGAGCAGCAAAAAAGTTGTTTAGTTCCATGTTTCATCTTCACCGCGAGGCCTGCTCTGAGTCGCGTATACAGGCCGCTTTATGCGTGGTAAGTTAGTACACGGACGTGTGTTGAGATATTAAGTACCTCTAATCACACCGGAAGCAGAAGATCCATCTTCACTTCAAAAAGCGCCCGCGCCGTCTTCAAACCGCGGCCGTAGGTCCCCCTTATCCCGGACGAGCCCATCCACGCCAAGCAGCATCGTGCGCAGCGGGCGGTGGATGAGACAGCTGGAGCACTCGAGGTAGTCGCAGTCGTCGACGTCGCAGCCGTACCAAGTGTGGCCGCTGTCCTTCCGCGGCGCGCAGCCGCAGGTGTCGCAGAAAGAGCCGGTGCCCACGGTCTCGCACACGTTCTGTGGAAGCTGTTGCAGCTTCCCTGGGCAGCAGGGTCGCTGTCGGCACCGCGGAGCGTGGCAGTCCTCCATGTGCTGCTTCAGGTTCTTCCGCGGACCTGTCCACCTACAGCCCATCCAAGACAGCGAACACTCGGTCGTTGCCCACGGACACCAATCGCAGTGGCGCTCACCAACTTTCGACCTGCAACGAGGGTTTTGGTTCTTGTTTTATCATATGCTTATCTTTTTCGAAATGGAAAGAACCATGATGGGCATGGCGGTGTTGAAGATTTGTGCGGGAGATAAAGATAAATTCTCCAGCTACGCTACGCTGCCTTTCTCACCAAGACCAGGGTGTGGTCCCTAGAGTTGCGCAACAGAACGCGCAGTTCTAGTTTTACTTCCTTGCGCGGCAACAAAAATACCGTAGTAATTCTCATATATGCTTTACCTGACGCCGCACCGCTCCTCTGGGCACACCACCTCGACTTCGTTTGCGAGGCGCTTCAGTATCCTGAATAAAAAAAGGACGCCCCCACATCATTCATACTACAGCACTTTGAGTTTGACTTCCCCAACTTGGAGTTGGATTTCTGAGTAATTATACATATTTCAATTTCTCCGCGGTTCTACGATCCTTCAAAAACATCCAATTCCAGATTAGTCACGATGACTTCTTGGCTAATTGTGCGGTACTTCTAGCCGGGAAAATTTGCTATAGGGCGCAATGAACTATTCCCATGGTGGACGACTACTAGAAAATAAAGGCTCAAAACATAGAGTGAAGAGAACGAGCGCGTCAAATTGTCTTGCATGAGAAGTATTGCCTTGGCCGATTGCGGGAGCTGTGATATTTGCTCGCGAATATGAAACGCCAGGTTTTTCACGTAGCACGGTGCCTTCTTTCGACAGTGCGGGCAGGGTCGGCGACCCTCCGCCGGCCACAAATTTCGGTCCTCCTGCTCCAATACGGTTTTGCACTCCCCGCAGAACACAGCCCCGCAACAGGTGGACGAGTGGCAGTCGGTGACCACCTCCATGCACACGGCGCAGTATCAACTGCAAAAGTGTCTGGGTCTGGAAGTTTCGGAGACTTGTCAATGTCATGCACGTTTTGCATGAGCCATAATGTCTGTGATGCATGCCCTAGCGTCACAGAATTTTTGAGCAGGGCTTCTCGATGCCTACTCCGCATGACACATCCCCCCTCCGCGTAGGAAAAAATCGGCTCCTCTTGCTGGTCATGCAACACAGATCTTTTTCGAATCCGAAGACAGCGTCACAAGTTGCTACCTTCCAGACCCAGACATATTTGCATTTGATCCGCAGGCGTATTTGGCAATTTCCTCGGTCTCCTCCGCGCTGTCCCGTCGCGGCCGCTTGACGCCGGCGGAGGCGGAGCTGCTGGCGGCAGCACTGGAGGGCATTTTTTGGTCTGCAAAATTCCAGCTTGTTGCAGGACTTGTTGATACGTAATGCCAACCGAAGAAGGACGTAGAAGGCCTGCCAGGCCCACCAAAAGAAGGTCTGCGCAGCTTTTCACGAACGCAACGCTCGTCGCCGTCGCCGCACTAATAATGCACAACTACAGTGCGACGTAACAATCGGGATCTCACGTTATTTTCTTTTGGTTCACTTCACTCAAGAGTTTCTGATTTTCCCGCGGTGGTCAAAGCCCTGCTTTGAGAATGCCCCGGGCCGCTGACACTCTCAGCGCTCAATCTCAACAAGAACGCTCATCTTCTGTTTAATTTCTGTTTTCGAATTCAGAGAAATTTGCAGATTGATTTGCGAAAACAGGATCATTGTATGCACCCTCTATCTTATCGCTTTCATCGATCCTTTCTTAAGCGAACAAAACGAAGCATCCTAGCTGCCACACACAAATCTTTCAAAGCAGAAAACTCTTCGCTTCGTCATCTTCAGGCGCACTTCTCCAAAACCATTTTTCGTGCCTGTGGGCCACATCCTTATCACAAAATCAGAATCAGATATCGCGCTGCTATGCGCCGAAACGCGAATTCATGACCCCCTTATCGGAGAAAGAGACCGGCGAAAACGTACGAAAATCCCGTCTCCAACGCTTCCAGCAACATGCTTCTTCCCCGAGGAGGCGCCGCTTTCACTACCTCGGTCTCCGGTAGAGATGCAGGAGCAGCTGCACGGGTTTTAATATTTGGGAGCTCATTTTCTAAACTTGTCGTATTCTTGTACTCCGTCGCCTTATTCTCCGCCCCGTAACCGAATATGACGGGCATGAGCCGCTCGACAAAATGGCCGCACTCGTTTCCGAAGCTATCACCAGTCGAGCATTCCTGCCCGACCTCCCGGTAGAGTTCCTTCTTCCTCTGCAGCAAGAGGACGCTCGTCGTGGACTGGGCGCCGTTCATTCCCGAGAAATAGGTCCCGGCCTCTTCCCAGGCCGGCTCCCGGATCCACGATTCGTACCAGGAGCGCAAATTCATCGGCCACTGGTGGTTATCGGGAGAAAAAACCATCTCAGTCTCAGCTCACACGGCGGGCGGAATCACTTTCTTGAACACAATTTTTGTCGTGCTCAACAGGCAAGAAATGAAGCAAGTCTTATCGTTATCCCGGTCTTTCCTTACTCTTTGCCGCATCAGAGGTTAATTTGTCTGACCAAGCTTCGCGAATTTTCGTGTTGCTGAGTCCTCTATTGCAAAGTTTATTTGCGACTGAGATTACTTTTTTCCCGAAATAGTGGTTGCGATTCCAGAATTTCTGGTACCACGCCTCGAGGTGGGTGGCGAGCACTGTCATTGGGCCCGCCACGGGGGCCCACGAAGGGGACATATTGCGCAACCAGGTGAGGAACGTCGTCGGAGTGCCACTGGTTCTACTGTCCCCACGGAAAGGTCGTGCAGTGGTCGTACCAAGTGGTCCTGGTCCGGTAGCAGCAGCAGAAGAAAATAACGAAGACGTTGCGGTACCGTTCAGCGACGCGTCGGGACGAAACCGTGCTGGTGCCACTCTATGGAATGAAACGTAGTTGTACACACGCTCTCGGTCTTCGTGATGCTGACTGTAGTTCTTTTTCTCCGTCCTCTAGCATAACGCTACAATAAGTTTCGCGTGCTAACAGGACAGATCGCAATAAGTTTCGCGTGCTAACAAGAACTACAAACAACCCTTGTACGGCACGATAGTGTGAGCGTTTTTGTCTCCGTTACATCTTATGTCCGTTGTACTCCGCGATGAAAAAGTAGCCATTATCAGCCAAATGGTATCCAAAAAAAAAACTGCACTGATGCTGATGATGAGAATGTAAAACAATATTGCTGCAATCTAGTACTTCGTCGCATTGATCATGCATTGCAGGAGAAGCATGGAAGAGGACCTGTATCTGCAGTACAGCTGTTCTTCAAAATGTAAATTGCAGTAACCTCGCATTCTTTTTGGATAAATACCCAACGTATCACACACAAAGAAGCAGCGTCTGCTTACTGACTCTTGTGACCATGCAAAAAGGCAGAATAAAGCTCAGTCTACATTACGTACTGATACACGGCCTGAGCTTTTTGTTTCTATCGAAACCCTGGCTCAGGCATGCAGGACAGCGGTGCCGATGTGCGTCGCCTGCTCTAGCTGTAGGTCCTCTAGCACGATAAAAATTACGCGCATCACATGATTCATCGCTGCCCCTCTTCATGCTGATACAACGGGCTCCCTATGAGCGGACGGAAAATTGTAGTGATTGAAGTAGGCCCGCGGCTTCCCCACCGAGAGCGGATCCTGGCGAAAGGCGTTCCGAATGGTGTTAATTCGCTCCTTGTGCTGGTTGAAACAGGGAAACGGCAGGTAGTGCAGACGGAGATAAGGCGACGCGCTTGCAGATCTGTCAAGAGAAAGGTCTTGCTCTTTGTCCACGGTGATGGCGCTCGGCTCCAATTGCTGCGAAGGTGAAGAACGCAAAGGGTACAGTGCCTGGATCTCGTCGTACTTTTCGTACGTGTAATTTGCAAAGGAAGCGGCCTCGCGACCGACATTCGGCTGCTCCGTGCACACCACCCGTCCCCCGCCGGTCCAGCGCGCAGCCGTGATGTTACTGCGGCCCGCCCAAAACCGCCCCGCCTGTGCCCCGACAAAATGGTCACAGGGGCCGCCGCTGCGGAATTTCGTTGCTGAGGTTGAGGCCGTGGAAGGCGTAGCAGTCTCAGGCCCTGGTACAAAATTATCGTCCTTCACGAGCAGATGCAGCTGGCACTTCATGTTTTCCGTTTCCTCCAAAAGCTGCGCGAGCTCCCGCTTCGCTGGCTCCGAGTAAAAGTCGTCGAAATAGAACGCAACAATCAGCCAGCACGGGTACAACTTCTTCTGCGGTGCCGGGAAAGTAGCAGTGGCAATAGTTGCAGCACTGCTCCTACTTTTCGCTGCGTGTAGTGACCCTCGCGATTTTTGCTCCGCCGCAAGTAAGGCTACGGTTTCGTTTGCCGCGCGACCACCAGCAGTAGTACCATGACCACAAGCTGAGCCCGAAGATGAAACTCGTTGCACATCAGCAGTGCTTCACCTCTGCGCCCCGGAAGAAACTGGACCCGCTGGGGCTGTCGATCGCGTCAAAAATGATCCCGCTTCGCCCACCGCATCAAGTGCAACGGTCTGGGATGTCGAAGTTCCTTTCGTGAAACCACCGGAATGCATGGACGGAGGCTGGTGCAATACGAGCAGTTCTCTCCCAACATCTGCATCTTTCTCCTGCTGCCCACTCCGGATTTCGCGACGCAAATTTAAGTTTTCCGGCCGGGTCGCGGCAGAGGGGACAGTGAGGTCCAGCAGGGTCAGGAGGGGTGCGAACCTGATAAATTTCTTTACACAAGACACCCGGGAAACTAGCAAACCAGCGCGTGCAGCAACTTGGTGCGCTGGAAGACCGGCGGAGCCACCCGATTCTGCTGTAGTCATGATCTTGCGTCAGGAGAGGTCAGAGCGCGGAAAAATCAAATAAATAGAACGCCTTCAGAGGTTCTCATGCGGGAAAAAAACGCGCGTACTTAGGCTTCGTCTCGGCCCCAACGTCACGTCAATACCTAGCTGTACGAGAACTACCACGTTTCACTCGATTGCGGTACAGGACATACACAGATAGACACGACCCCGTGAAGGTCATGTGGCCGTACTCTCTCGAGAAACAATGTCTCGCTCCACTCGTTTCTAATTCTACCACCTGCTTCACTCGGGCGACATTGACGATGCAAAACGATGACACGAAATGCCATTCACCGGCTTTTCTGCTATATGTCGACTCTTGCATGGATGAAAAAAATTGTTTCCGGAATGAAAGCGGGATAATCAGGTACCAACCACGCGACGAGTGCAAGAACTGCCTATTTTTTGAGCAAGACAACAAAGATTTTCAAGCGAAATGATGAAACTAAGTAGCAACTTCCTTGCGTCGAGCGAAGGCTATTCATTCCTCAAAATGCATCACCTTCATGTCACACCGTGCGTAGCCTTCAAAACAGGTGTAGCAGCGGTTCCGACTGGTCGGGAAATACTGCTGTCGATAAAACTCGCACCGCTCCTCGGTCAGAAAGCAGCGCTGCGCGGTGTCGTATGTGAAGTGGCTTGAGCTACAGGACCTCCTCCATCGGAACGTGAATCGACTCGCTTTCGTGGTCTTCGTCGTGGGATTCACGATTTCGCAGCACGATCTCAACAGCGGAAAGTGGTCTAAAACGTGGCTGCCGATGACTGTTGGGAAGAGGATCGCTGCACCGAAACATAGTAGAAATTGGATAGTACGCTTGTTTAGAAATCCCATTCAAAAGTTCATTCTCGTACGGTCTGTTTCAGAAAGGAAGATGCCGTGCTTAAACTTCAACAACAATCTCTCTCCACTAGTACCGGCGAAAATGAGATGAAATGGATAGGGATCCGCATAACACGGACACGGCATCAATTCACATAAAAAAATCAACTGGCCACGCCACGCAAGGACGCGAGCGCGATTTTAGATTCCCTCTGCAGACACCAACCGATTTTTGCAACAGATATTACAAACTAGAACATCGGGAACTTCATCAACAAATGGCCCATTCAATCCGGCCCCAGCAACACAGCCGGCTCTTCTCTTTTGTGTTTAAGTTCGCGCATCACGCACAGATTCACATGACAATCGTTAAAGGTCTTGTAAGCACAGAACTACGGAGCTCCGGATAGGATTCGAAAATCCAAATCCCCCTTTCTTTCAAACTAAAAATTCCGCTTACACTGAAAGTTCACAAATAAGTCCCGACTGTCAATACTGTACTCTCCTCGTGGTATGTTTCGTAGCTCTGCAGTTTTAGAGATCTTCACGGAGATCTTTACTTCCAAAGAACCTCCGCTTCCCCTTCAACATTTTTGTTCCTCCTCCAGTCGGCACAACTCCGACAGGATAATATGAAGTTCTTCTTCTTCATCCCAAAACCTCACAAAATTCCTTCTTACTTGGAGAAGGTGATGAGGCCCTTCTCGAAGAGCAGACGGTTCAGGCACGCGTCGGCCTCGCCGCGCTGTCTGATGAAGCCCGCCAGGTGGAAGGTGAAGAATTCGTTGGTGTACTTACCCTCGGTGTCGACCTGTGATTTTAACATCAAATGCGATATTCTATCAAGTCAGATTTTGTTCTGTTAAGAAAATAATAGTTCCATGCACATTTGATGCACAACTGGTGCGGGCGCAATCTCTCTTTCTAAGCACAGAAAATATCATGCTAGTGTAGCTTCAAGCCAACGACTCCTTCGATCCCGTCCTGGCTCTCCTGCAAAAACGAGAATGAAATGCTAAGGTGAAATGATGCGATTTTGTTTCTAATGCTAAAATCGCATCATGATGACAGTTTGTAATGCTAAACTCGCATCCATAACCTATACCTGTCCGACGTTCATCTGGATGGAACTGTGTTCCTTGGCGGCGATCAGTCGGTTGGTGGCAGAGCATTTGCGCGGGATGTACAAATCCACGCGGAGTCCCTCTTCGTTTTCCATCTTGTGAGTGGTTTGTGCGAGCTACTGCGAACCTTAAACTCGAGTTCCCCTGGTGGAAATGGAAAAGTAGAAAAATGGTATGATATAGGTGCGTGGTGGTTTTGGTCGGTGTATTTTTAAAGTGCGCACGGAATAGCAAAAAAAGTTTAGGCAGGATCGGTGATTTTGATCGTGATTTTGTTTCGGTTGCCACTTTTACTTCGGATCTAAAATTTGAAGAGGATCCATTTACAATCCTTTTTCCACGTGCTGATCCAATCCTGATCACTTTGAAGCGCATCGTGGTGCTTCAGATCTCGATGTGTATTTAGATACGGTCAATTTGGTCTGAAACAGAATTGGTGGTGAAACGCAATTTTCTGACGCTTGATCGCAGGGCTGTCGGCATTTAGATCACCACCTCGCTCGAGTACTCATGTAGACGCAGAACGGCAAGCGAGTATCTTTTAGGTACTTATCAATCTCTGAGAATGACAAAGAGGCAGATTTGGATCTCGTTTTAGATGGATCGATGAACCGACTGGCACGTAGAAGTCGCGCTTCCACTCTCCCGTGGCTGAGGAAACACACAGCAGACTGTTTCAATGCCCTCAATGGTATGGCAATTGTGCCCGGAGTTGTGGCGGTGTTTTTAGCTCTTAGTGCGTGGCGCTCAGAATTTCAGAAAATGTCGCTGTTTTCATTCGGAAATCTTACAACAAGCGCGCAATAAACCTCTTGTAAACAGCGCTATCTTTAAACGGCGATCTTTTTGTTTTCCACGTAGCAAATTTAAATTCGAGGTAGTAGCAAATTTAGGTAGCAAACTGGGAAAAATTTAGGTTTTTTGAACTTGGCGAGAACAAAAAAAAGATACAAATTTCATACTACATCTTGTGCACTGGCCAGTCAGGAGGCAATAGGGGAGGTACAGGTAAGGAGGTAGAATTACAATTATTCCATAGCGGGCTGGTTGAAACTACTTCCGATAATCACAAGGAGCTTCTAAACCACCAACCGTCGAACAGGGCGAGACAATGGATCGATTCAGTTTTATTCTTGGGGAGAAAAAAACGACATCAGAGGTGCGACAAAAAAGCTACTAGAGGAGCGAGACGCCGTAGTTTTCGGCTTCTCGTACAGGGTGAATACGACCAAAATGTTAGCATACAGTTCAACGTGAATGTGGAAGCAGTGCAAACCCAGAACCAGAAGCAGCACGGATGCACGAGAATACTGATGCAGCCGCATTTTTAAAGCACAGTTGTACCCTCGCTTTTCGTTTTCGACATTGTACAGAAAATGTATGAAAGTACTTTCAAACCGGTTCTTTGACGGGGTGCACTACTCTATTAGTATCACGTGCTGTCCAACAATCCACAAAAAACCACGGCTTGGCCCGTTGTCCTCCTAAAGAAATCCGCACAGCACCCGCCTAGTCGTCCTCCTCTTCTTCCTCCTCCTTCTCCTCATCATCGTCGTCATCATCATCGTCTTCGTCCTCCTCCTCTTCCGAGTCTGATTCGTTGGGAAACACGATCCTTGGCGGCCCACCGAACGACATTTTCCGTAGAAACATCATCGCCATCACTTGCTTGCGCACCTTCATCACTGCCAGCTTCAGAACCTGTGGGTAGAGAAAGTGTTTTCATGTTTGTAGTTTCGGGTGGACAGTGAAACAACGTTGCACCGCGCGACATGGAAATCCTCTATTTATACCAGGCTGTGGCATATTTCAACAAGAACGCCGGTAGTAGTCGTGTCAAGCTACAAAGCCTGCGATTTTCTTTTTGCATGAGACTCACTACACGACTCCAAATCTAAAAACGACCTCCAACAAATCCCCTTAAAAATCTATACCGCTGCCCTCCTGACTTGCAACTTGAGCCAGCTTCCCTCCTTTGCGTCCGCGATTTCCTGCCGCAGTTCCGTTGCGTCACAGTCAACCCGTCCGTTGACGCCGATAAGGCGCATGTAGGGCTCCAAAACCAAATCATACCTCCCCATTTGCTGGACGAGGCGTTTTATCAAATGCAAAAATGTCTGGGTCTGGAAGCTTGCGAGACTTGTCATGCTTGTCTGGCATGACCAAAAAGCTTGCGATGCGTGTCCAAGAAGAGACCCTTTTGCCTGTCATGCAAAAACGCAGTTTCTTCTGCGGAAAACGCAACACAAAGAAGCGCAGCTATTTCTCATGCTTGGCTGTGAATTACAGAGCATTCACTATTCCCAACGCAGCATTACATCGGAAGTCTACGGGCTGTTCGTCCCTACCGGCATCAGGCCTTACTTAAAACCAATAAAAAATTCGTAATTATCCCGCCGCGATTCAATGCACTTCTGATGGCGCATGCAGAAAAGCAGGGCGCGCCAACAAAAATAAAGGAAACGTAAGGAAGAGCTTAGAACGAGACGTTGTTACGAAATCACGGTACGGCTCGAACGATACGACTAACTAAGAAAGCCAGCGGCAACGGGACGACTACAGCCACACGGGGTCCCGCGAGGACCGAGAACAGGCTTACCGGACCTGCGGTAAATAAAAGGCCTGGAGGTCTTCGTGGGTGCTCACATAAAACAAGTTTCGGTCCACACGCAGCGCACCGTGGGTGCATGCTCACCACTGCGTGAAAACTTGTTCTATCGCCGTGCCACGCCGCTTGGCAGCGCGAAAAAAGAGAAAATCGTCCCTACTCAGACCTCAATTGGAAAGTGTAGGGACGTAGCCAGCAACGGCTAGAAAAACCTAGGAGGGCCAACGCAGCATTACAAGTTTCCAGGCCCAGACATTTTTACATTTGATACGTTTGTTGATCACCTGCGTGACGCCGTAGACCTTGCCGATTTTCAATTCCGAACGCAGCCCCGAGTGCTCCTGCATCTGCAGCCCCAGTCTATGAAAGCCACAGGTTGAAAATCTGCAAAGTGGAAATGACTTGTAATGCAAAAAAACGACTCCAGTTGAGGCGCCATTTCTAGTCGTCGCATGACAAATTTCCCGAGCACTCAAAACGTGTCTGTCATGCTAGTTGGGCAAAGGGGTGCCCTTCTCTCGTGCCAGTCAGCAGCTCAATTATCTACCCGTAAGAGGAGAATAGTCGGCCTCCATTGCGTCCTCTGCAATGCAGTCTTTCTTGCGTCGCATTTCATGCATCACAAATTATTTCCACTTTGAGGATTTCCATTCTGAGGCTTTCATACAGCCCGATGTCGCCGGACACCTTCTTCGTGTAGAAGCTGAAGTAGCGCGAAAATTTCTGCACCTGTATCCTGTGCAAAAACGTCGCCACCCCAGAGTCAAGATGCAAATCTTTGCTAGACAAATCTGTCAGCTTTGGGTGTTGCGCATGACACGTTTGACCTCGTAGCATAGTCCTGTTTCGCTCGTTCAGCAGCATCACAGGTCTATCCTATTATGCTGCTTAGAGCATTACAAATTCCCAAACACGACTAGAGAATGCTTGTCATGGGGCTCCGCATGAGGAACATTTTGAGCATGCAGACTTGCATGACAACTATGGGGTCGTGGGGACGTTTTTACAAATGATAACCTGCACCATGATGTCGTCCCCCGTGCGGAGCTCCTCTTTCATAGCTTCCACGTCGTCCTTGACGTATCAAATGCAAAAGTGTCTGAGTCTGGAAGGTTGCCGGGTTTGTCATGCATATTTTGCATGAGTCGCGATGTCTGCAATGCATGATCTAGCATCACATATCTTTAGAGGCCTTCCTGATGCCTATCCCGCATGACAAATGCCCTCCCCGCGTAGCACAAACTGGGCTCCTCTTGCTGGTCATGCAATACAGATTTTTTTTAGAGTCCAAAGTTAGCATCACAAGTTCGGATCCTTCCAGACCCAGACATTTTTGCAGTGCATATGACGCCGTTGACAGCAACGATGCGATCCCCCACGATCACCTTCTTGTTGGCGTCCGTTTGCGCCTCGTTGTAATTGTGCAAGAGTCCGCCCCAAACGACGGATTTGACCACCTGGATTTTTCGTGGGGGAGTTCGATTTTGATATACTTGTTGCGCAAATTTTCACATACTGCATGCAGAACTCAAACTCATGGTCTTCTTCTTTGCAAAAAATACACGATTGAATAGAGACTCCTGCTGCTCTGCTTGTATCTTCCGCTGCTGAGGCTCAGAATGGTGCGGAACTCCGAATCATTTCTTTTGTATGCAAGTCCGGACAAATAAACCTTCATCAGCAAGAAAACTCATACCAGGTGCGCCGGTGCGTCGACCGCGAGTCCCCTGTTGGCTTCTGTGAAGGCCTGACCGCCGTCGAAAAACGAGATCCCGAATTTCGTGACCGTTTCGGTTTTTTTCAAATTTATCGACAGAATGACCGCCTTTTCCCAGTATTGCTGCATTTTCATGAACGCCTCGACCGCCACCGCCTTTTCCAGCATCTGTTCCCGGGCTTTCTTCTGTTTCGGGGACACAACCGACAGTGCGGACACGTAATTCTCCCCCGTTTCCTTGTTTTGCGTCACTTGTCTTGACATGTTTTGCGTGTACAATTTATCCGCCGCCTTCTTTTCCGCCTGCGTCTTCGGTTTTCTCCTGGTCACCCCGGTGAAGTTGCGCAGCTTCGAGGGTCGCAGGTACAAATCATGTGCGGGGGAAAAGAGCATTTCCGCGAGATCTCTTCTTGCTTGCGTGCTGCCCCGGTGCACGGTCATGTGCAGCACCGGGTGAGTTTTCGCGTCGCGCATTACTTCCCCGAGGGAAGTCGCGTCATTTGTTTCTCCGTTCACCTCCGAGATAATTTGGTTTCGTTGCAGGCACTGCCAGTGTTTCCCCGCCTTCGCGGCGTTCACGTTGTGCGCCATTACGACCGTCGTTGGTTCGTAGTTGTTCTTCGCGTACTTCTATGGAATACAAAAGTGTCTGGGTCGGAAAGATTGCCAGGCTTGCCATGCATATTTTGAATGGCCCATGATGTCTGTGATGCATGCTCTAGCATCACAGGTTTGTCGAGGGCTTTGCGATGCCTCTATCGCATGAGAAATATTACACTCTCCGCGCAGCACAAACTGGACTCCTCGTCTTGCTGGTCATGCAGTACAGATTGTCTTAGAATCCAAAGACAGCATCACAAGCTCCACTCTTTGCAGACCCAGACTTTTTTGCAATCCGTAAGGTCTCCCGACTTTCCTTCTCCACGGGTTCGCCCCCGGCCTCGCCGCCGTCCCCGCCGGCCTCGGCCTCCCCGCCGGACCCGCCCTTGACGTGGAGGACGCGCAGGTGGGTTTTGCTGTATTTGCGGTCGAAAGACAACCCGATTTTCTTCCCCGCGGACCGGTCGAGACTGACCCGGAAGGTCGTTGGGTACCGCTCAATGGAGAGCTCGAACTCCAGGGTCTGCGAATTGTGCATCGCGGCGATCATTTTCGCGACGTCTTGCTCCTTGTTGACCGCCAATATCCGGTCATAGACCCGGATCTGGTGGTTCAAATCATTGCTCGCCTCGGCCATGGTACGGTTATGCTCCACGACGGCGCCAAGCCCGATGCGGGTAACGACGAGACACTGTTTGGATATGATAGTCAGTCAGTGGCTGGAAAATGCTATTCAAAAAAACACTTAGTCAGCGGCGCTTCGCTGATACAGTTGAAAACAAGGATTTGTGTAGCCGCGACGAGCACGCGTAGCTAGAAGCAGGAAGTCACAAGAAGAAGAACGTCCTATCATCTACTTCGCATAATCGGCGAATTTTGTAAAAAGAGAAACCAGTAGACGACAAGGAAGCAAGTAAAAATGAAGTACCTTCGGCGCGTATTCCGCGGGGACGGAGGGGAAGTTGTGCTGGAAGTGGCTTTCGCCGTTCAAGAAAACAAGGCCTAGCGTGTCGTCGGTGGATTCTTTTTTGATGGTGACGGTGAATTTCTGGGGGCGGTCGTCGGGCGGGCGGAAACTGGTGGTCGACATCACGAACGGCTTGCTGTAGCGGTTTTCCACCTTCAGGTCGTCCACTCGATCTCGGGCTTTGCGGCCCCGAAACCCAGCCTGCATCTTCTGCGCGGCCTTCTCCGCCTCGTCGATGGTGACTTCGGCGCCTAACACCTCCTGCAGCTCCTTTTCCTGCTCCTTGCGCGCCTTCTGGTGCCGTTTCGCACCGACCTGCTTCCGAGCCATCTTCCCGCGATACAGATTCTGCACCCGGGTGGCCGCAGCTTCCTCTTCTTGCCTGATTTTCATAGATGATGGGAATTTGGAGTTTTTCTTTGGAGTATATATTTCGCGAGCAAGACCCTGCTGGAGCATGTATGATCATGCATGTGGTGCCCAGAGGCAAAAACTTGCATTTTTCCATGCATGAGTGAAGTGCTGTTCTTTGCAAAAGAACAATCAAGAAATATCATCTTATACTTCATTTGCTGCTTCTTCTCGTCGACTTTTTTCCTGGCCATTTTTCCGCGGGCGGCGGCCTGGAGTTTCGCCGCAACAGCGTTTTCCGCGATGTTCTGCTCCATTTCTTCAATGTTCACGTCACTCATCACGGCGCCAGAGAGGTGCTGTTTTGTCATCGATGATTAAAAAGTATTATTTGCCATGCGAAAAGCCAATCTCGCAGAGGGGGCTCTTTGATCCTGCTAAAAAGCAACGATGAAGATAAACACCAGGATAGGCTACAACTTGTTTCTCATTGAGATCTACTACCGCGAAGAAAGAAAAACCCTTATAATACCTTTGCGTGTGTAATCGCCGCGTTCATGGTTTCTGTTTGGATGACAATGCCCTTATTTGTCTTGCAGAGGTGATTGGCCCCGTTGGTGAGAAGCAACGCCACGCAATGCGGGTCCCCAACCTGAATGAAGTGGTACTCTGCGTGGTGCAGACAGGTCCTTCCCGCCCGGTCGGGCCAGTCCAGCATTTCCTTCGGGAGGACCTTCATCAGATACCTGTTTTGGTGTGGTGAAGTGGATTTTGAACAAATAGACGACACGAAAAAGATTCACTTAAAGACAAATCAATGTACTTACCACCGGGAAGCGCAACTACAAAACATGCGACAATCACAATTCAAGAAAGGTCTGCTTTGGTATAATTACGTTAAGCTCTCGCTGCAGCCGTTGAAGGCGAGTGTGTGTAGTGGTGTTTGGTCGGCCGTGTTCCTTAAATCCGTGTTTGCGGCGTGGTCAAGCAGGTAGTGAACCGTCTCTGCATTTCGGGCGAAAAACAGGGGTGTTTGGTCGTACCTGTTTTTGATTTTGTCTACTTTCCATTCATAGAAATAACGAACCATGGCATAGGCCACGAGAGTCGTCCAAAATTGCGTTATTTGTGCCAGCACCTAGGCACGACCCGAGCGCGAAGATCCGGGTCTGTAGTTACATCTGAGATCAATCGAATCACACAAATCGTTATTTTTAGTGAACGAAGAGCGAGCAACAGCAACCAAAATTCAACAATAAATGTATCAATAAATACGCGTCTCTTATATTGACGTCCGCTCCGTGTTTTATGAGCTGTCGGACCGTGTTTATGTTCCCTGAGGAGGCCGCATAGTGCAAGGCCGACGGGTTCCCGATGTTGGGATCGCACCCGGCGTCGAGCAGCTGCGACAAAAGTTTGTTCAAATTCAGCGAGGCCGCGAACGACAGCGCGGTCAACTGCCGCGCCCCCGACGTTTTTATCACCACGTTGCGGTCGCCGGGCTTCAGGTTTTTCACGTAGTCACCCTGACAGATCTCGTAGTCGGATCGCCCCTCCTCCACCAATTTTAGCAAAACTTCCGCCATCTTGCGCGTGGTGCACTCAATAAACTAAGTACAATTGCGCCTAGGGAGGCAGCTCTTCTTAGTGCAATTCCAAAAATTGTAGTTTCAGCTCGAAAATAGCAGTAAGTAAGTCACCCTCCCCTGTCGACGTGCGTGTTGGTAAGAAATCACGACCGGCACTGCTTTGAGTGGTACAAATGCAGCCCCCGCGCCCTAGAAATCCCAGACACGGCACCGTCGACACCCCCACCCGGTTATTTCACGCATAGTGGGATTAGGATTTTGATTTTTCTTATTGACAGGATGCGAAGAACGGACAATTCCGCCGACGACCCTTGGTAAAAGACACTGAAGATGATGTGATCATCATGCCGCTACTCATCAAAGGAATGAAATATTAGTGATAGGTTTTATTCAAAATGGGGCCCTGTAACAGTAATGTTTTGCATTGAGATAAGATTCATCCTAGTATTACCGACACGAAAAACGGCGACCGGTTTGCTTTTTCATCTGCACGATTTGAATACCACTTTTGCACGGAAAAATCAAAGGCTGTTGACCATCAAGAGTCAGAGACCGACCCCTTTTACTGCACGAGTTTGTTGCTCTTAGAAGTACACGCATTCAATGCCCGATGGAACGTTTTTTTGTGTTCGAGTTTACGTGTACCGATTCTTTTGAAATTTCTTTTGGACGAGCTGCAGCACGAAGATGGCATTAGGTGTTGTACGAAGCACAAAATAAACCGATGAAAATGGGAGACGTTCTTGTTGTTGACCTTAACACAGCAGCGAAAGAAGTAACAGAAAACCGACTCAACACTGCTGAAGACCGAAATGCTTCCTTTATTTTCGAACATCCACGGCGTGGAGAGGTGACTAGGCGCGTGACAACTGGTGTACTATTTTGGTCGGACTTTCTCTTCCTCTATGCTCTTCTTTTCATGTACTTATGAGAAGCCAATAGAATGCGATGCTTAGCAGTTTATTTCTGCGACGAATATAATAGTCACCAGGTTCGCAACAGTAGCACAAACGGCAAGTGGGCACGTCCCCCACCCGCCGACGATTCGCCACCAGTGCTTTGTACCACAAAAAATCTTCTCGACAGCGACCCAAGCTCAGGCCGAATAGCTGCAAACTGCAGATGAGCGGGCTCTGGCGCCACCACTCACTTTCCGATTCCGTGCGCCATTCCCTCGTCGTCCTTCAGCGTATCAAATGCAAATATCCCTACTTAGATGTCTGGAAGATGGGCGGGGAGCTTGTCATGTTGGAAGGCTAAGGGCAGGGCGTCCCATTCGTTTATAAACTTAAAACGGTAGCCACCTACCCAGCAAACTCTGAGTGGAATAAGCACGGGCAAAGCGATCACTACCGAGAGACAGCCACAAGAGCTCCTGGGACGGCTGCGGGATGAGCTTTGTAGCCATCTGAGTAGGGATAACTTTGCCGGCAGACCCACCAGCGCTGAGGGATAAAAGAACAGTAAAAAAGCGGTAAAGTCATCTACTATGGCACAGTCCGAAGTACGAAAAAACCCATCTTAAAAAAGTGAGGCGAGATGTAATGTAGTTGTTTTCATGGCGAGCAGCCGCAACAAGGCGAACTGTCATGCACAATCCCTTGTCATGCACAATTGTACGGGAGCCACGATGCCTGTGATGCATGCTCTAGCATCACAGCTCCCGCAAAGACTTGCTCACGCCTGTCCTGCACAAATGATCCCATTCTTTCCAGACAACATCCAGGGATATTTGCAGTGGATACAGTGTCACAAAGAACAACTCCGCGAAAGCGGTAAGCCGCTCGCGCGGGATGACAAAGGACCCCTTTAGCTCCTCCTCGAAATCGGAGACCTTGGTAATGATACGAACAATTAGCGGGCCGTCATGCGGTAGCAAAATACTCGAGTGAACAACTGCATAACCTTACTCATCGATGCACTCCTGAGAAGTGTGAAGAACCCAAACAGGAATATTAAATACCTTCGCGTTGATCCCTTCCCCACAGAGGTCCAACCCGATGCAGGGCACCTCCCCGCGGCCGAAGTCCAGCGCTTTTACGTCCAACACCTGCAGCTGCTTCGCTTTTGATTCGTCCAGACCTAGCACCCGGGTCTGCAGCACCTCGTAATTGCCGGAGTTTTTGTCGTATGCATTGCAAGAGTATCGCACTAGTATAAATTGCATCACAAATTTTGGCAAGAAGAAAAAAGGAATTTGTAATGCCGTTTTACCTTAGGAAGGAGATTTGTCATGCATATTTGCAATTAGTACGACTACGATACTTTTGCACAGGATATGTCGTGAAACGCCTGGAGGAAGAGCTCCAGCTTCGCGGTGTCAAATGTAAAAATGTCTGGGTCTGGAACAAAGCAACTTGTCATGCTAAATCCGAAGCATGGAAAAATCTGCGTTGCATGATTACCAAAAGTCGCCCAGTTTTGACCAAGTCGGGAGGGAGTTTCTCATGCAGGATAGGCATGAGAGAGATCGCGCAGAATCTGTCATGCTAGGTCCTACATTCCAGACCTCGTGGGTCATGGAAAAGCTGCATGACCAATCGCGCACTCTTCCAGACCCAGACATTTTTGCATTTGATACGCGGTGTCGAGGAATAACACGAAGACGCGGTTCTCGGGTTTGGTGTCGAACTTGGAGCCCTGATGTTGTGAGACGTCGAAGAAAAATTTGCAAAATTCAAACTCAAATTTGAATTTGTCACATGCGGAGATTAACCAGCAACGCGAACACGGATGAAAGTGAAACCATCCGTCAACATGAACAAACGTTTTTCACTTCCTTCAAAGAATCTGCACTCTAGTAGTACTGTATCTTTCCCCAGGGTGACCGGTATTGCGGCGAACGTGTTGGGGTTTTCCAAAAACTGAAAAATTTCGTCCCGAAACTCGGTGTTGGTACACTTTGCAAAGTCGATCAATTCGGCGAGTTTTTCCCGGCTGGCGTTGTAGGCAGCGGAGAGACTGTAGTTCAGACTGCCGTCGTCCTTCTTGTTGAAGTCAAAAATTTTGTTCCACTTGTTGCTGTACGGGTTAATTTTGCAGACGTCCAGGTGCGACTTGAGGCTGAAGTAGGAGATCGGCCAGCAGGAAAATTCCATTTTGTTGCTGTACTCAATGATTGGGTCGGTTTGCGAGAACAGCGCGATCTTGCAGTCGGTGCACTCCCGGCTCCGGAATTGCTGCACGCACAGCACTATCAACTGCAAATATGTCTGGGTCTGGAAGGATCCAAACTTGTGATGCGTGTTTCGGATCCTACAAAGATCTGTGATGCGTACTCAACGTGAATAAGGTGCCCACTTCTGGCCATGCTGACCACGCATCACCAAGGGGCTGCAGAACCTGTGATGCTAGGCCCTGCATTCTAGACGTGGGGGAGCTTGAAAAAACTGCATGACAAATTTCGGAATCTCTCAGACCCAGACATATTTGCATCTGATAAGCACGAACTGGCAGTTCTCGCAGTTGCGAACGAAAATCGAGGACTCGATCTGCAAAAATGTTATGGACAAAATTCACACCAAAGTCGGACCGAAAACAAAATGTGAGTCAAGAATTCGATCTGGAACTGCACTGTAGCTGTTTTTTGTACTACATTTTTTACACTGGCTATGCTTTTTCCGCATGACAAACAACAACAAAATACCGGCGCCATGAAGATCCTGCAATTTTTGCTGTAATCGACAGACACTGTGGCCATGGGGTCGAGGACAAAAATGTCGCAGTTTTCGCAACCGTCAACGAGAAATTGCTGCAGCTGTAAGCCCTCTTTGACGATTACCTGTGGTTAAGAGTTGTGTCTTTTCAAGGTCTCAGCAATTATCATGCGTTGGACCCAATTGATAGGATTCATCGAGCGCACCAAATTATCTTGGTTCTGAAATCTTCTATGCCCAGATGCAAATTATCAGAAATACCTCATTCTTTCTGTCCATGAGCATGTAGTCCTTTTTGTTGATCGTCTGTTTCTTCTCCCAGGAGAACTGTTTTTTCGGAGCGGCCACCGCTTCCCCCTTTTTCGCCTCCGCCGCCGCGGTATCAAATGCAAAAGTGTCTGGGTCTGACAAAGTGGAACTTGTAATGCTGTCTGCGGATTCTAAAAATGTCTGTGTTGCATGAGCAGTAAAGAGGAGTCAGTTCTTGGCACGCGGAGAGGGCATTTGCCATGCGTAATTAGCATCAAGAAGCTCTCAAAAAATCTGTGATGCTAACACCAGCATCGCAGACCTGATGGGTCATGCAAAATGTGCATGACAAGCCCCGACTCTTCCAGAACCAGACATATTTGCAGTTCATACGCGGGCACGACTCCCTTCGGCTCCAGGTTTGTGGAGGCCTTGTTGCCCGTGGAGGTGGCGCAGTTCCCCATCTTGTTCGCCCCAACTCCGACGACTGCTTTGGCCTGCTGCTTCGCGGCGGGACCGACGACCGGCTTTGAAGATGCTAATTCGGTGGCTACCGCGACGGCTTTAGCCGGAACAACGGCTTTCGCGACCGGTACAACTACACCAGCCGAGGATGCCGCCTCGCTTCCACCAGGTACAACAGCAACCGCCTTCGCAACGGGAGTTGATGTCCCTGCTTTGTTTGCGCCGAGTGCCGCAACGAGCGACCCTGTGGGCTTTTTCGGAGGTTCGGGCTTTGGTGCAGCTGGTGTTTGGTCCTCCTTTTTCGATTCTACTTGCTGTTCTGTAGTGGGAACAGAAACAACAGCTTCTTGTTGACCAGACTTCCTTTCTTCCTTAGCCGCTGCTGCGCCACTTGTCCTCGGAGCGGCTGCGAACTTCGGCGCAGCAGCAGTGGTGGATTTGTTGTTTTCTGAAACACCAGCAGCTGCTGTTGGTGCTTTTGCACCAGCGGTACTTGTTCTTCCCCCTTCTTTCTCTGCTGCGCTCTCTCTAGTACCTGTCGCGGTTCCCGCAGGAGGATCCTCTGCCGCCTTGGCGCGGAGCTCGGTTGCGACCTTGGAGTCCGCCGCGTCGGTTGTGGGCGGCGCGGTGCTGGTAGTAGCAGGGGTTGTTGTATCAAATGCAAAAATATCTGGGTCTGGAAACTTGTGATGCAAGAAATGGAATGGTGAACTCACTATAATGCGCTGCCAAGCATGACAAGTTTTTTCCATGGCTCTGAGTTGCGTACTCCGCATGAGAAACTACGTTTTTGCATGAAAGGAAGGAGGAGCTCTTCGCGGCCATGGAACACAGAGTTCAGAGTCATGCCAATCTCGCAATCTCCCAGACCCAGACATTTTTGCATTTGATATGTTGTACTTGTTTTCGCTGACCCACCGTCCCCGTACTTATTCAACACATTGCTCAAGTCCTCCCGTCGCTGCTCAGCGTCTTTCCGTGCGTCTTCGGCTTTTTGCGACTGCTCCTCCTCCTTGGGTTTCGCTGAAACAACTTCCTTCTCTTTCTTCAGCTCCAACCCCTTCTTCTCATCGTCCCCCCTGCCTCTCGGCGCAAAGCTGGCTGGCGCGGTTGCGCGCTCCTTCGGAACAACCTGTTGCTCACCTCCACGCGGCTTGGCCTCAAATTTGTTGTTCGTAGTAGGCTCTAGTACTGTTTTAGCTGGGTCATCCGGCTTAGCTTCTACTTTTTTCTCAACGATTTCTGCCTTCGCTTTCTCCTGTTCTTTCGGTGGGGTAGAAGTTTTCTTGCTCCCGGTTTTTGGGCTTGTTGAAGCTTTGGGCGACTTATGTTTATCCTTCTTGTTTCCCGACGCTGATTTCGGCGACGACTCTCCTCTCTTCTTACCCGCCCCGGCTGCTGCGCCGCTACTTTTCGGCGAGAGTATTGCCTGCGCAAGCTTGCCGCCCTTGCTTTTGCCTTTACTTGCGATGGGCTTTTTTGCACCGCTGCCGGGAGATAAAGAACCGTCCTTGTTCTCTTTTTCCGCCTCTTGCTTCTCCAATTCGGCAATCCGCTCGGCTAAACGCGCATGGAAGCGCTGCCGAAAGGACGGCCCCACCGTGCACCGGCTCACTGTGCACCTCTTGAAGTGCAAAATACGAGCCATTTATTAGCGGGAATTTCCCGAAAACATGATTTATTTTCGATGGCTTTTATTCGCCCCGCAATTGTCATGGTAGTGGTTGGTTTAGAGTAGTTTGTTGGAAAAACGCGGCTTGTCGCTCCTCGAACGAAGTGACTCAACTCACTTTTACTAAGTTATTCTCTCCAGAAGCGTGAAGCAGTGAATTTCAATTCCCGCTCCGCAAAATCAAATTTTCATTGCTCTGGCCTGCACTCGTCCTGCTCTTGTTGAGATCGCCAACTTACTCCTTGGCTGCCCGCAGCATCAGATCTGCTTTGCAGATCAAAGACAAGAACGCACCAGACGCAGTCTCTTCGTCGTAAACAAACGGATTATCAGAATCACTTCTGCTTTTTACTTGCAAACACCCACAACCCTAAAAGCATGCTAGAGAATGACAATTAACCGTATCGTAGCTATCGTATTTGTATTGTACAGAATAGAAATAGCATGATCCTTTTGTGAAATATCATACAGCTTCTACGTTGTTTATCATTATCTTTTTTCATTCCAAACCTTGAAAAACTATGAAAATGAAACTGATGAAATAACGGGGGAAAGACCGTCGTGACACGAAAAAAATAAACGCGACTACATAGAGCCAGAACTAAAACAAATACTTGACTTGAAAAATCAATTGCGCGAATGGCACACGAGGTGAAAGAAACAAAACTTTGCTTATTTTGAGTTGTACGATGCACCACGCTTCTCAGTGCGGCGTTGCCAGCTTGGTTCTCGCCGCCAAAGCGTTGCTGTTCGGAGCCGGGCCGTACTTCATTTTGATGGGCGAGGCGGTGGAAGTCTTGTTACTTTTCAATCCAGAGGATGCATTCGTCTTGTTCCTCGCCGCACCAGCTTGTTTTGGCGTCGACGACGCAGCTAGTACTGCAGTACCGGAAGAATTATTAAACATCTGGTCGACGTCCTGCCGAATGCCTGCTAGTTCTGCCATCCGGGGACTCCGAAAAGACCCACAGGCCTGTCGGAAACCGCCACTGGAAGGGCTGTTTGCCTTCTTTCCTGAAACTGGTGAGACGGTGGTTGATTTGTGGTCGCCCCTGCTTTTCTTATATTGTTGTTCTCCGACATTTTTATACTCCGGCCACAGCGTTGTACTAGCAGTGGTTGTCGCGGTGGGTTTATTTTCCGCCTTCTCACTATCACTCCAAAGCACCCGGGTCGACAGTTTCAGCTGTTTTATTTTCGGGTCCAGAGACGGCGAAAGTGATTTTTGTTGCTGGGAGGTGGAATTAGACTTTATCGGAGAGGAGGAAAGCAGCGGAGATGATTTGCCGTTCGCATTACTCGCAGGAGTAGGAGATCCCGCTAGAAGATGGACTACCGGAGCGGCCTGCCCTGGACTCGTCCTCGGAGATGACTTCGTTTTCAACGAGGAGAAATGGATCTCCGGCGGTTTCCCGAAAAGCGACTCCGGCACGTACTCGGCTGGAGCTTGGGTGTTCGAACAACTGCCTCCGCTTCTACTCATGTCCGCCGGCAGAATATCGTGCTGTCGTTCCCGGACGAGCTGCACCGACGTTCCCGCGGGTTTCAGAATCGTGCCGTGCGAAGATGGTGGCGCTGGCGTGGAGCAGGATGATGTCTTCACCGGGTTTACACATGCACCCTTTTTACCGCTACAACTACTGCTACTGCTATTATCACTATCCACCATCATTTGCGCCACCATCGTTTCCTCTATATTCGCACTGTAGTCGCACTTTTTTCCGCGGTACACGTCTCGTGCGTCCGCACACACTTTCGTCGTGCTCCGAGCGGTCTGCAGCAACTGCGTTCGCGGCTGCGGCTTGAACCCGAGCGGCGCTCGGGTGATTTTCGGAGTGAGGATACTGTCGTTCTGCAGGATGGAAGCTTTGCTTTTCACCACCTCGGCGGTGGACTTGGAAGTATTAGTAGTTCCTCCTTGATGTGCTGATGATCCGATTTTATCTCCGTGCTGGCCGTTCTGCTTCAATTCCGTGTACCAGGTTTTGTCCGCGTTTACACTGGTCTGGTACCCGATGTTGGTGGTGGTTGTAAGGACCCTATCTCCGCCGTCGATAGTAGAATTTGTCGCTGACTCTTTGCTCTTCTGAGACGGAACTTGCGCTTCAAACCGGCTGGACACTTTGTTCGCCCGGGTGGCGGTCAAAGTTTTCTCCGAAAAGGCCGCCGGGGCGCGTCCGTGACAAATCCCCGCAAGCGTTTTCGACACGTTGTTGGCGGCCGTTCTAGGGGAGCAGACCAGCATGGTCGGCGTTTTCTTCTTGATTCGGTACTGCTCCGCGTCAAAGCGGTTGCACTGATCCCACTGCTGACGGTCGATGGACAGGAACTTTCTCGCGGAGATAGTGGGGACCACAGCTGCGTCGGTGATCGCGTTGGTTTTCATCGTTTCCGTAGAAGTGGTACTTTGCGTGGCCTTGCTCTTGCCGAACTTTTCGCCCCGTGTACCACCGGTGGTGGCAGTAGTAGAATGACCATCAGGATGTTGTAGCAACGTCGCCATTTGCCGCGACTGCAGAGTGTTGGTGCTGCGCGTGTGGGCATTTTTGTCTTTCCCCGCAGCGGAGTTCGGACGCATCCCAGCGGCGTCGGCGTAATAGTCCGTGGCGTGCTTGCGGCCAAAGCCGAGCTTGTGGCTGGCTTGCGGGTCCAGCCGGGGTTGGGCGAGGAGGGAAGACATCGTGAAGTTACTTTTGAACCTGCTATCTATCTACCGAAGTACTAGAACGAAGATATTTTTTGTGCACAGCCCGACGAATGAGTTGTCGGACACGGCACAAACAAATTGGAACTGTGGTGATGGTGTGTTTGTCAAGTATGATTGTGTGCGACCGCGTTTGAAACGGTTAGCGAAATACTGGAAAAAAAACCTGCTGCACAAAAAAGCAGCACGCTCGGTGTACGGTCGAAGTACACAAAAAAACAAATGCACTCCGGTACCGCTCGCAAAAAAAAGCAAGCGACTGCTGCAGCCAGTCTATTACGTACAATTTCTTGCAGGAAAAAACAACAAGAAAAAAGAAACCGACAAAAAACAAAACATAGACACCTACAATAGTCGCATTTACCACCAAGGACGCGATGCAGTAGATCACGGCAATCAAATCCGTCTCGACTCAGACTGAGAGCGAGACGAACGTGGCTCACGGCGATACTGATAAAAATTAAAATCGTCCGGAACTTTTTGTGCTAAATACAAATCGGAAACTGTCGTTCTTGCTCCTTCGCGGTTCTTTGCTTGTGGAAATAGAAAGTGGATGACGATGATGATGTTAACCAGTAAAGGGTTGAAAAGATGTTACCCAGTCGTGGATGGAATCTTCATACTTATCACGTTTTGGAATAAAGCGTGATATTTGGCCACTTCAGTAGTACTTCGGCAGACAGATCCGCAGCGATTCTATGTCGACCACGAATGTCACTTCGTCGTACAGGCGCAGGACCGTTGTGTCGACGAAATTGCACTCGCCGAGAGGTCCAGCGTGCATACAAACCTTGTCGCTCCATGTTGTTTCGGCGAGAACGGTATCGTTCGGTATAGCTCCGTACCCCTGAGATGTAGTACGCAGGACAATTCTCCCACTAGTCCTGTACCGACGACCGTCGCCGGGACTGTGCTTTTTCGCCACAAAAATACTCGCTTTATTATTCGTTTCAGCTTCTTCATTTACTCCGTGGGGGTAGAACATCAGGTGCCACGGTCCGTCAGCCCCAATAACCTGAAACCCCGGCGAGGAAACGCACTGCCCTTTGGCGGAACAGGTTTTGTACGCTTTTGCCACCGAGAGTGGCCATTCGCAGGAACCGCGGACCCCTGGATTGACATCCAGTAGTCGTGTTTGTTCTTGCGATTCTTTCCTGCCGGCCTACTCGCAGCGTTCGTTTACACGCGCTCCCAGCCCGGTAACTTCGCACTGGATCTTCTGGCAAAATGTGTTCTGGTCGTCAACGAGCTTCACCATTCCGGCTTGGAGACCAGAAATCCCGGTCTCCAAAGACTGCATCCTCCCACAGCATTCGTTTACACGCGTTCCCAGTCCGTCAGTTTCGCCCTGGATCTTCTGGCAAAATGTGTTCTGGTCGTCAACGAGCTTCACCATTCCGGCTTGGAGACCAGAAATCCCGGTCTCCAAAGACTGCATCCTCCCATAGCATTCGTTTACACGCGTTCCCAGCCCGGTAAATGCGCCGTGGATGTTCTTCTCCAATATATCCTGGTTGTTAGCGAGAACGCTGATGCTGGTCTCCATGGACTGCATCCTCTTCGAGAGGTTCAGCAGGGGATCAGCTGCTGCTAACTGTTCCTGCAGAATGCTGACGTGGAGCTCAGCTGACAGATTGTTATGCTCTTCCATTTGGTCGGGCTTAACAAGTTCACAGCAGATGGCACACTCCGCAAAGTTCTTCTTGCAGACCGCCTCGTGAGCAGTTAGCTGCCCGCGCTGGAACTTCACACCACAACCGCGAGGGCAAGAAATGACCTCGTGCCGACATTCGCCTATGTGCTTCGAGAGGAAGTCGCCGTAGGTACCGGTCCAAGTGCACCCGGGGGTACGCACTGGGTTGATCTTCGCTTCGTCGCAGCCACACTTGATGCGCTTTAGGGCCGGCTCTACTCCGATGGCTCCAGTAGTCCGAACCTCTTCCGTCGCACTGCTAGTACTCGTTGCAGGCATCGCGTTGGGACAACGAACCTGATGCATGTTGTTGTGTGTTGATGATGTAGTGTTGAGGTTGGAGGTAACAACGATGAAAATGCCAAGTAAGTTGTCCTAAGACTTTGCACAAAAACACTGCAACATATCTCTACCTTCAGATCGTCTCTTGCGCTCAGGGCAAATCGGCCGCATGACTTGTATTTCTCGAGTTGTCGTTGTGCACTGAAGTCATCCCTACATACGGGGCACTTAAGCAGCGGATCTGTGCAGTTGCTTGTTGATGAATCTGGGTTTGCCGGTAACAAAAATCAACATGCAAAACGAAGATCATTTGAGTGACAAGTCACGATGGCCAATAAAATGATCATGCCCACTATGTAAATGCTGACACCTGACGAGAATTATGATGAGAATCCGAAAAACCATACCAATGCACGAGCGACAGAAGATCCGTCGGCAACTGCATGTGGTCTCCACCGGGTCAAGCCAGACGTGCAGACAGACGGGGCAGGTCACGTTTTCCGCGTCTTTCTTCGATAGCAAAATATCCTCGACGTAGAAGCGAGCCATGCTTTCAATTCTTTCCCAGAGATAATCGGCAATGTACTAGTACAACTTTCGCCAAAGCGCAAAACTCTTGCAGTTGGAAAATGTAAACCCTAAAGCAATACCAAACCTGACCTGATATCAACAATCGAATATATAAACCAGAAGATCGGAAACTCTTGTATACACATCTTTACTTAATCGGAAACTCTTGTATACGAGAAGAATACCAACTTTCGCTGTCCCTCGACACGCTTGAAGTCGTAGTCGAGCATGTTGGTGGATACAATCACAAAAGACCATTGCTCAGCGGAAAATAATAAGAAACCAAAAATAAAACTGCCTTCGCCAAGAACGTCGAACCTCGGTCCTTCGAGGACGCACACAAACACATATCGTGATCAAAATCAAGCGAACAACGCCAGTGATTTTACCGTTGGTTCTTTAGGATGAAACCGGATCAACAAGGAAGACAAATTCGCTAGATCGGAGTTAGAATGGGGCTTTCAGTTGTGATGTGCTGTCGTCTGTAGTTTGGTGTCGTCGTCCTCGTGGGTAGTGGATATAAAAACACATTAGCAAGCCTCAGGTTTCGTTTCCAAAGCTTACTGTTGCACCTTCTGAAGTTGAATGTGCTTTCGCCGCTGCTCCTGCTTTTTCCTCTGTATGCCCGCGTGGTTTGCCTCCCCCTCGAAGAGGATGAGCTTCTTGCGAGCTGGATTTTCGAAAATTGTCGTGGCGTAGAGGCGCGAATCGGTGTGCAGTTTCACCTTCACCAAGGGCGCATCGTATTTCACCCCATTCGCTTTGTGTTGCGACGACACAAATCCTTTCTCCTGGATTGCGCGCTTGTACGCAGGTAGATTCTCCAGATCCTCGATCTTTGTGACGAAGGCCGCAAAATACCGCGTCTGGTTCGCCAGCCGCACAACCTCTTTCACACCAGAATGATCTTTCTCATCAGCAGACGTATTCTTCCAAACGTATTTCGTTTCCTCCGCCGCCCGCCCGAACCAAGACCTGCTAGGTGTAGCCTGCGGCACGCGCCAGGAGGTGCTCTCGGTGGTACTGGCCGCTGGAATCGCGCGTCCGTGTAGGTCGAGTGTTGGTTGCAACTCAGTGATGGTGGCGAGCAGGTGCTGCTTGTACTTGGGCATGAAATACTCCTCGATCTGCTCCCTCGTCGCCTGCGTGAACCACTCGTCCGCGAGCTCCGCGTCCTTGTGGTCGTCTGTGCCGTACAAATCCAAAAGCAGAAGCTGCGCTGCTGCCCCCGAGACTGGACCAGCCCCCGGACTACGTGGTTTTTCGCTACCTTCACCTTCGTGTCGCTCCTCGTCTGAAAGAGTACTTTCTTCATCAGGCGAAAAATACTCCTCCTCGTCGCGCTCCGCTGGTGTTGTATCTGGGATACCAAGATTTGCGCTAGCCTCCGCCTCCTCCAGGTGGCAGAATCGTTCCAAAAAGGCGAGCAGCAACGCGCCTTCGGGAAGATCCAGGCACTCAGCGAGGGATTCCAGGATGTCCCGCGCGGCTTGGTAACGCCCTTGCTGCAAAACGTCCTTGCTCTGCTTTACCACCTGCAGGAGCGCCAGCTCACGCATGCCAGAGGCGTCGGTTGTTGCTTCTGCGGTTTGCTCTGCAGTCGCAGTTGGTGTTGCAGTTACTTCTCCCCTCCCGTGAGCCAGCCAAACCTGCAGACGCTCCAGTACGCGGTCAGCACTCGTGCTGCACACCGTTAGCTCCGACTCAAGCAGCAGGAGCGGCACACACTCATGCATCCGCATCTCATACGGAAAAGTGGCTCGGAAATCTCGCAATTTCCTCGTGGCCGCCTCCACGCCCTGACTCTCCTGCGCGAGCAACGCTTTCAGCACGTTCCAGACGTAAACGTGGTTCCAGCCGTTCAAGAGAAGCAGGCCTTCGAAAAGTTTCGTCGCCGCGACTGCGTCCCCGCGACGGCGCGCGTCGATTCCCAAAATCTGCTGTCGCACGCACTCGAAAAATCGTGTGCCTTGCTTCTTTTGCAGCAGGGAGGCAGAAACGCCCCGCAAGGAGGACAATTTCGTGCGCTCGTCGTTCATGCGGACGAAGGTGTCGATCAAGGCCAGCCCGTCCTCCGGAAAATTGTTATCCGCAGGGATCGTTATGTAGGACATCCGGTGCTCTATGTGCTTCAGCTTCTGCACCATCTCGCGCGCCGCTGCCGTTCTACCCTGTTCCATCAGAATCCGCACCCGCAGCATGGTTAGCGCCCGTCCAACGGCGCCGTCGACCTGCAGCTCCTCTCGATACGCGATGGGCACGTCCGAGGATGTGCCCCGCACGCAAAGCACCTGGTCCGCGCTGGTGACGCCCTCCAGCTTTTTCAGTCGTTTTTCGGCATCAGCAAACTTCCGCAGCTCGACTTCGACGTGCGCGAGCTCAAAATCGACGCGGAGGCCCAGGTACAGGTAGTCGTCGTTCTTCAAGGAGCTCTGCTTTTTGGCGTTTTGTTCCTTTTCTCCACGCAGCTCTTTCACCACGTCCTCCGCACGTCGCATCATTTCCGCGGCTGCTACGAAGCAGTGGCTCTTCCTTTTCATCACCCCAATCTCAAGTAGAATCGTCGCGTAAACTTCGCGGGCATTTTTCTCGCGTTGCTTCCGAATCACGACGTCCTCTGCGGATGCACCTCCGTCAGCCTGGCCGATGTGATTTATCCCATTAGAATCTAACTTCTCTTCCTGATGTGATGAACAGTTGTTCAGAGGGTAGTTCACATTGATCCCAAGCAGCTTCTCGCATTTTTTCTGCAGTACCCGCAGATTCTTCTCCACCTTGTCAGAGATCCGCATGGCTCTGAGCGTGGATAGCAGGCGCGGCAGAGCGCTCTCGGCCATGCGCCCCTTCTCAACGCAGTCCATGAAAAATGTGAAAGCCTTTGTGATATGTTGCTTCTGCTCCTCGTCGGCGTTGGGATTCATCTCCGCCCGAAATTTCTCGTCCCTGTCCCACATGATGCGCTCGAACACGTACAACCCCTGGAACAAATGCACAAGGCCGCGAAAGTACGACTCCGTCCCCGAGGGCCATTTCTTGGCCGCCATAATTTCGCGTCTCCTCGCCATGGTGGACTGGGGAAAGGCGGTGCTGCGTCCGCGAAGTATCTGGCTCCTCGGTGGAAGCGGCTTATCGAGGATATCGTCAGAGTTCAAAAGAACTTCCAGGGCTCTGTGGTTCTCAAATTCCAGGGCGCGCTCGATCGCTTCTGGAATGCTGTCGCGGAGGCTGCCGCTCTTCTGCGCAAAACCGGTGCACGCCATTATGGCCCACTGCTCCACCGCTTCCGACAGGAATTCGAAGTCGTCGAGCACAATTCCTGCGTACAGCACGTCCTTGATGTCGTCTTCCGTCGGTACCAACATGTAACGTTCGGCCTCCTCGTACGCAACAGACTTCAGAATGCCCTCGAGACTGCCGGCCGGGAGATCGTCCGCTGGCGCTTCGGCATCTTCTGCTGCAGGACCCGCCACAGCAGACTTGCTTTTCCCTCCGCTTCCCGAAGTCGTGTCTTCCACCAACGTCGGTGCAAGCTTCGGTGGCGGACCACACGCAGTGAAGTTTCCGGACCGATTGCCGCTCGGATGAGTCTTCTTGTCCTTCCGCGTCGCACTGCCTACGATGACCGGCGAGGCGTTGCGCTTCGTTCTCGCTGCACCTGCGCCCTTGTTCCCGGCGGCGGATGGTGCGTCGAGGGTCAAGTTCGTCTTCTTTCTGTCGCGGGCGAGGTGGAACTTGATGGCTTTTGCCGTCACCTCAGCTTTGACGAACGCTTCTCTGTCCTCCAGTAGCGGCCCACGCTCCAATTCCTTCTTGATTTCTTTCGGAGTTATCTCTGGCCGCTGCTCCACGAGGTAACGTGCGGCCGTCTGCCAGTCTTGGAAAACTGGGTGCTCCTCCTGAGGGAGCACGCTGTGCTTTTCCGCAGGAGTGGCGCGGTTGTTTTGCTTTGCCGCGTCTCCGTTGCTGCTAAGAGATTTCTTTATCCCCCCGCTGGTGAACATTCCCCGGAAGATTCCGCCGCCGTCAAACTTCTCCGGCGGCCTATCCTGGCGGTTTTGTTTTTGCCCGTCGGACTCTGCAGTAGTACCGCTTCGTCTCAAGCTGCTTGACGCCGCGGCATCATTGCGCCGCGGGACCGATTCTGTCGTCGACCCCGTGCCCCTAGTCGCAACCTGCACATGCGAAGCAAAACCTGGAGTGGCCGCGTCGCCAATCTTCTGCTTCGTCATTTGGATTTGTTCCGGGCTGAGCCCTTCGCACCATCTGGGCTGGATAAAGTGGTCGGGTAGGCACTGCATCATGCGAATCATCTTGTTGCGAACCTTACCTCGGTTCGCTGCCGTCGGCGGGAAACGCTTTATCACTTTCTCGTACTTGCGGTCACCCAAGGCTAGCTCGTAATCCTGATGAGCGTCTTCGATGGGCACCTTCCACACAGCCCCGGACGCCTCGTGGCGCAATTCGTAATGTGGTATGGGCTCGTTGCTACAGCGGTCTACCGCAATAAGTGAAGAAAGCACAGTGAGAAAAGTTTCATTCTTCCCGTTCTCGTCCGTTGATCGCAGTCTGGTATCTCGGGGAAGCTGGATGAAGCCGGCTTCACTATCAGACAGGAAGGTTCCCGTACCTAGAAAACGCGCCATTTTGTGTCGTCACCGTCAGGAAAGCGAAAGCCTGCTGTTACGAAGTATCTATTACCACAAATTACGAAACAACTCTTCTCCTTCACCTTCTTGGAGCACAATGTAAAAATGCTGCATAAATTCACAAAAAGTGTTCGTAGTTGGATGTTTTTCAAACACCAGCAGCGTAGCTTTCGAATCAGGTTTAGATTCGCACTCGCGTATTATCAAAAATCACTAGAGCTAGAAGGGCACTGGATCGATCGCACGAAAAAGCTAACGAACAAAAATGAAGAGGGAGGAAGTTCTGCTTCTGCGTATCTTCATCGTGGTTCATTTCACTGGACCCGTGTAAGTATCCACCAACTGGATTCGGAATTTTGATTCACGTGTCTGGAATAAGTTATCTTTCAACGGATTGATGAAGGCCCTTCTCCTGGCCTAATCACATTCACCTGCGTTGCGTTGGTGACGAATTTAACATTTTTCCTGTCCTGTTGGGGCCGATCGTGCCTCGGATCCATCGGAGCAGTATTCGAAAGTAAAGCAAGCACGTGCACACGTAGCTCTCGAAAAGGGTATCATTTGTAACGAGCTGATCGAGAAAGTACCGGATCAATAAATACAGCTCGAAAAGTCCAGCAAAGTAGTCGTGGGTGGCGAAACAAAGGCGCTAGCCGTAGTCTGGAAGGCGGGTCTGCACCGACACAAAATCTACATAAAAAATAACTTTTTTGTGCTTTTTTATTTTCGCTATCTCCGCAAAGTCCGGCATTCCCGTTCCAACGTCGGAATCGATCACCACCTGGTCAAACGTGTGCCGAGCCAACTCTTGTCCTTGTGTGACGATATGCAGAGAGGTAGTATCCCCGCTGCGGAGAACAATTGTGCCAACAACGACCGGCCTGCCCGGCGGCGCTATCAATCCGACAGATGCCCACCCATCCCTTTGATAGCCTTGCGGAAGAAACACTAACTCCCAGGAGCCGTTTGGCCCTTGAAGAGTGCGCGTAATTTTCCGACTTCGATTGGGGTTGTCGGCGTAGGCTTTCTGCACATCCACTGTCCAAAAAAACGAGCTCGTATTTGCTGAAGATTTTGGGAGATTCGCTACCGCTTGTCGTGCGTCGTCCGCAGCTTTCTTGCAACTGGTCGCTACGTGCCCTTGCAGCGACGCGATCTGGCTGCTTACGTGCCCGCGCAGCGACGCGATTTGACTGCTCTTCGCTGTTTCCTCCTCCAGCCTCTGTAGGCGCTTGTCCATTCCATTCACCAAATCCAGCAGCGGGCTGGCTTCCGCCAGCTTCTTCTGCAGTATGTAGACGTGAAGTCGCGCCTTCTGCTCGTTGTGCTGTTCCAGCGCCTCCTCCTTAATCATCTCGCCACAAATTTCGCACTTCGTCAGATTCTTCGCGCAGGTCTTCTCGTGCGCGGTCAACTCTCCACGTGGGAACTCCATGCCGCACCCCCGCGGGCAGGATATCAGTTGGCACGGACACTCAGCCATGTGCTTCGCAAGCAAGTCGCCGTACGTTCCGGTCCACGTGCAGGAGCTAGCATCTGCTACAGCGCACTCCGTCTCATGGTCCTGTTCGCGCTTGACGCGCTTCGTTGCTGGTTCGCCGCCAGTGGCACCCGCTCCTGTCTGATCATCTTCTGTTGCACTACTGGACCCCGTCCCCGGGCCGGAACTGGAGCTACTTCCTCCTTGTTGCATTGGCGTAGCGTTGGGGCAGTGAACCTGATTTTAAATTTTTGAGTTGTGGGAAACTTCCGGTGGACCTGGACCTACTCGCATCAGGAAAGTGTGCCAAAAAACGACGACGACTCATGAAAGCAAAGGTGCAAACAACTACGAAGATATTGCGTACTTACCTTCAGGTCATTCATTTGGTTCAAGGCAAACAGGTTGATATCCCGCAGTGGCGTATATCTCTTGCTTGGCTCTAGTCCTGAGAAGTCTCTGCGGCAATGCGGGCACGCAAGCAGTGGATCTGCAGTAGAATAGGTTTTTACGTCTTTTTTTCATGCATTCCGAATCCGAACAATAAGGGCTCCGACCAGGCACAGCAAATCATACGACACAACAGATGAAAAAACTATACCGATGCAAGACCGGCAAAAGATGTGCTGGCACATCGTCTGCACTGGGTCGACCCAAAGACAGAGACAAACGGAACAGCTGACAGCTTTTGCGGCCTCCTTGCTGTCCACATGGACAATGTCCTCGGGCTGAAACTTCATTCTCTTCTGAAAAGTTTGATCGTGCCTAGTACGCCTCTTCCTTATCTCAAAGAATTAAACAGGTACAAAGCCAGGTGCTCTAAAAAAAGGATCGAGGAGCACCCGTGAGCATGGTTGCTCAAGAAGTTCTATGTATCTGTACAGACTAGCAATCAAAAAATTCTACTCTCAAGAAGTTTCTATCTGTACAGAAACACACCTAGCAATCAAAAAATTCTGCTACTGTTTGACCTTGGTAGTGTACAAGACTGCTAGAAAAGACAAGAAAAAGACCACGATAAAACTACGAGTCGAAGCCGCAATCTGTCTCCTTTCTCTCTCGAAACGATTTGCGAATCTACATTCTGCATGTGCATTGAAGGGGACAGTGAAGAACACTGTTGCCTACACATAGCTCCGCGATTTGTCTGCATTGATCACTTTGCCGAAAACAATGCATGTTATTTGATGGTCTACTCAGTACTTAATCTGCAAAGAGGAATTGGACATGAAGCTCATGTCTCTTTGCTAAGAATAGTTTCAACCTCACAACAACCCATTCTTCGAACGGTTTCAGCATGTCTTTGTTCTCTGGAAGATAGCTTTCAAACATTTTTTCGCATCACCAACATCTGCGCCCGGCAGTTTAGCTGTAATTTTTCTTGTTCGTATACATTTTTATGATGAAAATGAATCTTATTGACATGATTCTTCCAAAAACTCGGCATCAAGAATTCGGCATAGATGGCTTTGTTGCGGACAACAACTGCAACGTTCGTCATTATATGTAAGAATCCAAAAGCGGGCAGATTACCTATACAACCAACCAAAAAATCTACAATATCCTGTAACACACCTCCCCGGCCACCACTCTCTCTTCTAACCAAACCCCGCAGACATCGTTGTCGACCCCAGCGCCACATAGAACATTTCCATCTTGCTCAAATACTCTCGCGCTTCAAAATCGGGCGTTTCCGGAGCGTTCGCCGGCAGAAAATCTCGGGCCGCGAGCCGCATTCGCGTTTCGTGCGTGATTCGCTGGCGGGCGAGAATGGTGTGGATACTGGCGTCGTTCAAGACCCGGCACGCATCCGACAACCTCGTGTCTTTATCGATGCACACATTCTGCCCCTTGGCATTTATCACTCCCTGTCCCTGCGAAAACTGATTACTATTTTCGCTCGAAGTAGAAGATGAATTATCTTGTAGTTCTCCTCGTCCTGCCACTCCCGAAGAAACTTTCGAGCTCGCCGCTGACTGCGCGTAGATGGAGGTGGATTTAGAAACTGTGCTGGCGGTGCTGGAGAGTTCTTGTTCCCCAAAATCCGGATTTGCGGCCTTGTCCAAGAGGCGTTTTAAAGTGACGGAAAAGGGCCGGAACTTTTTCAATTTGTTATTTCCGTGAAGGTCAGCAGCGAGATCCTTGTGGCTGTAGTTTATCTCGGCTGCCGTGCTGCTATTCAAACCCGAAGAGGACCCTCCACCGCCGTCTGCTCGAAGATTTGACGAAGTTTTACAGCCTATTGGTTGGAACATCCAGCTATGCAGTGTGTACTCCTCTAAATCCAGCAGTCCCGCCATGTATCAAATGTAAAAATGTCTGGGTCTGGAAGATTGTAACTTGTCATGCGAAATATGCAGCATGCAAAAATCTGTGTTGCATGATTACCAAAAGTCGTCCAGTTTTGACCAAGTCGGGAGGTAGTTTCTCATGCAGGATAGGCATTAGAAAGGTCTCGCAGAATCTGTCATGCTAGCTCCGGCATTCCAGACCTCGTGGGTCATGGAAAAGCAGCATGACAAATCGCGCATTCTTCCAGACCCAGACATTTTTACATTTGATACCATGTCCACCAATTTTAACGCCGCCAAAACCTGTTTCTGGTCGATGTCCAGGTAGTATTTCGGGTAAGAAGTTTTCGGCTGGTTTTCTTGGTTTGCAATTCCATCTCCCTCTCGGCCGCTTCTGCTATTTGCAACAATTTGCGGGGGCACGACCGCGAGACAATTTGTGCTCAACGACGAGAACACACCGATCAGTTCCGCGAGAATCATGGGCCAACAGGGGGTCAGGTACCGCGGACTCATCTTCAGTAACAACATCCGGATCACGAACAACACCTCCGAACGCAGTTCCGAAAAATACCGGGCCGTTTTCGACAGCACTTGCGGCGAGGGGATGGCGTTGCTGGGCCCGACGCAGGTCCGCACCGCGTCGTTGTCATCGTAGTAGTCGTTGTAGGTGGAAGACGAGGAATTATATGCGCCAGAAATAAATTCATGTTCCTCAGGCATGTAGGAAGTATTGCTAAAGAAATTCCGAGGATTCCCTACGCCGCCTGTAGCCCCACCACCGCCCAACTGCAAGTCGCTATTGGCCACGGTCTGCAGACACTCGGACAGTTTGTCCATGATGTCTCGTTATCAAATGCAAAAATGTCTGGGTCTGGAACATTCTAAACTTGTAATGCTGTCTCTGGATTTTGAAAAAAATTGTATTGCATGACCTTATTTACCCCTCAACCACTAAAATGACCAGCAAGAGGACTCCAGTTTGTGCTACGAGGAGAGGGCATTTCTCATGCGGTAGAGGTATCACAAAGCGCTCTAAAAATCTGTGATGCTACAGTATGCATCACAGACATCATGGGTCATGGAAAATATGCATGACAAATCTAAAAATCTTCCAGACCCAGACATTTTTACATTTGATACCCGTAGCTCACTCGCAAATTGGTTCTCCGCCCCCGCGTACAGAACGAAGCAGAGTCGCCGGAGAAACTGCAACCGCTGCGCCCGGTCCTGCTCGACGGACTGCAGCAATGAGGTTTTCGAGGGCCAACAGATCTGAAACAACAACTGCACCTGCCCGTCGTTCGCCAACACCTCCGCGCGCTGCTTCTGGTGCCGGCTCTTGATTTTCCTTGCGGGTACTCTGTGCAACTGCTGCATTAGTCCTTCTTGCGGCCGATGTTGGGCTGACAGAATTTGTTCCGGTGATTCATCTTCGAGAAGAAAATTTTCCGGAGTAGTTCTAATGTCTTCAAAGTCGTCCTCTATGTCGCCGAGCAGAGACGTGTGTGACTTTGCAACCCTGTTGCCGATGTTGCGTCCTGGTGTACCTCCATTCAGCAATCCGACGCTGTTGCCGTTGTTTCTGTTGAATGACGAGACTTCTATTCGTTGCAGGTGCTGCTGCTGCTCTCGGGAAGCGGAGGAAAACGAAAACGAATTTTGCTTAGATCCCATGGCTGTTCCCCTTTGCTGCAACTCCCCGATTGTTCCACAATTCTCCTCCACGCCTGCTCCTCGAGAGGTTCTTGTTCTCGCGTAACACTGTTCATCGCGTTCTTCCTCGCTCTATCAAATGCAAAAGTGTCTGGGTCTGGAAACTTGTGATGCTGGGTGGCGTCTCATGATGAGGCCACAGGTGCTGGCTCAGCATGACAAGTTTCTGAGCTTCTAGGTGTTGCCTACTCATCATGACAATCAAACTGCGTTTCTGCATCACAGAAGAATAGAGCTCTTGGGTAACTTGCATGACAGATTTAAGAGTCATGCCAGACAAGCATGACAAACATGCACTCTTCCAGACCCAGACATTCTTGCATTTGATACGCTCCCACTTGTCCCGCCCGCCCCACTTCCAGTTGGAAACCCCAACTGTTCCGCGTGGAAATACAACAGCAATTCGCCCACGATCTCGGCCCAGCAACGCAAACTACGGGCGGTAGAAACGTTCAAAGCGAAGAAGTTCGGGCTGTTCACTGCGGACACGAGCGTTTTGTTCAACTTCGTCTTCAGAATGCTCTCCCGGTACAAATCGAACGGCAGGTTCGCGACCGAGGTTAGCAGTAGGTAGACCCACTCTTCTTGAAAAAGCTTGGTCGTTCCCTTGTCAATTTTCAAATATTGGAGCTCGTTGTGGGTGACGGAATGCACTAAACTACAGTATTTGCTGCTGTACAGTAAAGCGTCCAGAAACAAGGTCCCGAATCTCGTCTGCGTCGAGCTGCATTCGTTCACGTCGCAAAGGAAAACGATGAGAAAGCGCAAACTGCAAATCGCGAGTTGATCACGAGCGGGAAGGGGAGGTGGGGGTGCTGATGGTGCGGAGGGGGAAGAAGATGCGACTAGGGTTTGATGCGGTCCTCGAGTAGTCTGCTTCTGCTGTAGCTGCTGTACCATCCAGCTGAGATCCAAATGAGCGCCTGATGATGATGCAGTTTTGACAGGATGAACCGTTGCTGCTTCATCTGGGGAACGATCAAAATTCGTATTCCCTCGACTACCGAAGGTTCCGCCGGGGCCCGCGCAGGGCAAACAAGAAACGGACTTGTGCTTATTCAGCATATCGAGGTTGCTACTGCTCGTGCTCGCTCCAGCAGTCTTTAGAATCTTATTGTTGCTGTTCAGCTGCTGCCGTGGGTCCTTTCCGTCTTTTATTTCCACCCCAGCTCCAGAAGTCGAAGATACACCAGGTGTCTGCACTCTCGACCTTGCCTGCAATGTTTTTTGGTGCCAGAACTTCTTCTGCGCACCATCATACTCACGCGTCATTTCGAGTTGCGGGGGCAGTGGCGGGTGCAGCAAGTGATGCGCCTCGGAAGTTGTATGTTCTTTATTTCTCAAGCTACTGCTAGTACTGCCACTCAGCAGTTCTGTCGGCTGCTCCATGGCCACTAATCCGATCAGAAAGACCACCAGCGCGGTGACGTCTTTCCGGAACCGTCGGATGTCCAACTGATCGAAAATTTGCTGCTCGTAGAGGATTGGTTGCTGCAACGCACTTCCATTACTGGTCGTATTTCGGCCTGTTTTACTCCTTCTCGCGTTCACGGCGAGGTTCCGCTGTGTAATCCCATCGCACAGCTGGATCAAGGACAGCACCCATAGCATCGTCACGGGCTGCTTAGAATGCTTCACCGCGGCGGTGGCGATACGCGCGACGCTCTTCCAGAGGATCTCCAGCGAGGACAGCCCGCGACTGCAGTGCGACATGTAGCTGTACAGGAAATAGAGAAGCAAGTTTTCCTCGTTCGGCGGGATACAGCTTGATACAGGAGTGGTCTCTTGCGCGACGTTCGGTCCTCGGGAGCTAGTAGAGCCATCTTGAGTAGTACTTGCTCTAGTGCCCGAAGTGCCGTGCTGGTAATTTCGCAAATTGGAAGTGGTTGGTCGTCCCGTTAAAGTCGTAGGATCCTCGTTGTGTGTCGTGAATGCCGCTTCTATACTAGAATCGGCATGATCATTCTTCGCAGATGAGACTTCCCGGGGAACTTCTTTCGAAGAAGCAGTCCTGGTTTTGTTCTTGTTGCTCCCCACACTGCAACTCAGCTCCTTTTCGAACGCGACCGCCACACACCGCAACACGATCTCCGGCTTGGCTTTCTCCAAGGACGCCAGTGTTTCGAGGAGAGACGGTAAAATGCTCTGCTTGTCGCGGCAGATACGCAAGACCGACTCCACGAAGAGCTGCGGAAACCGGGCGAAAATCGAATTCAGCATCGTCTTCATTTGCCTCCGGATGTTGTCCCGCGTGCCGCTAAGCGCGAGAGACGAGGAGGATGTTGCTGCAAATCCAAATGCCCCTCCAGAAGATGTGAAACTCTCGTTCAAATTGTTGTATCCGGAGCCAGTAGAAGTTGTCCTCCCTCCCACTGCACGAGGAAAATTCATCTGTTTATTTCCAGTTCTATTCTGCCCCGAAATGCTTGCGACCGATGCGACGGTGACAGCCAAGATTTCCGGGATTACTTCAAACAGCATCGTCCGGACTTGTTGCGACGTCTGACTTTCCGCGGAATTGTCCCCCCCGCTTCCCGATAAAACCAGTCCGAAAAACCAATTGGACGCCCGGTTAGTGGTCGTGCCCTTAGATGTTGAATAACCGGTTGCACTCGCCCCACTCCCATCCGCGTCCTGTTTCGCGTCGCACTGCGACAAGCAGGCGTGCACGATGTCGCAAATGCCTCGGAGAAAGTGGCTGGTGACAAGCTCGGTCTGCTCCAATTTTCGCTCGTTCATGGCTTGGGTGTCCCCCCGAAGCTGAATCACCTTCTGAATCTCCTGGCAAAAACTACTCACCGCCGCAGCCACCACGCGCGTGAACTCCGCTGGCATGGCAGAATATCCTGTGCAAAAGTATCGCACTCGTAGTAATTTTTGCAAACATGCATTTACAAATCTTGTTCTTAGGCTAAAGCCGCATCACAAATTTTATTTCTCATGCTAAGGAAATTTGTATATGCATTTATACGAGTACGATACTTTTGCAATGCATACAGAAACCTGGCGCACGATGAACACCATGAACTCAACAAACTGGGCTATCGTGCTGGCCTGCGAATTATGAAATGCAAAAATGTCTGGGTCTGGAACATTCTGAGCAGACTTGTCATGCACGTTTTCCTTGGGCCATGATGTCTGTGATGCATGCCCTAGCATTACAGACTTCTTCAGGGCTTCGCGATGCCTATTCCGCATGGCAAATGCCCTCTCTGCATAGCCAAAATTGCATTCCCTTTGCTGCTTATGCAATACAAATTTTTTTGGAATCCAAATGCAGCATCACAAGTTCGGACTCTTCCAGACCCAGACATATTTGCATTTGATACGAATACCGTTGGAAAATCGCGTCGTCGCCGAAATTGTTATTACTTGTTAGGAGTTTATTAGAGGTACTAGAGGAGGAAGTAGTTGAAATCGATCTAGAAGTAGCAGCCGTGTTCTTTATCCCTGCGTGCTGCTGCAACCGGCCGATTGCCCGTAGTAAACAAGGCAGCAGCGGTGGGTAGCAGGCCAGGGACCCGGAGAACTTTTGCCGCTGGTGGTCTGGTGGTCCGCGTTGTGCTCTGGGCTTATAATTTCTTTGTGAAGTAGTTTGCTTCTTCGAATTATGCCGGTCTTGGTACAACCTTGCCGACGATGTTGAATCAACAGTCGCCTTTTCCCGCACAGTTGGAGTCGATGTGTTCGAAGACATTGTCGCAGAAACACCCTGGCTCATGGTCGTCCTCCGCCTCGATTCTTGCAGGAGCGAGGCATTAGTGGTGAAGTTTTCACGACCATCTACCGAGCTGTTGGGGCTCAAGCCGGAGGGCGAAGTAGATGATACGGTCAAACCAAAATGATCCTGCGGCTCTCCTTGTCGTCCAACCGCGGGGGTTATTTGTGGAGTCCTTTCCAGCATCATGTCGCGTTGCGAGGTCGGAGAGGTAGTACTAGCACCGCTGCTGTTGCCAATGACCTTCCGCATCACGTGAGAAGTTGCCATCTCACTAGTTTGTTGATTCGTAGTTCCGGCAAAGCTGCTAGTACAACTTTTACCCGCCATCTCTTGCCCCCCGGAGGCGAATTGGTTGGACAGCACCAGCATGACGCGGAGAATACCGATCAGATGCACCTGGATGGTGTAGTCCCGCGCCCGAATCGTCGCGTCCAAGATCTTATGAACTGCAAAAGTATCGTACTCGTATAAATGCATTACAAATTTCCTCAGCATGAGAAGTAATGCGGATTTACCTTAAGTAAAAGACCTGTGATGCAAGAATTGCATTTATACGAGTACGATACTTTTGCACAGGATAGATCTGCAAAAGCGGGTCAATCAGGCAGGCACAGATCTCCCGTCCTATCGCAAGAAAAAAGTGTTACGCTTACACATTGCGTTGCAAGACCGGCAACAGAGACAACCTTTCTCATGCAGGAAATGCTTGGGAGCCTCGTTTCCTTCCTGTTTTCCCTTATGATCTTCGCATTACAAGTTTTCTCTGCCACACAGAAAAAATTTGTGATGCAGAAACTCCAACAAATGTGTAACTGTAACACTTTTTTCTCGTGATATGTCCCTTCTCCGGGTTGCTGATCGGACCGAGAAAGGACTTGAGAAACTCGCCGCTACTCGCCCGAATGGCATTCACAAGTCCCTCGATACGACTGGAGAAGTAGAGATCGGGACTAAGATTCAAAACTTTATTGCTGGTACTTGTTCTCGTGGTTGCATCTTGATCGGTCGGGGAAATGTCGGCTTGCCGCTTGACTTTGAGCCGCAAGAACTTTTGCTCAGAAGGAAGCACAACCTGCGTACTGCGCCCGGTTGGGAGGGGATGTAGTGCGGGTTTGGATTCAAGACTAGGTTGCAGTGTCGCTAAAGGGGACTGATACGGCTCCGAGGCAAGCGCGGTTTCCCCCCCCGATGGCTGCGTCTCTGCTGCTGCGTCATGTTCGTGCGGCTTCGGCGCCTGATTTTCTCCACTGTCTGCCTTACCACCTACCGCTCCTTTTTCGCTTGCAGCTGTATCTTCAGCACATCCTTTTTCATCTTCGCACGGACCCTCACCGCTGACACACCCCTCTGCGACAACTGGCAGCTCCGTCATACGGGCGGAGCAATTCCTTTGGTCCTGTTCCTGAAGATCGGCGCTATTACTACATATCACGGATTTATTCGAGCCCCCACGACTATCGGAGCTCCGCTGACTAGTCTTACTACCGGCCGAAATGGTCGACACTGAGCTAGAAACAAGTTCCGTCGAGCCCGAGAATGTCGATTCTGTGGACGTTCTTCCCAGGCCTGTAGTCGAGCTGCTGTTGGTCCCGTCTGCGGTAGCTGGTGTTTCGGGAATTATCAAGTGTGATGTTTCTACTAGCACGTCTTGGACCTCCTCTTCAGCTGTCGTTGTGGCCGCACTGTCAAAGACGTTTCCGCCAGCGCTCGTCCTTTTTTCCGACGACTTTGGAGGTCTAACGAAATTATAATCCGCACTACTTCTAGTTCTACCACCAGCCGCTGCACCAGCCGCATTTGTTCCAACACTTTCCTTTCCCAGCATCCCTGCCGCTGCGAGAAAAACGTTCTTTCCCAATTCGCTCTGCCAGTCGTCCAGCTGATGCCTCGTCTCCGGGCCGTTGGTCGGGAGTTCCAGGAAGCAGAGACACGTGTGGCACATGAAATCAGCGTAATCCTTCACGTGACTCGCATCCCGGGGGCAAAAATTTCCAACTTCGCTGGCTTTCGAGCTGACGCTCAGCTGCAACCAGTGGATGTGGCAGTAGTAGTCCTGCAACGCTTCCGTGAGGTGCTTGCTCACCCTGTGCCGGCGCATCTGGTCGAACATCAAGTGGTAATCGGCCTGGACCAGGGAGGTGAATATTTCGAAGATGGTAAGGCACCGCTGCAGCATTTTCGCCACACCATCGACCACGGTTTTCTCCATTCTTCTTGGCGATAGGACAGTTGTCCTGCTGCCTGTAGCACCCATTTTCGCCGCTGCAGCTTGGGGGTCCATTTCGGAAGAGGAATGAAATTGAAGATCACCCGTTTGCTGGTGCAGCATCGGGACAACTTCTGATGTTTCTGCTTCACTCGTATTCGTCGTCCCGGAGGTTCTTTCGGGTTGTTCACCGTTCCTCGCCGTTCCGGGCGCTTGTTTCGCCGTCGCGTCGGCGAGCAGCTCCCCCGCGCGGGAGGAAAAGAACCGTCGCAGCAGGACATGCTTCGGCGACGCGACGCGCTTTCGCACGGATTCGGGAGGCTGCTGGGAATAATTCTCGTGAGTATTCTGGCTGTCGACGTTGTCCGGCGCTAGTTCAACCGGTGCAAGCAGAGAGTCGCTACTTCTTTCCGCCGTGTCAGGTGTTGTTGACCTTGAGGCAGTCTTATTTTTCGTTACCATCAAAAGGAGAAAGGCCAAAAGGTCCTCAAATAACGGATCCAGCAAACAGGGAAGGTGCGAAACCGCCTCCACGGCCCAGCTCCTCGCGATGTGCTTTAAATTCGGCTCCTTGGCGTCCAAACACCCCAGGACTAACTTCGTGACATTCGGGAAAAGAAAATTCGCATATCTCGGGACGAACTGAACCCGGTCGTGCGACATAATACTTTTCAAACAACCATCGTTGAACATCTCCAGTGGCATTTCGTAAGCCGCGTGGTCTTTCGTAACCCTCTTTTCTGCGAGAAACGTCTGCGAAAACTGGTCCACGGCGACCAACGACTCGAGAATGTGGATGCGCTGATTTATAATGTCGACAGTAGAGCCGTCCTCTTCCCCATCCAGCGTGCGGGCAAACATTCCGCAAGAAGTAGAAGACCCTTGAAGATGCCCTGCCGTTGTAGTAGGATAAAAATTGTTCGTCCCGTGCTGGTGTAGTGCGGCCAACAGCGTGACGCCGCTGCGCCACAGACTCGCGTAGCGGATCACGCCGGTCATGGGGTTCCCACTTTGGAAATCGGCAACCAGGATATCGGCAATGGAGATTTCCTCGGTCAAGTTCTTCCGCGTCATGACTTCCCTATTCAGGTTGATCAAGAGTTCCACGATCGTTACGTCCAAATCAATGCTACTCGTGTTCAACAGCCGCCACAGGTGTAAAACGATTTTTGGAATACTGGCTCCGAGCGTGTAGGACGTTGGCAAGCAAGAGAGCAAGCCCGTGAAGGTCCGAACTAGATGGCAATTGAACTCCGAACGGTTGAAAGCGATGGGTGGTGGAACAAGCAGATGTTGAGAGGTGTTTATTTTGCTTGTTCCTGATGCTGAAAAGACCTCTTTATCCCACTTTACCACACTTCCTCTTGTAGTTGGGGGGCTCTTTGAGTTGTAGTTCGACATCTTGCCTAAATCATTCCTGATTCCCTGTTCCGTGCAGGCAATGCAGATGATTTCCAACAGCGACTGTCTCGCCGGAAAGTGATCGTGAAGCTGTACCACGGTTTCAGACAAAACCGCGTAGGCCTGCAACACCCGCTCCTCGACGCTCTCGCTCCGCAGCATGGACCGCAAGAGAAACTCGAAGTGCGCGAGGAGGCGGCTGACCGCGTGCTGTAAGGTCTGGGTCGTGGTCTCGGAAGTAGTTGTGGGCGAGGTGGCGGAGTTGGAAAACGCTGGTTCTCGTTCTGTTGACGCCTCTACAACTTCTTGCGCAGCTTCACCCGTGACAACAAAGTTTTCCTCCTGTATTCTCCCAGCTGACCCATTGTTCCCTCGGTTGTTCATCTTCTTGCCACGACGTCTACTTTCGACCTGTATTTTGTCGAATTGTTGAAACAAATTTTGGCAGAATTTCAGGGCCTCGCACAAGTCCGGCAACTTCTCTACCGTCGGGGCGATTAGTGGTAGCGACGCAAACGCCAGGGTCAATATCCGCTCCAGATGCCGCCCGAAGTCCACCTCTTCGCACACTTCTTCCAGAAACACCCGATGGAGCTGCAGTGCGTACACCGGGTTCGTCGAGGTTTGCCACAGCTCCTTCAGCTGTTCTAGGACCAAATCCCGGTCTGCCCCGTCGAAAAAATCCTTGGCTTGGTCGCGGACTGTTGAATTTCGGCACGCGTCAAGGTATAGTAAGACAAAAATGCTCAGCTCGGGCACGACGGTGCCGCGGATCTCCTCGACTTCCTGCAGTAAACAAGTAATGGAGCGGAGGCAGTTCGCATGCTGCGAGAAAGTGTGCAGCTGGGTCGTGCTGTGGTGGTTGAACAAATCATGCTGCTCCTGCTGCGCTCTTCTAATCGTGCTTGTTGCAATTGCAGAAGTGGTTGTACTAGTACCTTGGCTCGTCGTGGAACACGCACCTGCTAGACCCTCCTGCTCCCGATACCGGTGCAATTCATCGAGGAGGTTGAAAGCCTGTGGACCCTTCTCGCCTGGAATACGGCTAGTACTGCTGCTCGCAGCGGCGCACAAAGCTGGGGAAAGCAGAACCTCCGGTGCGGTAGACAATCCGACCACCGGTGGACTCTGCTGCAGTGGTCGAGCCGGTGTCGCTAAAGACGAGTCAACTCTGCCCTTGGTCGCCAGCAACGGCGAAATCAGTCCGGTACGGGTGCTGTGGGCCCCCAATGGAGAGGACACCAGGAGTTGTGCTGCTGGGCCTAGCGAAGTGGTAGAGGCAGACGACCCAGCACCGGATGAGGCATTACCAGCTCCATCTTCACTAGCCCTTTGCCTCTTCGCAGCCACCAACAAAACCCGCTCCACCACGGCGTTGACCGAGGACCCCGGCCAGCCGCAGGCAACCAGAAGATCGGTCATAAAAACGCGAATTAAACATTTATGGACGTGCACATCGTAGTACGCTCGGCTGGCGGGGTCCATCCCGCCGAAATCACCGTAGCGGTTGGTCAGGTAAAAGACAATTCTCCGGTTCAAACTCCCGTCGTTCTGCTGGAACAGCGCCACAACCGTCCGAAGGACCGCTTGTTTCGCTTTCGAACTCGTCGTAGTAGATGTTGAACCTGTAGTCGTGTGTGATGTTGAGCTCGAACTACCGCTGGACCCTCCCGTCGCCGGGGGCCACACGGTGGAAGACATTGGGAGAAACTGCGCAATAAAGTCTAACGCAGCCCGCTGCACGAGCGGCTGCTGGGAGTCCTGCAGCAGGGTTTCCAGCGTTTGCAGAACCAGTTGGGAACGGTGGAAGGGGAAGAGCGCATCGATTTTCGCTCTCGGCAGCGCGTCGACGCCAGATGGGAAGGTCTTTTCGTACGTAGGGAGAAGAGTATGTTGTTGACTCGCGGATGCGCTTCCACTACTTCCGCGATTGGCTGTATCCTTTTGCACCTGACCCCGTATTTGCGGACTGGAGGTCGCTGCTGCGGGTAAAAGCGTCGCGCTGCCACTTGCGCCGGCGCGCAGGGCTGAGGAGGAGGGAGGAGCTAGAAGCTGCAAACTCCCTTGGTTGGCCTTTCTTACAGAAGCCTCGGCTGGTCGCAGGGGGGAGAGCGGTGCGGCACCTCCCTTATTACCCCCTCCTAGTTCTGCTATTTGTGCAGCACCTGCAGACGACGCTGCGCCTGCTGCTGCGCGAACATGTAGCAGTGGTGCGGAGCGCATCTTACTTCCACTTCCAGGGCTTTTCAGAAGCAAAGTACTGGTGCCCGCAGAGTTGTTCCCTGCGAGGAGCAAACCATTGTCTCGGCTTGACCGCGTGGCGGTGTTCACGACAGTTCCTCCCCCCGCATACGCCCCTGATCCTGCTCCACTTCCTGTGCCCGTATGTTGAGCCCCCGCGGCTCCCGGCGCAGTAGATGTTGAGCCGACCAGAATACTGGTGTTCTTCTTTAAACAGTTCTGCACGATGTTCGTCAGCAATTTCAGTCCAGGCAACCGGATTTTCGGCGTCTTCAGCAGCAGCAGCCACAGGTTGGAACAGAAAGAAGATTCGGACACCGCGTCTACCAGTTTCGCGAACAGGTTGGACACCCGCGCGATGTTCGGATTCGCCTCGTCTTCCAACAAGGGTAACAACGCGGACACCAAACCCGTCATGCAGGGCTCCAAGCGGGACTTCAACGGCAAATAATGTTTTTCGAGTAAAATCAGCAGCGCGGCCTGGACCTGCTTTCCGCAGTTCGCCACGTGGGGAAACAGGCCGGAAGAATACAGTCCGAGGTCGGAAACCAGTCCGTCGGACCCGATTTGGCTGAAGATCGAGTCGTAGATTTTCAGCGTGCTGAGGTGCACCCCGGAGGGGAGTTGGGGGTTCAGACACTGCGCTAACCGCCGGCCCAGAGTTCGCTTCATCTGGCTCTTCGCAAGGCGGCTGGGATGATGTTGAGAGGGGGATATCTAAATCTTGATATGCACAGTGAATTGATTTTTGATCTTCTACTTCTACCATTTTTGCATCACACACTATCTTCCTCATACTGAAAACGCATTTGACGGCCAAAGATTCACATTCGTCTTCTCGAAAGAGGTGCTACTTACTTACCGCTGGTAAAACGCCTCTGAGTACTGCGAACTGGAGTCGTTCGTGGAAAATACGCGGTGCAACGCCATAAGCACGTTCGACAGGTCCGCCCATTCTTTCGCGAGCTCGAACTGCTGCAATTTTCCGTACAGTTCCTGTTATGAACTGCAAATATGTCTGGGTCTGGAAGAAGACAAACTTGTGATGCGTGTTTCAGATCCTACAAAGATCTGTGATGCATAAAGTGCAAAAGGTGCCCACTTCTGGCCATGCTGAGAGGGCATTTCTCATGCAGAATATGCATCACCAAGGAGCTGCAGAACCTGTGATGCTGGCCCTGCATTCCAGACGTGGGGGAGCTTGGAAAAACTGCATGACAAATCTCGGAATCTCCCAGGCCCAGACATCATTTTTGCATTTGATACCTGTTCGAACCGCTTGCACTCCTTTTGGTCCCGCCGACTCAGGCCGTGGTCCAATGCGTGCTGACCGCGGGAAGCGGACACCACGACACCAGGAGGCCCCGGAGGGCCAGGTGGAAGGGTGCTCATCGTGTCGTACTATGGGAGACGCGCATGGCCAATGCAGTTTGGAGTGAGATAGGTCGGTGGACATCCAACAAAATTCCGATCATAAGAGATTTCATTTTTAGAACGGTGCTGATATGATCTTCCACGACACAAAAAAAAAAATTGAAGAGAGATGATCGACCCCGTCATTTGATGTTAATATTTCCGGAATCCAACCATCAGGAAACATCAACATCGCCTTGGTTGCGCTAGCGCTAATGATCAAGCTTTACAGCAGCTTCCGAGCAAAGATTAAATCCTTCTATAACGCACATAGGTCAGCTCTTCCAGCATAGTCACAGGCACAGACGGACTACACATTCTCTTGCGACAGAGGATCTGGACGAGCCGCAACAGTTTCTCAGTTCTACTTCCAGCTATCGCAGACCAGACGCATATGCTTCATCGACAAACTGCAACTGCGGGAATGGATCTGCTCTTTACCTCTTCATCTTCACAAGTTGCAGTTTATTAGGTGGAACACGTAGACACAAAGAACATATACCGACTTTGACTTCGTTATCAATTTGCATCAGCCTTCTACGTGTTCCCATCCGTCTACCTTTTTTGGAAAGATAGCTAGACTGCATTGCATTTACAATTGTGAACAAAAAAATCGTTACGCAGACGAGAGTTTCGCTTTTATCCGCTGTTACAAGTCCAAATTTTTGGAACGTTTCAATTTTAAAAAAAGGGAGCAAGCTGCACTTTCAACTGCTGCGTGCCCATATTACAGGCTCCGTACCCGGTACCTTAAAAAAAACTGTTCTCAGGTCGCTCGCCTAGGTTCGGAATCCACGACCAGAATGCATGCCCCCGCACCTTTTGGCGTACTAGCAACAATACGAATATACTATAATAAGAAAGATGAAAATCGCATCGAGGAAGACCTCCGGGTAAGTAAGTAAGTACTTTGTTGCATTATCGATCCACCGCCCCCCGCGGTCGTACTATATCATCACCCAGACTTCGAATCGCTGAGAATTCGATCCCGCAGCTCAGGGTGACGAGGTAGAGGTCGTTACAACCTCCTCTACGCAATAAGAATCGTTGACTCAACAGCAACACGTCGTAGAACAAATTATTTTCGAACCAAGACAGTTCACGCAGAAGTGCAGATGATCCGCAGGTCGCGTTTCAAAACCTCCGCCATGATCCGGTCCACGAACTTGTTGTACTCCTCTTCATCCCCGCTGTACTCCATCCCGAACGGTTTCAACAAGGCCGTCTTGTACTCGGGACACCCGCGGACCCGCTTGCCGAAGGGCGTCAGGTCCAACACCGCCACGAGCCCCTGGTCCGTCACGTTCCCCGGCATTACGAACTGCTTCCCCGCGCCCGCGGCCGGCAGCAAGCTCGCGGTGCAGCCGTAGAAGTCGGACGGCGACAGATGCTTGATCGCCCAGGTCACGGGCTTGGTAGAGTCGTCGTCCTGCTTGCAGGGGTAACCCGCCTCGGACCCGGGGTATGCATTACAAAAGTATCGGACTCATACTAACCACATTCATCATGCATTACTCAATAGTTAAATCCTGACTACAAATTTCATTTTTGACGCTGACGTCTTGCTATTTACAATAGTACGATACCTTTGCAGTGCATACGGCAATAGAGGCGTTGATGTAGGCCATGTTCTGCTCTTCGTCTACCACGTCGTGGATCCACGCGCACCAGTACGCCGTTCCAGTTTTCATGCCCGCAAACAGCTCCGGGTCCGCCTCCACTACCCGCACATCGGCGGTGGATTCGGCCAGAATCTGCTTCTGTAACGGCAACTCCGCGTATGAGAATGCACGCACTACTGACTCCCCCTTTCACTACACATTTGGAAGGTATTACTATCTCCAGCAAGGGCAACAGAAGCAATGACAAAAATTATGCAGCTTCAATATGACAAATCCGCACCAATTGTAGTCCTGTTTCGGCCCACTCCGGGCTTTGTCATGCTGACACTGCTAAAGGACCGTATAGGGTGCATTCCGTTTCGTTTGTTTGAGGCAAGTACTTTGCGTCACAAATGACGGGAAGAGTGGGCAATTCTTGTGCAGCACTCTTTTCATACTGGGTTCTTCACGAATTCGTTCGCGGCGGTCTTTGTGGGGAATTTCCGCCTTCCCCGTCGTCGCCATTTCGTACACCCCGTAGGGCTTGCCGGCAAAAATGCACTCCGCGCCGTCGGTTAAATTCGCCGCGACGGCTTCCTTGTAGCCGGTAAAATCTCCGCCGAGCTCCCGGAAAGCGACGAACACGTAGCCGGCCATAAGTTGTCGTCGACGTGTTGAATAAAACTGTAAGTAACGTAAAGTAGTAATTACAGTTGCCACGCAAGACGACCACACAACTGTACGGAAGATAAGTTCCGTTTTCGCTACACTAGCTATTTTCAAAGTCTCCTTGTTTAAATACTTCTCCCCGGCGTAGTATTTGTTGGAAGGGGACCACACCAAACCTGTCCTGCTAAGTTCTTTCGAGGACCGCTTGTTTCTGAGCCTTCGCAAAATGGTCTTTCCCGAAGATGTTGAGTAGCCCCTGCAGAATTCACCGGGACTGGCTTTAGCTGGGCAGTAGCACACCACAACTGTCACGCAAGAAATTCAATATTATCGTGGATGATGTCACTAGAATCTGTTACGCCGATAGATGAACTTGAACCGAGAAGCAGAGTGGATGTTACTTCACTTCTTTGAACCGAAATCAATCTATCCCGCAACTTGACTTCAGAGAGCATGTCTTGTCCGCCGAATGTCAAAAGTTGTCCGCCGCTGGTGACAGGCGCTACCGAAGAAGCTGGAAAAATCCGGCACAGTGCTTCAATATCAACCCCATGGTATTTTTTGAACTAACACCCCCCGCCGCGAGCACCTCCGAAAAAGAGACCTCCCGGCGATCGCATTTATTTTGCAAAGATCTGTTTACAAGAATTTCCTCCTTCATCTTCTGCGCACGGAATAGCGTAGTACTATGTGCTTTCCTTCCTGAAAAGTCAGGTTTAATGTTCCGCCTCTTTCGAAGCGCGAGCAAAATTGGGATGAAGTTCACAATCTTTGTTCACAAAGAGACCATGACCACTTCACGACGAGCACCACCGCCCTCGGGAATGATGTTGAAACTACCACATTCACAAAAGGCACGGCTCCGTGCATTTTGCTTTCCTAAAAGACTTCATAAAAGACCAAAAAAGTTGTGAGTCTACTCAACCAGAAGATCACAGGTGGTAGATACAACGTAAACGTATGCAGAAATCGCTGGCTAAAATAGTTACTTACAAAAGAGACTCACCCCCGGACATCACAGCCACTTACTCAGCAACATCCACTATTATCGATTTTTTGCTGGTGCATGCGGCACGCGTAGCGAACGCCGCACAGCATGGCCAACTGCTTCTCAAACTCCGACGCTCGGCCCGTGCACGCCTGCAGAATTTCGATGGTTACAGGATCCGTGTGCTTGTCTGTGTACTCCACCCGGACACAGGCTGGCCCGTTCCCCCCTTTTGGCCCGACATAAAACTCCGTCCGGCCCGTGCTCCACCCCATTTCACGCTTATGCAAGTGTCGTGAAAAGTACTTGTACTACTACTAGCCATGATCTTCACACACTCGTCGGCGCCAGGGGTATAGGTATACCTCCGACAGCACTGTACTACATTATGCGCAGCTTAGTAATGAATGGGTACAGAACAAGATCTCCCTGCTGCTCGTACGCGACAAGTTGGAAAAATGCAGAGCGAAGACGCGATTGCTATGTTTGTCATTCTGCAAAACAGAATTATGCGATGCGGGAAAATCATGACAGGAGTGTGCCTTGCATCTGTGCACACGACGCCCTCGAACAAAGTTGTTCTTTCTAGTACCAGTGTGCGTCGATTTGGTTGTTGTACGAAATACTTTTCTCTACATCTACTCCCGTACCGCTTCGAGGCCATGATGTGGTGGGGATCTTTGACCGGCCGCCCAAGCTTCCGCACAAACTCCACGTACGGCTCCCCGCACCCGCAGCCCGGGCAGCACCCGAACGTCCCAGCGTGGAGCAGCGCCACGGGGCGTTGCAAACTGTTTCCGAAGTACAAGTATGCACTGCAAAGTCATCGCATTCGTACTTCTAAAAATCGCAGTCATGCTCACGCATGCCTCATTCTGCATGGGGAATTCGAATCAGTTTTCTTCTTCACAAATTATTTATTGTCGTGCGATTTGTACTATTGCGATACTTTCGCACTGCCTAGCAACCGCTCGGACTCGTGGTCGTCGCCGTACGTCTTGAAATCCCAGTTACTACGGTCGAACTCGGGCTTCGTCGCGGCCATCTGCAGCTGCCCGTTAGTCGGATCCACCAGGTACACGCCGAACAGAAAGGATATCATGCAGAAAAAAGGAGGCAGGACGTATTTGTAATGCAAAAAACATATAGCAGAAAAATCTGTCATGAAGGAGCTTATAGTGTGTTACTTCGGATATGCGGGTCTTTTTGTTTCTTTTTGTGTCTATTTAGTTTTGCATTACAAGCATGACCTCTGCCTGCTTTATTCTGTGAGATAAAGGACTCCGTCCGCGCAAAGTCGAACATTTTCCCGTCCCGCCGCGCGGCGCGCTTTTGCACGCCCTTCATTTGGTCCAGCGTGTGCCGGATGATGCTCACGCATTGGTGCGAACCCTTGACAAAAATCGGACAGGCGCCCAGCGTGGTGTAGTTAAACTGGTACTTGATTCCCGTCTGGAAAATTACGGGTACCTCGTTCGGGAAGGGCGCCGTGGGGGCCCTCTGCATCATCATCTGCTGCGGTTGCGGGACAAAGCCGCGGTTGGCATCGTAATTTCTCGGCGCCGCGGCCTGTCTCGGTATGGATGTGTCAGCATCGAAATCGACATAGCTGAATTGATTTGTCATGCATAAAATGCAGCCCACGCAGTGCTTGTCTTGCAGAGTAGGTAAGTGAGGCAGACTGTAAGCCTGTTGAGGGGTAGAAACTGAGCTGCCAAGGTAGCATAACAAAAGGCGTCTTCTTTACCTAAACAGCATGACAAACTCGGTTTCGGTTCTACCCAAATTTGTCATACGCCACTTAGAAACTGAGTGACAACTGGCATCACTTTATGCATCACAAACTATTTCAACTTTGACGATTTCGATTCTGACGCTTCCATACTCGGGTCGTAGTAGTTAGAAGGCGCCGGTGGTCCGGCGCCGGGAATGGCATAGTAGTTCGGCGGAAGAGGAGGACCAAGGGGCGGGCCACCTCCCATATCATAGTTGGGCGGCGGCGGGCCACCTCCCATATTATAGTTGGGCGGTGGGGGGCCACCTCCCATATTATAGTTGGGCGGCGGCGGGCCACCTCCCATGTAGTTCGCCGCGGGTGGCGGGCCTCTGTTCATTTTACCGTGGACGTGCTGTACTGGTGCCGGGCCACCTTTTCTTGCACCGGCACCGGCCACTCTCGGAGACCCGCGTCCATGGCGGGGGACTCTATGCGCAAGAAAAGGAACATGTTGCACAGCCACAGGGCGGGCCCAATTGCTGTATATTCTCACGGCGCATAGATGTTGATGCTGTGGATTTATACATTTAGCACGCGAGCGTCGGGGGACAGTTTCTTGCGTCGGGATTTATACATTTTGTCTCTCCATTATAGATCAGAAAAAGATCCGTAAAGCAGAATTTGACCCTAGACTGCCGAAAAACGCAAGACAATGACAATAAAACTTTTCTCACGCATAAACACCTCCTCCATGGGCCTCCGCTGCGCTGCCGCGAATATTAGAACCGCCCTCCTCTGCCGCTCCATAGGAGGTCCTGTCGTTGTCCTGGGCATTCAACAAACGCCGCTGCTCCTCTGAGGTGCGAGCGGACATCGACATATTTGTCTTTGATACGCGTGTTTGTTTGACACGAAAAATTATTAAAGCATATCTAGGTCGAAAAACGAATCACATTAAATAAGTGGATCTAGTAGTAAGCAAAAATCTCAGTACATCGGCACAGATGATGATGTTGAAGCTGGCCGATTATACAGTGGAAAATCATAAAGGAAACTTTGAGACAATTTTTTAAGACCGCTAGTTACAACTCTGCAAGCGAGCCACAAAACAAAATCGGTTGCTGCGCCACATGGCTCCTGCGCTTTTGATTCTTTGTTTAAAAATATTCAATGTACACTATTTATGTTCTGCGCGTGATTAGCATTCGCAAAAGTCGTGATCACCGACTCTTCAAAGTCTCCAGACTCACACGCCATGACAGCACTAAAGGCACCGATGCCACCGAATCCAGACCGAGACCGAGATCCAGTGCTTCAGCCACAACTTGCTGGCGGTCCGAAACGCAATCAAATGCGGCAGTGGAGAAAAGATCTCACTTTGAGAAGCAGTTGCGAGCCGAGCCCGAACTATATTGAAAACCAGTAAAATATCACCGATGTAGCTTCGTTTTTTGGTAATTTAGCGCTGCAATAGATCATACCGACAAGATGAACTTCTGCTGTGCAGGAGCGAGCGTCGAGGGTTCTGAAAGGCACAACTTTTTGTTTCAGATGTCGGGGCAATCAACCTTTATTTCAGATGAATCAAACACCGAGAAATAAGTTGTCGACACAAAAATCCTGCTTACAATACAAGAAAGGGGACAGCGAAAAAGGCCGAAAATATGCCTTCCGCGCAGCTTCTTTTATTCCGCTCCGCTGGGATGATGATCTGGCATCATAACATACCACTATTGCCTCTGCCGGACAGCAATCACTTGTCATCAATTTTTCAAAACAAACATTTTGCTTGGAACCAAAAAAACTAAAACTGTCCTCCGCATCAGTGACTTTGACTGATGCTGCAGGATCTTACTGTGCAGCATGGGCCGCGACTCAGTCGCAGTAGATGCAACTTTCTCTTTCAAATAAGTAAACTATTTTGCCAAAAAAAAACTAACACCACAAGTGCGTGCGAGCGAGCGAAATTTTGCTCAAGCCAATAAAGCATAAACTAATGTTAGTAGAAGGAAAACGATACACGTTCTCGATTGTAAGTCGGAAGATCATGGCGATCATCACGTGTTTTCACCACAACACGCTTTTTCACGACACGAAGCAGTCGGTAGAAGTACTCCCCGCATGTTTGTAAGTAAATACTTAAGCCAGGACAGAAACCTCGAGGTCCACCTCTCCTTACGGCGCCGAAAGCATGTCGCCCCGTTGGATCAGCGAACCCTCCCGCTTCAGCCCGTCCACGACTTCCCGCGTGCTATGCAGTTGGAATTTTGAGACACGTGAAATTTGTCACGCGAACGAAATCTATACGAAGGAACGCAGATGCCAACTGTAGTCTTGTACTTAGCACTGTAGAGAAGCGGATGAATGAGACGTCAGAATATTTTTCGTCTTCTCTTGTGCCTGTGTGCAAACTTTTGAAGCTGGTGCGCGGGGCAAATTTCACTCCACTCAAAAATGCAATCCGGGTGATACAAGTGCTTGAACCGGAGTGTGTTCATCTTCTTGTCTTGTAGCACTTGGTTCACCTTGGACAGCGCGTCCCGTAAGCTCATGGCCTCCTCTTTCACCTGTTTTTGATTTTTTTTGTAGTGATTCCCAGAAAGGGCGGGGGAGAAGAAGGGAACGCAACTCTGGAGGTGAAGACCAATGGCAAAACTACAGTTCTCGTCTTGTTGCCGAAAGCAGCTACGTTGAATGCCACCATGACAATCAAGCCTGAAGAAGTAGAGCAGAAGTTTCTATGTCGTGCTTATCCCAAAACAAAAAACTTATAATAGAAAATTTAAATTGGTCAATACGAATTCCACGAGCACTTTGGCCCCCAGCTCCATGATCTGCCTTTCACGCACCGAGACCCCGGTCCGCAGGTATGGATTGCAAACATGTCTGGGTCTGGAAGGGTCATGCTGTTTTTGCATGACACAGAAGGTCTGGCATGGAAGCTCCAGCATCACAGGTTTCGAGAAGCTTTCGCAATCCCGAATCCGCATGACAAATCCCCGACTTTGGTGACAGAAAGTGGGCAACTTGTGCTGCCTATGCATGAGAGATTTTGCTGTGTTCCAAAATGCGCATCACAAGTTTGTATTCTTCCAGACCCAGACATTTTTGCATTTGATATCAGCGCTTGCATGTCGATCTTGCCCGTGACCGGATCCACCGCGGATTTGAACGTTGCTTCTATTGCAAGGAAAAATCCCCCCTCCCCATATCGAAAGGGCACGCCTCAAAAAATTAGTCATGCTGATTTGTGACCACAAATCGCACCTGTGACGCAAGAAAGCAATGCCACAGGCTCCGCCATATTTTTCAGTCGGTTTGTAATGCTGTTGGGCCTACGGCATAGACGGTCCCCATGCTAAGTGCCTAGGCCAAAACCTCTGGACTGCGGCACGATATGGGAATGCAGTCCCCTACTGCAAGACAAATCAGATTTGTGTACGCAAATCCAGCATCACAGATTTCCTTTTCGAGTATGGGGAGGGGGGATTTTTCCTTTTGATAGCTTCGTTCAAAAGTTCGTACGCGTCGTTCACGTCCTGTTTTGTCACCTGCTCCCGCAGCTCCATCTTCGCGAAGGCCTCCGCCAGGCGGATGAGGGACTCCAGCATTCTGGGTGTCGCGCACACCGCCCCGTCCGATGCGGTGCCGGTCCGGAGGTTCAAATATCTTTCCGCTAGTTCCACCTTCGCGTCCTCCATCAGCCGCGGACGACAGCGCTTCTTTGCGAAGTCGATGTAGGAGCGGAACGTGGACCGATCGATGGTGGGCTCCCGCTCCGCCTGGCGCCCCTGCTGGGAGAACATCCCGACGATGTGCCGCGCGAGGAGCTGGTCGGCCACCGGGTCCTGCTTGTCCAGCATCAGGTACACCAAGTCAAAACGAGACGTCAGTGTTGCGGGGAGGTTGATGTTCTCCATAATAGTCTTGCTGGGGTCGTATCTGAGGTGGTTTTCATATTTGCATGTGTGTTTTCGTTTATGCGAAGCCAACATCTCTAAGCGCATGATGAAAGCGCAGACCGACAGACTCACAAAAGATGCACATCAGAACCTGCAAAGTCTTTCTGTTGCTTTAGGTGAAACATATCTGTCTCCTTCACATCTGTAGTACCTCGAGTTAATCGGGTTCGCGGTGGCTAGAATCGACACCTTGGCGTTCAGACTGCACACAATCCCGGCCTTCGCTACGGACACGGTTTGCTGCTCCATCGCTTCGTTCAACACGGCGCGGGTGGAATCGTCCATTTTGTCAAATTCGTCGATACCGCAGACCCCCCTGTCCGACAACACCAACGCTCCGGATTCGAGGATGATGTCCCGCGTCTCCGGGTCTTTCGTGATGTACGCTGTCAACCCGGTGGCGGAGGAGCCCTTGCCGCTGGTGATGACCCCCCGCGTCGCCAACTTGTTCACCGCGGTCATCAGCTGCGACTTCGCGGTACTGGGGTCCCCGCAGAGCAAAATGTGGATCTGCTCGCGAAACCGCCCCCGCATCTGCGCCGCTTTGTCCGCGGTCACTTTGGTCGTCCCCTCAAACAGCTGGCACAGCAGCCCCCGCTTCACGTGCTCCAGCTCGTGAATGGACGGCGCGATGGACTCGATCAGCTTTTGCCGGATCGTCAGCTGCCCCTGGTCGTCGGTTTCCTTCGCCAAAGCGCGGATTTTCTGGTTTAGCATCGCCTGTTGCTCGCCCACCTTGCTCGGGTTCGTGTCGTACTCGTCGGACAGCGGGACAAAGGTCGCGTCCGGGTCGATCGTGGACTTGTCTGACGTGTTTTCCCGTCGGACCGCGATCGCGTCGATGAAGGTGCGGTACACCGCCCGCTGCCGCCGCTGCATGAAGTTGCTCCGCTGGCTGCTCCCGCGGAGAATACCCGTCAGTTCCACCCGGTCACCGGGCTTCATCACGTCATACAGCTCGTCGAAACAGTACAGTTGAATCGTCTGCGGAGTCTCACTATCCAGTGCAAACATGTCTGGATCTGGAAAGTTGGAACTTGTGATGCTGCTCGTACATTGCTGCGAAGTTTGTATTGCAACACCGACAAAAGTCGCAGCCTCATTTGGTATGGAACAAAAGTGCAGTTTCTCATGCGGACTGGGTATGAAAAGGGGTAGTTCTCGAAACTTGTCACGCTTGGCTGCATGCGAAAGCGTGTCACCCATGTACAGCCCAGCATCACAACTTTCCAGACCCAGACATATTAGCGATTGATACTCACCGGGCGGGATGGATTCCGGCGTCTCCTGGAGTTTCACGTACTGCTTGTTGCCGAACTCGTATGCAAGAAAAAAACTGTGTAAGTGTAAGTCTGTGGTGCAGAAAATGCAAGACTGAATACGCTTTTCATGCCGGATGTGCGTCATAGGCAACTTTCATGCGTGTTTCCACGTACTAGCTGCGCATGACAGGTTTTCCCTGTAATGCAAAGAAAACGAATTTGTGATGCTGTTCTTGCTAGGAAGTTACACTTACACACTTTTTTTCTTGGATAACTCGCACAAGTTGTGCTTCAGCGTGTAGCTGGACGACTGTCCACACGAGTCGCAGCGCTGCGGCTCGAACACCCGGAATTTGTTCACGCCGACGGTGACGTGCTCGTCGCACCCCTGCGTCGTGCAGGCGAACACGGCCTGGTTCATGTCGGGAATCAAGTCGCTGCAACGGATCACGATACCTGTTTGCTTGCAAAAATGGAGATGCCGATTCGCACATCTTGTTCAGCATCCATGAGCAAGGAAAAAAAATTTATAAAATCGCACCCAGATTGTCCTTCCAAGAACATGGAGAAAAAGAAGAGCCTGTCACTACAGCAGCAGTCCCTTATCACACTGTCATACCTTGCGTCGACACCAATTTTTCAATGTCAGCGGGTTCCAGATCTCGCATCTTCCGGAAATCCTGGTCCAGGAGGTTGTAGGTTTTTGCCCGGATGTTCACATCCGACTCCTCGTTGATTTCCAGGCTTATCCCACGCAAAAAGACCGGCAGGGGCAGGCCACATTTGTAATGCAAAAATATATACACAGAAAGATCTGTCATGGGCGAGCCCATAACGTGCTGTTTAGGACATGCAATAGCAATATGAATGTGTATCCATTTTTGCATTACAAATAAGACGCGCCTGTCTTTTCCTGTAAGGATAAGGTTCAGCTCCTTCAAAATTCCCGTCGAAAATTCCCACAGCACCCGGTCCATCAACGCAATGATATCCGCGGGGAAGTTGACCAGATTCGTGTACAGATCCGCGTTAAAAAAGTGCAAGTGATGGCAATGATATCGTGAGAAAAAGTGTTTCACTGTAAAGCATTTTATTGCAAATTTTGCATAAGAAGTTGTTTCACTTGTACATGACAAGGAAGATTTTTTTACCATGCGTGCTTCCGAAGGCACAACTCCACGCCCGAAAATGCACTGCCTTGCATGTCTACTACCATGACACATGCTTCTGTGTTCCATTCTATGCATCACAAGCTTACAGTAAAACAGTCCTTTCGTGCGATAAATCAATCGGAAAGTCGACCCGCTGGTCCAGCTGGTTCGACGGTACCGCCTCCCACTCCTTTCAGATATGCAAGAAAAAAACTGCGCGAGTGTAAGTTTGTGTTGCAGATGATACAAGACAGTCACGCTTGTCATGCTGGTTGTGCGTTTTAGTAGCCTCAGACACCATACGTGTTTATTTCACGCTCTATCTGCGCATCAGCGATTTTTTCTACAAATAATGCAGAGCGAATTTGTGATGCTAGTCTTCATCCTACAAAGTTACACTAATGCACACTTTTCTTCCTGGATACCGGAGCAGCGTCAAGTAGTACCCCTCGTCCCCCTGCTTTGCCATCTCCCCCTCCGGAATGTACTTCCGGATGAAATTCGTGAAGGTGGCATGCAAATGGTCCTGGTTAATCTTGTTCGGGCCTGTGTAGCTCGGGTTATCCGTGTTAAGCGTGTCCTGCTCCCCCGCAAAGGCAGCGTTCAGATTCCGTGGTCGCGCCATCGCATTGCTGTCGACCAAGGTACCTGAGAAAAAGAATAGAACACCAATAAAGGCGCGTGAAAAATAGATGTAGTGACGAACACCATAAAGACGCTGTAGCAACACCCAGGCTTCATTTTGCGCACCAAAACAAGAAATTTTCTGCAAAAAGTCAAATGCATTATAGTAGATAAACGCTTGTCCGATCATACCAATATCCGCACGATAGTGGCGATTCCTTTTTCGTCTCCCGCTGCCTCCCGCACTCCCAGCAGGCGTTCGTCCCGTGGGGGACCGGTAAACCGAGGGCGATGGCCGCTCCGACCGTGCGCCGAACTCCGACGGCCCGGGGCTGCCCAGAGGGCTCCTGGGTGAGCCGACCATTTTTTCGATCTTCCTCCGCTACTCCTAGGGAAAAACTTTCAGCTTCTTTCTAGGTATTTGTGGTCTAATTTACAGCACCGCAACGCACACCACACCATTCGAAAGTACATGAAGCAGCAATTAGTTTTTTCCACTTTGGGAAGTAGAGCACGCGACGTCAATCACAGTATTCATTCTCGTTCACCGCGTCGTCACACCAGCACTAACCAAATCTTCGAGCATGTTTGAGAACTTCGCTTTTTTTCCGTCAAAAATCTCAAGCACGGAGCCAACATCTTCACTTTCACAGCTTTTTTGCACAGTGTGTTCTTCTTCTTTGTCCTTCTCACGCACACACAAACAGCTCGCAAGAAAACAAATCCGTTCTTTGTTCAACATTCATCTTTGGAAACAACAACTTTGCGCAACGACTTCGTTCTCAAATTTTTCTGTGGACACAGTTTGCGTCGAACAAAGTCGTGAGGGCTGAACTCACACTCAGCAGCAAGAGAAGCATGTTCAAAGCACGAGGAGATTTTTGGGATTGCTTTTACGATTCCGCTCTCAGAGCGAGTCATTTTTCATCAAAACAAGGTAACTTTTTGGTAACTTTGCAGCTTATCTTACTTCGACTATCAACCAAGTGTCTTCTAGATGACGGTCAAATAATCCTAGAAGAGCGATGAAGAGGGAGAGAGAAACACAGACGTTAGGATACAGTAAAGTTAGCCACGCCCGGCACCTTCACATTCTTTCATCATTTGCTCTTACTTCTGACACTGGGTCGCGGTCGCACGGCAGAGACCGCCAGTTGGTTCGTTGCACTGGCGCCACTACTGGTATCCACAGTAAATTTTCCGCACACGACCTACACGTACACATGTGGTGTCTGCATGAGTAAACCTACCTTCGATCCTAATTTAGCATGACAAGTGTTCCTACACTCCAGACTGGCGAAATTTGCGATGTATTTTGTACATGTGCGGGAAATTTGTATTGCATAACTGGTAGACAGATTCACCAGGTCCAACCCCGATTTCATGTACGCACAGAGCCCGTCGAGCACTTTGCTGCGGCAGTTTGCGGACGCGAGTAGTTTAATCTCCTTGCACAATTTCTCCACTTGCCGCAGCGCGTTCCCGCTCGGCGCCAGCAACCGCTGCGTGATCAGTTTCGTCTCCGCTAGCGGCCCGGAAAACTGCACCGGCCCGGGGTTTCTCAAATGCAAAAATGCCTGGGTCTGGAAGATTCTGAGACTTGTCATGCACGTTTAGCATGGGCCATGATGTCTGTAATGCATGCGGTAGCATCACAGACTTTTCGAGGGCTTCGCGATGCCTATTCCGCATCACAAATGCCCTCTCCGCGTAGCCAAAATTGCATTCCCTTTGCTGGTCATGCAATACAGATTTTTTTGGAATCCAAACCCAGCATCACAAGTTCGGATTCTTCCAGACCCAGACATTTTTGCATTTGATAGGGTTCACTGGCTCGCGGTCGACTGGCGGGGGGAGAAGCTGCCCGCTCGCCAGTGCCTCCGACACCAAATCGTCCGGTCCGTGGGCAGATTCCATCCGCACGGAATACGCGCGGGCGGCCTTGTCGGTGCGTCTTATCCCGATGTTAGTCTCCTTGATGGAAACGAGGTGGGAGAGCACGGCGCCGCCAACGATCCAGTTGTCAACCTGATTGATAATGGCATGCTTATGCTTGATTACTATCATGTCAATGACCCAGGCCCAGCACGAATGGCAGATGTTGCAGCAAGGACGACCGGGTAGAACGAAAGAAGTTCTGGGAATATAACAAAAAAAAAGCAGTCTGTCAAGCTGCTGCCGGGCAACCATTATACCGAGTCCGTTGCCTGGTTCTCCACCGTGACCAGCAGGCCCGTTTTGCTTTCCAATGCAAACAGCGCCGCTGTGTACCCCAACGTGTACCCCAGATTGCAATCGTGATTGGTTGGCAGAGCGGATCTCGCCTGGTGCGACAGACTGTGCGTGTGACACAGGAACCCGCCGCCCCGGTACTGCCCGAACCCTTTTCTCCTCGACAGTTCCGACTCGACCAGCCCGCGCAAAAGCAGTTCCGCCTCGATGTTGGCGACGTCCACATACTATGCATTGCAAAAGCATCGTACTCGTCGTATAAATGCATTACAAATTTCCTCAGCAGGAGAGCTGGATTTTGTCATGCTGTTTTACCTTAAGGACAAGACTTGTCATGCATAAACGCAATTAGTACGAGTACGATACTCTTGCACAGGATACGTACCGGCTATGAAACTCGTCGTTCGAAGGGCTGGCGAAGGTGAGAATCTGGTACTGAATATCCTGTGTAAAAACGTCCCCACCCCAGAGTTGTCATGCAAATGCGCAATGACTGGAAGATTTGTAATGCGCACTTCCATGAGAGGCATTTCCAGTCGTGTTTTGGAATTTGTAATGCTGTAAACAGGACGAGAAAATGGCTTTGTCATGCGGGTTTCCTTGCCAGCCAGTACTACACTGCAGATGGAAATTTGTCATGCAAAACCCCCAAAACTTGGGGATTTGTGTTGCAGACTTCCCATCTTGACTTTGGTGTGGGGACGTTTTTACATAGGATACTGAATCTGATCGGGCAGGTTGGAAAAGACCCCGTGCGAGAAGGGGGACAACAACCCAACTAAATCCGAAACTTTCTTTGGAAAAACCCGTTTCGACTTGTGGATCGCGTTCACCTCCTATGACAGTGCACAAAACTCCCCCTCCCCCTCATTTGTAATGCAAAATACCAAATCCAGTGGTCGCTCCCTTATCCTTATGGCACTGCTTGCATGACAAATTCCGGAAGCCCAAACAGTACTATGGTTAGGCACACAAACTTGTCATGCATAGGCTCCATTTGTGGTCGTGTTTGTACTGCTCTTCATGCTATACAAATGAGGGGGAGGGGGACGAGTTGTGCACTTTCATACTTCCTCCACTAGCTCCCGCATCTCCGGAATCAAAGCCAAAAGCCCGTCCGGGATCAAAACCACACCGTAGTTATGGAGTGCAGATATGTCTGGGCCTGGAAGTAGATTGCGAGATCTGTAATGCTCTGCTGACAGGAGACAAAGATCTGCCATGCATGTTACGCGACCGCGCGGCTTTTATTTTGTAATGCAAAAACTACGCAGCTTCTCATGCAGTTTACGCAAGACCTAGTCGCTCAGAAATTTGTCATGCGTGTCCCCGTATTCGAGGTAGTTGCCTGTGATCCGCAGATTAGCATCACAAGTTCCCAGACCCAGACATATTTGCAAAAATGCATAGTAGTTCATATTCCGGTCCGCCCGTTGCTCGATCACATCGCAAATCGCGTCGGTGACGGAGGCGAGCGAGAGCCTGCTGTCCGCGGTGACGGAGCCCACCGACGTACCGATCCCCGCATTCACGGTGGTGTTCGTGGTCCGGTTCTGGCTGAAGGAATACCCCATGGTGGGGCTGACGATCAGGGAGGGCTGCGTCTGGAGACAGTATCAAATGCAAAAATGTCTGGGTCTGGAAGAATGCAACTTGTGATGCTGCATTTGCATTCCAGAAAAATCTGTATTGCATGAGCCTATTTACCCCTCAACCACTATATCCCCTTTACGACCACTACCTCAGGTAGGAGCTCGGGGGAGAAAGGGTCAAGCTCTAACGGGGGTCGGACCCGAGTGGAACCGTTAGAGTGGCAGCATGTCCTGGTCGAATCGGTAATTCCATGAGCACGGTAAATTCCACCGGAAAACCAGGCAAGACACGAGAACAGACAACGACGATTGAAAAGGGCAGAGCAGAAGGATAGCTGGGGTCTCCGGCAGCTTGAGTAAAACATCGCGAAGCGACAGGACTGGGGTCTCCAGCAGTCCACCTAGAAGCCCTATTGCCAAAGCCGGGATAGGGACCCCACCTACGGACAGACACTAAAGACAAAAGCCGGGCGACGACGATAGCGAGGAACCCTCGCTCCGCTCAAAGCCACCAGCACCGGACCCTCTCCGACCAACACTCACCGCTCACCAGCCGAGACGAAGCCCGAGAGGACGATCCGGACGAAGACCAGCGATCACGACCAGAATAAAATCCCCGCCCGCACGACACTACGACACACCAGACCAAAGAGCGCCTGAAACCGTCCATCACTCCAATACACCCGCGTCGGCCACCTAATGTGTAATTTGGTTTTGCTCTTTTTTTGCTATCATTACTGCTTTAGCAAGGAAAACAAGCACACAGGCTTTTTGTTCGACCGCTTATATCCTTTTACTACTCATTCCTCCGTTTCTAAAAATCACATGTCTTGTAACTGTCTATTCTTTTTTTTCCTTCTGCACTACTTGTCTTTCTTTATTCGAGGCAAATATGTAGAGACACACAGCATAATATTATTATTCAGGTGTCCGCTAACAAGTCGTCCTCTTCGTCCTCCACCGGGCCGCTACTTTCGTCCTCCACGTCTTGCATAATTGCATCCCCATCAGCATCATACATTTCCTGTCCTACTGCACCATTGGAAATCCTGCGACGCTTGGGCTGGTTTGATTCAATGTCCTGCTCGTCAGGCTCGTGGTGGACAGTTTCATACCGTCTTTGAATCCCCGTGTGAACACCGCCCGATGAGCAGTTTCTTTTGACGCCCCCTTGCTGCCTGGGTTGTCGTGGGGATTCAATCGTTACTGCAATTTGCCTCGTGGCCGGTCTCCCCACTACCCGTGACGGATGTGCACTCCCCAGGATTTTGTCCCGGGGCAGAATCCAGTCCCGCGCGTCCGCTTCCGGGATGGTTGGGTCTGCTCCTTGTAGTTTTTGCAGCTCTTTTATCAGCCACGGGGCCTCTTCCTGATTATGGTCTTGTAGATCCTCTTCCTGGTCTGCGTGTGGTTCCATGCACCGTAGAGTTGTTTTCTCTAGATTTCGTTTAGCCTCCTGTGAAAGGGGGGCCTCTTCCCTCGACGCCGCTGGCTTTTGCTGCTTCGGCCACTCCTTCCCCGGATCTCGGAACCCAGCTGCTCGCAGAATAGCCCTAAGTGTGGTCGGCAGGTTTTTTAGGTTCTTCTCTAGGGAACCTGGGGTATCTTCTGCTGGCCAGCACTGTACCACCTTGAGGCATTCCGCTCCCAAGACGTGAGCCGCAAAGGAGTTGCCGTGGGACGCCGTGCCGCCAAGGGGCTCGTCCTGCACAGCAGTTATTTCCTCAGACTGCTCGTCCACCTGCAATTCGTCACTCCCCTGAGAGGACGGCACGTCGTCGTCGCACTGCTTGGTCGTATTCCCGTGGAAGAAAAGCTGCTTGCCGCACCACCCGCAATGGAGGGATCTCCCCGCATCTTTCGCGCGAGCCACTTTGAGGTAAGCTCCTGATTGTTGTAGAGCCACGTTGCCGTCCGCCGAAACGATTGAAAATATGAGTGCCTGCGCTTTTCCCTGCAGCTTTTTCCAGTACTGTGGTGCGTACCCTATGTGTGACAGAATCGTAGTCCTGATTGATTCTGACCGGTCCGAGGATTGCGAGCCCGGAGCCGTGGGACCCGCGAAGCGGCGAAGGGCAATCGAGCGCGCATCCGCCTTAATCACCTTTTTGATCAGGCGAGGCATCACCTGTACTTCAAATATTTCCGACATCGGAGCGGAGGGTTGGTGTGGCATGCTTTGTAACAGATCCGCCTCTTGTTGGCATGGAATGCCGCTGTGCCCCGGTGCATAATGTACTAGAAGCGTGGCTTCCGGAAGGTCTCTCGCCGCCGCTGCCAGCATAGCTCTTGTTCTAGAGCTGTTGATGCCTCCTGACGAGTTGCGTGTAGTTGCTATGCTCCCATCGTTGTCCTCCAGAACGACGATCAGCTTGATCGGGACAATTTTTCCTGCAGCGGCTGCCTGCGCCATTCCCGGAGCGTTTGCCGCGACTACTGCTGCGGCAGATCCGAGACCCCCTACTTCGCCAAGAAATGAGTCGAGGCTGTGGGACAGGCGCATGCCAATCAGGTATTCACCTGCTGGTTGGTTCCCCAGCTGCCCGACCAACGCGGAGATCCTGTCCTCGTCGCTGTTGTCGTCCGAACAGCCCGCACCGGCATCGGCACCCAGGATTAGCAAGGCGGCCCCATACTGCGCTTTTAACGCTGAGAGCCATTTTTTGATCTTCGCCGCTAGGAAGCCGACATTTTTCGACGCGTGGTGAACTCCAAAGCGGTTGTAGACATCTTTTGCTGTTAGGATTTTCACATTCGCTGGGAGGGGAGGGTCATTTTCGTAGCTGAAGTCGATCTTGAGCGACCGCCAACGTTTCTCCTGGCCGGCAGTACCCGCCTCCGCTGGAATCGGCGCGCCCCCGGTGTTGAGGGAGATGGCCTGGAGGTTCAGAATCCTATGCTCTGCTATTGCCAGTGAGCTGGGGAGCGTGGCTCCTGAAGCGAGAACTAAGCCTCCTTCTGGTGGAATGCTTTGCTGAAGAAGTTTTTGCAGCTGTGACTCCGCCAGTTTGTCGAGCGCCGCTAGAAATTCCGTGTTGAGCAAGAACTTCACGCCGGCCCCGTATGTGAGGGCGTTGAGCACCCTCTCCGCATAGAATTTGAGGCAGTCGTGGACGCTTCTGCCTTGGTGGCGGGGGTCCGCCGTGAATCCCGTAACATCGCTCTCCACCGTTTGTTCCAAGATGCGAAGATGTTCTGCCCACCCGTCTCGGTGCGCGGTGTGCGGGATGCCTAGGATCTTTTCGAATTTGTAGAGCCTGGCACCTGTCACTCTGGTTTGCTTGCCGTGATAGAAGGTGGCCGTTTTTGGATCTTCCCGAGGGTCCGGAACTGCCTGTGCCTCCGTCGGGCGGAGAATTGTGCCGTCCGGAAGCTCGAGGTTGAGGGTAAGAGCCAATGCAGTCATGTCCTCGTCTTGTGGGCCAGACAGTAGTGCCAGCCGTGGTGGGCTGAACGGGTAGGGGAAAGCGTTCATGTCCTTATTTGCTGCCAGTAGGCCGGCCTTCAAGCTGTCCTTGTCTCGGGCTGCTACATATGCTGTCGCGTCGTCAACAAAGTTGTTCATCTGGCGTGCCCATTCGTCCAGGCCATCCTCGTCTTGTGACACACTTGATTTGCTGACTAGTCCACAGTCTTCTGCGCCCATTTCGCAATCGATCCGGAAGAGGATGGGGGATTTGAGTGTGCCTTGGCCTAAAACATCAGCTACTTTGTGTTCTTCACTGAGATGTCCGTCTGTTATTATTACTATCGCCCTGTCCTCGAACCAGTCTGCCACTGTGCGCACCAGCTCGCTGCTCGCACCCCTCCTGGCTATTGCTAAAAGCGCTCGGCTCTTGTCGGTGTTCTCGTAGCCGCCCTTTACATCGCGTACTAGTGCAGCACCGTACGGGAGGCCCGCCTTTTTCTGCGCCTTTAAAAAGTGTACGCCCCTGTACGTGGCGAGGGGAGCGGACCAGGTTCTTTGGAATCCTAGGTTTTCCGAGAAGCAGACTACCTCCGGCAGAAGTAGTTCCAGGACCGTCGCTTCCAGCACTTTGTCTCCTAATGTGATCAGGCTGATGGGCCGAAAGAATTCCTTAGTGATTCTTACCGCGCCTTCTTTCCCGGCTTTGAAGAGCCATTTTATGAGGAATTTCCTGGACCATGGAAGCTTGTCCCCGCTGTTGATTTTGTTCACCGCCATGTGGACCAGCGCCGACGTTAGCTCATCATTCTCCAGGTAGAAGGCAGGGGGAATGCCGTCTATCCCCGGGGCAGACGAACTGTTGATTCGTTTTCGCACCCGGATCACCAGATCCTCGCTCATGTGGTACTTCCTTGATGGGCAGGCCGCAGCTAGATCTTTTGTCCATTCGTTGACCGCCACCGCTTCCCACCTTGTTCGTTTTGCTCCTGCCGGCTTCCCGTCCAGCAGGCGAGAGCGGAAGCACTCCATTGTTTCCGAGATGCTAGTGGAGAGACGGCCATTGCTCTTTAGGAGGACTGTTTTGAATCCTTCGAACGCAGCTGGTGAAATTTTTGCTTTCCACCTTTTTCGGCACGCCTCTGATGCTGTTTTCCAGGTGAAGGAGCCTTCTTTGATTGCGCCCAAGACTTCTTCTATGATCTCCGCTTGTTTTACTTGGGGGATTTTCTCCCATGCGTAGGACCGGCGGAGATTCGCACCAGTAAGCTTCACCACCCGGTGTGCCGTCGATCTCGCTTCCTGGATCGCGGGGTTCACTTCCGCGGGGAGGGATTCATCTGCCTCGCCCTCCGGGGGTGGTGGGAGGTCCAGTATGGCCGTGATGTTATGATGGGAGGCGTTTGATAGCTCCCTGTTTGCGCTGGGCCCCACATATACGCGGTGGGAAGTCGGGGACTCCGACGTGAGGCGGAAGAAGAGCAAGTCCGGCTGTGTTCCTTCCCTCGGGAAGGTTATTGCTGCTTCCTCCAGCGCTGATTTCATGCCGGCAGCCTGTAGTTTCTGCTTGAGGTGAGCCGCCGATTTACTTGGAGAGGACGCAGTTTCCGTCACGTTGAGGTCACCCGCCACCAGCACCGTCTGTGAGGACACTAGTCCTGCCAGCACTGCGTGCTCGTTCTTCCTGGTGGCGTACGCCGGGGACACGTACCCCACAACCGCTTCTCCCCGCATGACCTCCGTGTCGATGCATCCCAGCTGCATATTTGGAGCGCCCTGTACTGGTGTCCATTTTTTGGCTTTTGGTGAGATACCATGCGCTATTGCCGCGATCGACCGGTCTGCTCGGTGCCAGTCGTACCGGCCCTGCGTGATCTCGTCCATGACTTTCAAGATGCTAGTTGCTTCCTCTTTTTTCATCGATGCCTCGCTCACCACCGCTATCAGCGCCTGGCTGTGGAGCAAGTCCAGCGCCACACCTATGTGGTTGTTGACTAGGGCGCCATCCGCGTTCACCAGATGGACTATCATTGGCTTGCCCTTTGACCAGTTGTGGTCTGGGGGGGCCCACTTCGGCTCTAAGCGGATGCTGGTGGTGGGGAGGAGGTAGCCTGATCTTTTTGCTAGGTCCTGTCTGTGCTGTCGTTTTTCGCCTATCCTGAGGTTATCCGCCGCTATCTGGATATGCATTTGTGACGCGTGAGCCGCCCGGCCCGCCACACAGAGGTACACGTGCTGGAGGGATTGAGCCAGGCTGCCCGTCCATGGGCATCTTGTGCAGCTCCATTCCTGACTTACGTAGTCACGCGCCGCGGAGTCAGGTATTGGAATGCGGATATAGAGTGCGGGACCTTGAGCTGGATCGACTCCTTTCTTTGGATATTCGACAATCGCGAGGAAGCCCAGGGCATGCGGGTGGACGACACGTTCCCGGTGGGGGATGCTGGTTAGTAATTCCTCTGCACGTGCTGTGCATTGCTCGCAAACTAGCTCGCTTATTGTCTCATCGGCAAAAGTTTCATCGATTGTGCGACGCGGGGCGCAGCACAGAAACTCACCTGCCCGACGATTTTCCTCGCTTTGCATCTCCTTTTTCCAGCGAGTACTTGTTGATTGCGACTTCCATTCCCGCGGAGGTCCGGAGACGGTGCTGCCACCGTCCGATCTGACGTTCCGTCCCGCCGGTCGCTTTTCGTCTATTTTCAGCCCCCCACGCTTTTTTATCGCATTCATCCCGAGAAGTTGTTTTGACGTTGCTGATTGTGATTGGGACTGCGAGAAGACTTGGATGTCTGCTGGGGGGAGGGGTTGCGCCAGGGCCGATCTCGTAGTCATTCTAATTGCTATGCCTTCTGCACAGCATCGCAGCATTGTCAGATCGCTCGGCTTGATCTGCGTGTTGCGGTATCGGCGCTCTTGATCATCCCATATTTTCCCGGTGGTCATCCAGATCCCAGCAGCCACTTCCTCTTTTTTCGCTTGCTTCGTGGGCCAGCCCTTTCCTGCTGTTTTCTGGAGGTAGTTCCTGATCAGTGTTGAAAGCTGGTTTTCCCACTGCGCGCATCCCACCTTTGGCTTTCCTGCCGTGCGGTTCGCAGTTAGCTCCGCATTAGTGATGCGCGACATCTCCGACATGCAGTGCAGTCCGATCTCCACGAGAAGACCGGCTCCGTGCGCGGCTTCAAGCCAGTTCGCCCATCTCTTCGGTAGTCTTTCAAATACCCTCACCGGGAATAGGCGGTGGCCGCTTGGGAGAAGGGCTGGCTCCAACGTGATTTTGTACGGGCTGGCTGCCGCCAGTAGCTCCTCCGGGAGCTCTTTGTGTTGAGGCGGTTGTGGGGCTTGGTTGATCCCTGCTTCATTGCCCCCTGGTAATTCCTCTGCATTGTGATACAGCGGGTACCTGCGGTGGAGGAGGTTAGCCGTTTCGACTCCCCTTTTTGATGTGATGTCACGGTCGCTGACTTGGTTCGCGTTCCTACCGTGTCGGATTTTCAGCATGTGGCTGAAGTTCGGGATCCTGCTTTCGATATCACTGCCACTCTTACTGCCCGTAGCGAAACGCGGCGCACTCCGATCTGCCTTTTCTCCTAGGCTGCTTCTGCCCCGAGTTCAGCGATTCATATCAGAAAAAGTGGACTACTTGTGTGTTGCATATATATTTTTTTTCAGGGAGCTTTTTTTCTTTTTTTTTTTTCTAACTATTGCGATCGTAGCTCACGTTAGTTTTAGTCGGCTGGCTTTCCTAGCCTTGACGCACTACTGATTCTCTTAGCTTGTGCATCTCCTGTCCGGCCTGCATTACACACCATATATTTCATTTTGTTTGGTTGATGCTCTTCTTGCCAGACCCGCATTACAAGATCCACCGCCACTCCGGGCTCTGATCACCCCGCTAGTTCCCCCACTCCTGATTTACAAAACCTTGCGCACTAGCGCCGAGCTCATTCGAGCTGCAAACACGGACGAGACGACCTGGCGGGCTGGTGCCAGCTGGAGGAGCTGGAACGTGCTTGCAAGAAGCACAAAGACATACAAGATTACCCACGGGGCCGGCCCGGGACCGGACACCGTCGTGGGTGCCCGAGACTGCCCGCAACGACAGCAGGGCAGAGGCACTGATATCACCCGACAGCAGAAGTGCAGGCGGCCCCAGGACGAAGACATGCAAAAAACCCTCCAGGCCGCGGAATGGGGGATAGCATTAATCGGGCAGTAGGTGTGCTTCTTGGAACAGATTGCTGCGCAGCGAACGTCCTTTGTGTTGTGCTGCGCGTCTTCCTTTTTTTCATCAGCGCGACACGTGACTAACTTTCTGTTTATCTTTTATCCCTGTTTTTTTGCTGAGCCTTTGCTGTGTATCTACAGGGCTCCCGTAACTTTCACTGGCATGTAATTAGTTTTAATTCATCCACTTTTTCTTCTTGAATCTGACTGTTTGCATGGATCCGTCCTCTGTGGAGGTTAACTAGCCTGCTGTATTGATGCTCTATCCCCGAGTATCGGAGGTCGAGCTCCTCATGTTGCCGTAGAAATTCTGCGACGTCTTCTTCTGTTCCTCTGAGCCATTTGTTCATTACAAGGAGCCACTCCATCGGGTAGCCACTGCGCCCGTGCGCCCAGATTAAACCTAGGCCCATGCGGGTGATTCCCATCCCCGGTTGTAGCGGGTATTGCGGGAGTTTTTCCTGCTCCTCGAAGAAGTAGTTGTAGGCTTCCTGGGACCCGCTCCTGGTTGCGTCCACGAGGGCACGCCGTGTTGACCTGCGGTTTGATCTTGCCAGCGCCAGAACTCCCGGAGCCACCGTATCTCCCACCGCTTCGCACAGGATTTCGGCTGTCATGCTTTCGCCGCTGAGCATGCTCATTGCTGCTCTTGCCCCGTCTTCCAGGCACTGGCGACAGAGGCCGAATTTTGTTTTGAACGTGTCGTGGTCGCACGTCGGGTTTCGGATGTGTAGTTGCTGCAGGACCAGTTCTTGGATTAATCCGGGCTGCCCAAGCGCCGGGTGGGTGGCAACTGCCTGTGCCATCCTCGCTGCTCCGTGTGAATCACCCATCATCTGGTCTTGAAGAGTGACTAGCAGTGGGCTGGGGGATGGCGTGATTTTCGGGAGGAGGATCAAGGGGCAGAAGTTCCCGAATCTGGCTAGGCGGTCTACGTCCCTTGACGAGCCCTCCGTGGCCTGGCGCCCCGTTGAGCTGTGGAAGCGAGCCTCGAGTGGCACCCCGTCGGTACCTGCCGTCGCATGATACGCCATGTTCTTTCCTTTAGCCCAGCCGAATTCGCGGCAGGAATTCCTGTTCCAGGTGCGGATGATCGGGAGTGGCCATTGCAGGCCAATGAGGGGTGATCCCTCGACTTTTCCTACTGCCAGGTGACCCTCGCAGGAGGTAAGGGCATCCAGCGCGTATTCCGCCTGCGTGTACAAGCGTGGTTCTTGGGGATCCCGCTCCTCTAGCGGGTAACACCGGTAGGTGCCGTGCAGTCGGTCCGCTTTATATGATGCTATGCGCCCCGCTTCTCGTGAAATCATGTTGGCGACCGTCTCGTAGTCTTGATCCAGAAGTAGCATTAACTCCAGCATAGATGCGGTGCCGTAGACTGCACAGGGCACACATTTCCCTCCTGCCAGGTGTGGACGGCCTAACGGATTAGAATACACCGTGCAACTACATTCTTTGTCGAGACCCACCATTTTGTAGATTGCTTCGTCCTGGTTGATAGCCGGGGCCGCCGTAGCATACACCTCTTTTTTCCGATCGGACTGGCGGGCGGTCCGTGACTCCTTGTCCGGGCCCAGGAGGATGGCTTCGTGGAGGAATGCGTTGGTCCGCGAGATATGGGGGAATATCGTGTGTGCGTATTTTTGGTGGGAGTTGAGGATCGCCTCGCTCCATAGGAATTCCTCCAGGTTGGGGACGCACTTTAGACCGAGGAAGTCTGCCGCTGCGAGCGACTTCGCTAGCACGGCCAGCCCCGCCTGTCTTCTATCCTGTCGCTTGTGCATTTCGTTATCAAATCTTAGTTTCCACCTTTCCGCTTCCTGATCACCGTTTGGAAGCCTCTCCTCACCGAAACCGCTGAGATTGCCCCCCGCCATGTCAAAGATGAGGCTCAGGATGGCGGCGAGGTTGGCGTCGTCTTGATCGTCACTGATGTTGTTAGGGAGGATAACCTGCACCGGTCGCTCTCCATCCGCGATGTCGATTAGCGTTGATATGTGTGGCGACGCCAATGCCAATAGCTCCAGCTCCTCCTCCTGAAAAATCGCTGTCCGCGTGCCCAGAACTAGGCGCAGGTTATCTCCGTCGCCGTCTCCGCATGCTGGGGAGCCCGTTTCTACCACTTCCATTTTCTTCCTTGTTTATCGTGCTGGCGCTGCTGGTGGGTGGTTCGGCTCAGTGCAAGATAGAAAAGTGGGCCACTATTTGTTGTCTTCGTGATTTCTTATAAATAGTGGTATCTGTTTAACTTACCGCTGTTTCTTTGCAGATCTGATCAGGAATTTTGCGGGGAAGACTAGTCTAACTAGTCCATGCCAGCCCGCTGTGAGCAGTAGCTCCCGGCTCCGGCCTGAGCGAACAGAACATGACACAATGCGGATCTAGAAAGGCCGGACAAAGAGGAATTGTGAGTGCGGAGAGAGCACCCACGCACCAGAACCGTTCACTGTACTGCACGACCACAGCACTACCCCTGCTCCACCGCTGCGGGTGGGAGCCAGATTTGTAATGGGGGTGATACGAGTTATCATCACCAACACTAGCGCTGCTCGCGGGAAAATGTTGAAGCATCGATATCAGAAAAAGCACAATTTATTCGATTCATGCGAGCCTGATCAGTTTCATCTCATCCACTCTTCTATTTTGCGCCTGAACTTCCCAGTTGTCGTCTTCCCGGTAGCGCTCCAGGAACATGCTGTACTGCACCGCCGAGTCCTTGTCGTTCAATCCATATTCGTCGTGCTTCATCATGAAGCTCTCCACGTTCTCCCGGGTTGACCTTACCCAGCGGTCCGGTACGTTCAGCCCGAGTGTCGGGTACCCGCTGCGGCTATGTGCCCAGACCAGGCCTAGCCCCATTCTCGTGATCGTCATACTTTGGTGGAGGTACGGCTGCCAGATCGTGGCCTGGTAGTTCAGGAAGTCCTCGTACGGGCGGTCTTTCCCCGACCTGATGGCTTCCAGCAGTTTGTTGCGGCTCGCCTTGCGTCGTTTTTCCGCATGTAGCAGGAAGGCACCCGCATTGGTGTCATCGACTAGTTGACACATGATATCCGCCGATAGTCCCTCGCCACTGATGAAGCGCATAGCTGTCATCGCCTCCTCGTGCAGGCATTCTGCGCAAAGGCCGAATGCCGTTGCGCCATTGTCGTGGTCACAGCTGATGCTGGTTTCCATCATCCTGGACGCCATCACCTCTTTTAGCAGGCCTGGGAACCGAAGGCACGGGTAGGCATCGACTGTCTCACCACTTATTCGGATTCCTTCTGCTTCGTCCAGGAGTTTTTGGTGCTCCGCTAGTTCTCCTACATTCAAGTTCTCGATGTGTCGCAAGCAGATCCTGTCCGCCGCTATCGGTGCTCGGAGCTCCTTTTTCCCCATCGGGAGCAACACTTTCGGGTTGATTTTTGGTAGCGTGGTGCTCGCCGGGTGCGGGGGAGGGGAGAAGGGGAGCTCGTACATGCGTGGAGCCATTATGTTGTAAGGCTTCGACGGGCTCATTATCCACGCGAAACCGATCTCGTTCTGAGCGGAGAAGGTCTTGATTATCGGGAATGGCCAGGGGAGGCCCACTCCCTCTGCCCCCGGGATTTTTCCTAGGTTGATGTGGCCGTCTTCGGTAAGCAGGGTTTCGAGTGCAAATTCTAGGCGCGTGGTGTGCCGGTAGTCCTGCGGGATGATGACGTGTGAGGCCTGACGCCTTGGTGTGTTGTTGAGGCGGCCGACTTTGTAGGTAGCTAGGCGAGATGCGCGCTCCGACACGAGGTGGGCTGCATCTTCGTAATCCACTTGCAGCAGCACGTGGAGTTCCAGCAGCAGTTTGATACCATGTAGCGTGCAGTATAGGCAGCTGCTGTCGGCTAGGCGGGGGAAGCTGTCGCTGCGATTTCCACAACGGCATTCGTAGTCGAGAAGCGTTGCTACGTACAGTGCTTCGTCCTGCTTTGCTGCTTCTGCCTTTTTCATGAAAATTACTTCTTTGCGGCTCGCCTGCCTCACTTCCCGTCTCTCTCTATCTGGTCCTAGGAGAAAGCAGCGGAAGAGGGCTGGGCTGGCTTCCGCCACATACGGGAGGATGGTGTTGGCGAAACTGATGTGGCCGTTTACTCGTGCTATCTGCCATATGTCCAGCCCTAGCTCCTGGACGCAGATAAGGCCGAGAAAGTCCGCCGCAACCGCTGCAAAACCTAGTTGTCTCAGTGTCGATGTGTCCTTGTCCTGCGTCGCCTTGTTCCTGATCCTGTGGTAGCTGGCCAGTTCCTTTCTCCCGTCCGGGCGGCGGTCGCTGCGCGTGCCTGCTAGGTTCCCGCCTGCAAGTTCGTGAACCCTCGACAGGACAATGTCGTCGTAGTGTCGGTTTTCCTTGTCCGTTCTTCCCGGAGACGCGCAGGCTACTGGTAGCGTTACCCTGATTGGGTATTCCTCCGCCGCGTTGGATTCCATTTCTCTGATGAGAGTAGAAGCCACCACAAACTGGCTCAGACCCTCTGCATCCAGGATCAGGGCCCGCTCGCCAAGGACAATTTGCAGCATTCCCACTGCTCCTGTCTCCTTTGCGCTTTCGTCGTTATCCGGCATCAACAACGACGTCATTTCTGATCCTCTGATTTCGTGTAACTGCGACGTCGTGATATGCTGCCTGTCTCCGTAATGATCCGCTCGCCTGGAGGGAACCTGGAGGTTTCTGTACTGCCGGTCTACGAGATCTTGTTTCGCTGTTTGCACTGCTAACACTACTCAAGCTGAACTGCTCTATTTGACTACTTGTGGCAACGTGGTGTTTTTTTTTTTTTTTACAGCTACTCTTCTTACTTCGACTACTCTGCTTGAGCCAAAATGACTACTCTGCTTGAGCCAATCTGTATTGCATGAGCAGCAAAGGGAATGCGATTTTTGCTACGCGGAGAGGGCATTAATATTTATATTGCTTGACTTCCGGGCTCTGTAATCACATACCCCAGACGAGAAGTGACGGCGACAGGTGACGGCGAGAGGCGAAACGACAGGCGAAAGGAGAGGCGAAACGACAGGCGAAACGAGAGGCGAAACGACAGGCGACAACGACAGGCCAAAAGTGGCAACTTCTCATGCGGTTCCGCGCAAGCAGCGTCATCATTCAAAGCAAAGAAATAAATAAAAGAGCTGCTGACTTTCGACAAGAAAAAAGCAACTCTTTCACTTTCATTCACGTGCAAAAAATAATTAATCTTTTTTTATTCTTATCCGAAAAAAAAACTACTTCATGCGCGTGAGTAAATTGATCTGACAGGTGAGGACGAGAGGCGACGGCGACAGGTGAGACGACAGGCGAAAGGAGAGGCGAAACGACAGGCGAAAGGAGAGGCGAAGCGACAGGCGACGGCGACAGGCCAAAAGTGGCAACTTCCCATGCGGTTCCGCACCAGCAGCAGCAACAAAAAAAAGCCAGCGAGCCACTTATTTCCGAGAAGAAAAAGCCGGCGCTTTTATTTTTACTCATCTGCAAAAAATAACCAGACTGCATCGATATCCGAAAAACCAGAATTATTTTTATGCACGTGGAAAAAAATAACAGAGCTACTGTCTTGCTCGCGGAAGTACATAGCCCATTTTTTTTTTTGGTGCTGCTGCTGGTGTGGAACCGCATGAAAAGTTGCGGCCTTTGGCCTGTCGTTTATTCGCCTGTCGTTTCGCCTGTCGTTTCGCCTGTCGTTTCGCCTGTCGTTTCGCCTGTCGCCTCGCCTGTCGCCTTCACCTGCCGCCGTCGCCTGTTTGTGCCTTCACCTGTCGCCGTTGCCTGTCGCCTTCAACTGTCGCCGTCGCCTGTCACCTCCACCGGTCGCCTTCACCTGTTGGCGCCACATTGGAGAAACATTATCCCTGAATATTCGGCGCCCCTTCTTGAATATTGGAGAACTTTCTCGCCGACTATTCCTTCGGCAGGCACTCCCCCTCGGCTATTGATTCGAGAATATCCTCCCCGAAACTTCGGCGCCCCTTCTGGAATATTGGGGAACTTGCTCCCTGAATATTCGAGAATGCCCGCCCTGACTATTCGGCAGCGTCCCTGAAATAACTGGAAACGTCCTCCCTGAATATTCGGCCCGATCTAGCCCGTGAATATACGAGAATGCCCGCCGTGAATATTCGCCGCACCCCCTTGACTCTGTCTGCAAGAATATTCGCGCGGAGTATTCTTTTCGGCGTTCCTCCTTGAATATTCGCGAGCGCTTTTTGCCCTGCATGCATATTCGGTCGGCGTGCCTTCTGGAATATTCGGCGTTCCCCCTTGGCTGTTCGAGAATATTCTCCCCGAATGTTCGGCGCGCCTTCTCGGGTCTTGGAGTGAAAATATTCCCGCCGAATATTCGGCGCGCCCCCTTGGGTATTCGAGAACGCCCTCCCTGAATATTCGGCGCGCCTTCTCGAATATTGGAGAACGGCCGCCCTGAATATTCGGCGCTCCTTCTTGAATATTGGAGAGCATTCTCCCGGAATATTCGGCGTCCCTTCTTGAATAATGGAGGGCGTTTCCCCTGAATATTCGGCACTCCCCCTCGAATATTCGGGAACGTTCGCCCTGAGTGCTCGGCGTTCCTTCTTGAATATTCGAGAAGGAGCGCCCTCCCTGAATATTCGGCGCGCCGCCCTGAATATTCGGGAACGCACGCCCTGAATTTTCGGCATTCTTTTTGGAATATGCGAGAGGACAAGGCCTGGAGGCTCGGGCCCCCCTCTGCATAATTCGAGAAGGCCCGCCAGGGATGTTCGGGAAGATTCACACGCCCCCGCCCGGTTTGTTCTCGATGTTGCCCCGCCCGCTTGCCAAAATCGCACGCGGTTAGGTTCCTTTCGGAGGGTCGTTTGGGTTGGGTTTCTGCGAACTCTTTCGCGGGAGAGTCCGCGCAATCCGTCGGCAGATTCTTGGCGCGGGGGTTTTCTTTTTTTTTCCTCTGCGGGCTCAGATGGGGCGCGCGCTCTCCCCTTCGTGGCGCAACACGGATCGCCATCGTCTTCGGCTACAGTACACATTGCCAGGCTTTTGGCTCGCTGGCACCTAGCTCAGGCAATTGACGTAGCGCGACGGCTGACGACTTGGATCGGGAAGCATTATTGGCGTAGGGCGACAGGTGGCAACCTGATCGATTGGGGCGGCAGTTGGCCGGCTGTTCGCCTTCCTTTTGCGCTTCATTTCGCGCGCATGTAGGAAGGGGTCTTTTGGGCTCAACAGCCTTGCCCCGCTCTGTTCCTTGCTTCTCCGGCTATCGCGCGAAGCCCCGCGGCCACATTAATCTCGGCCGGCCGCTCGCAGGTAGTGCGAAGGCGGGAGTGGGCAACCTTGGAAAAACTGGCGAAAACCTTGCAAGCTTGGCCGGCCAGCTTCTCCGGAGGCTCAAGGTTGCAAAGCCACCAAGCTGGCCAGCCCTGCCCCGCTCTCTCTGCCCCGCGCCTCTCCGGCTCTCGCGCGCCGCGCGAATTTTGGCCGCAGGTAAAGCGAGCGCGGGAAATCTTGAAAAAGGGTGAAGGGTTTCTGTGCTTTCCGAGAAAGGCCGAGCCTTTGCAGGTTTGACGCGGTTTGTTTTCCGAAAACCCAAGGCCGTAAAGCCGTCCAGCTGGCCCACCTTGCCACGCGCTGTTCCTTGCCTCTCCGGCTATCGCGCGAAGCCCCGAGGTCGCAGGTAATGAGACCGCGGGGAATTTTGAAAAAGCCGGCCCGCCCGAAAGCCCAAGGCCACCAAGAAAGTCGTCGAGTTGGCCAGCCGTGCCCCGCTCCGGCCGTCTCTTGCTTCTCCGGTTATGGCGCGAAGCCCCGGGGCCACAGCTTGGCCGTTCGTACGTAATGCGAAGGCGGGGAATCTTCAAAAAGGAAAAACCTAAAAAATTTTTGCAAGTTTGGCAAGCCTTCCCGAAAACCCAAGGCCACAAAGCCGGCCAGCTGGCCAGCCCTTCCCCGCTCTCTCTGTTCCTTGCATCTCCGGCGACCGCGCGACGCGTCGCGGCCAGGTGTTGGCCGTTGGAAGATAATACGAAGGCGGGAAGGCTTGAAAAAGCTTGGGAAAATTTAGCCGGGAAACTTCCGGGCGGGGCTTTCGTTGTCTGCGTGTTACGGTTTTCGGAAGTTTTGAAATTGGAACCCCCAGAGCCAATTTTTCTGCGGAAATTTTTCCCCGGCAATTTTGGCGCTCGCCTTGCGAGACGAAAACACTAGGCCAGGGCTGCTTGGGAAGCGTTATGGGGGGGCGTTATGGGCGGCGTTATAGGACGCGGCATAGAACGCGTCGTGGAACGCGTTGTAGGACGCGTTATGGGGGCGTTGAGAAACCGTGGCAAGCACCCCGGCCCGGGGTGTTATGGGATTCGTTGTGGGGCGCGTTATAAAGCGACCCCAGCAAAATCCCACAAAGATTTCGCGTCGCTGCCCATAACGCGTCCCATAACGCGCTCTATAACAAATTCCCCGGCCGTCCAAACGGGGTGGCACAACGCCCAACCCCGAAGAACCACACACGCCCCCCGCGGGAGTCGCGAGCGCATCGGGGGCCCCGGCGTCCTCCCGCGCGCGGCAAGGCGCGCCCGCAGTTTGCTACAACAGCACGGGCCCCGCCGCGGGGCCTTCGCCGGGCTACAACGCAAAGGCCGCCCCTTCTGCTCATGCGACGGACCATCGCGCCCCCCTGGTTCGAAGCCCGGGCCGGAGCCGACGGCGCCCTTCCCGGGAATTTTGAAAATTTCCAAAATGGGAACGGTTTCAGGCTTGGAAAAATTTTCAAAATTTCCTCAAGTTTGGCCAGCTTCTCCGAAAACCCAACCAAGGCCGCAAAGCCGGCCAGCCTTGCCCCGCTCTGTGTTGCTCCTTGCTTCTCCGGCTATCGCGCGAAGCCCCGCCCGAGGCAACACCTTGGCCGTACGTAGTGCGACCGCGGACAACCTTGAAGAACCTTGGAGAAGGTTGCAAGCTTGGCCGGCTTTTCCGGAAACCCGAGGCGGCAAAGCCGTCCAGCTGCCCGGCCTTGCCCCGCTCTGTTCCTTGCTTCTCCGGCCATCGCGCGAAGCCCCGAGGCCACATGTTGGCCGCAACCTAGGTAATTTGAGGGCCGCCGGGGGATCTTGAGAAAAGGAAAAACCTGAGCAGGTCGGTCAAGTGTTGGCAGCTTTTCCGAAAACCCAAGGCCACAAGGCCTCCCAGCTTGCTGGCCAGCCTTGCCCCGCTCTGCCCCTTGCTTTCCCGGCTATCGTGCGAAAGCCCGCGGCCAAATGTTGGCCGTAGGTAGTGAGAACCTACCCGGGGAACCTTGAAAAAGCTCGGGAATGTTTTTCAGGTTTGCCCAGCTCTTCCGGAAACTCCCCCGAGGTCGCAAAGCCGCCAAGCTGGCCGGCCTCGCCCCGCTCTGCCCTTTGCTTCCCCGGCCATCGCGCGGGGCCTCGACTTGGCCGCGCGCAATCTAATGCGAAGGCGGGACACCTTTGGAAGGCTTCAAAAGCTTAGCCATGTTTGGCCAGCTTTTCCGAAAAGCCGGGGCCGCGATCAAGGCTGTCCAGCTGGCCAGTCTTGGCTTGCCCCGCTCTGTTCCTTGCGTCTCCGGCTATCGCGCAAAGCCCCGCGGCCACGTTTTGGCCGTAGAAAGCTAGGCAATGCGAAGGCGGGAAACCCTGAAAAAAGCCCTGGCAAGTTTGGCCAGGTTTTCCGAAAGCCCAAGGCCGCACAGCCGCCCAGCTGGCCAGCCTTGCCCCGCTCTTTTCCTTGCTTCTCCGGCTATCGCGCGCGCGAGGCCCCGTCTTGGCCGCAGGTAGTGCGAAAGCGGGCGGGGAACCTTGGAAAAGCTTGCGGAGCTTTTGCAAGTCTGGCCAGCTTTTCCGAGAACGCAAGGCCGCAAAGCGTTCCAGCTCGCTGGCCGCCCCGCCTCGCCCCGCTCCGTTCCTTGCTTCTCCGGCGACCGCGCGGACCCTCGCGGCCACACTTCTTGGGCCGCTGGTGTTGCGAAGGCGGGAAACCTTGCAAAGCTTGAAAAATTTTTTAAAGTTTGGCCAACTTTTCCGAAGACGCAAAGTCGCACGCAAAGCCTTCCAGCTGGCCAGCCAGCCTTGCCCCACTCTGTCTGTTCTTTGCTGTTCGTTCTCCGGCTATCGTGCGAAGCCCCGAGGCCGCACCTTGGCCGGAGGTAATGCGAAGGCGGGCAGCCTTGAAAACACTTGAGAAATTTTTTCAAGTTTGGGCCGCTTTTCGAACACAACACCCAAGGCCGCAAAGCCTTCCAGCTGGCCAGCCTTGCCCCGTCCCATTCCTTGCTTCTCCGGTTCTCGTGCGTGCGAAGCCCCCCCCCCGCGCGCGGCCAAGCTTTGGCCGCAGGGCCTGCGGCGATGTTTGGCCAGTTTGGCCAGTTTTTCCGAAAACCCAACGCCGCAGGCAAAGCCGCCCAGATGGCCAGCCTTGCCCCGCTCTGCTCCGTGCTTCTCCGGCTATCGCGCGAAGCCCCAGGGCAAGGCCACGCGCTGGCCGTAGGTAATGCGGGCGCGGGGCTCGAAAGCTTGCGCAGGTTTGGCCAGCTTTTCCGAAACACCAAGGCCGCGGCAAAGCCGTCCACTTCAGCCGGCCAGCGTTGCCCCGCTCTGCCCCGCCCTTGCTTTTCCGGCTATCGCGCGAAGCCCCGACGCCACACGTTGGCCGTAGGTAATGCGAGGGCGGGACATCTTGGAATAGCCTTGGAGCGCGCCTTTGTTTTTCAGGTTTGGCCAGCCTTTTCGAAAACCCAAGCGCTGCCCCTTGCTTCTCCGGCTATCGCGCGACGCCCCGCGGCAACATTCTGGCCGTAGAAAGGCATGCAATGCGGGGGCGGGGAGTCAGTCTTGGGGTAACTTACTCGAAAAATTTTCTCAAACTTGGCCAGCCTTTCCAAGCGAACGCCCGCCGAAACTCAAGGCCGCAGAGCCGTCCGGCTGGCCAGCCTTGCCCCGCTCTGTTCCTCGCTTCTCCGGCTATCGCCCGCGCGAAGCCCCGCGGCCCGCCGCATTTCGGCCGTACGTAATGCGAACGCGGGAAATCTTAAAAAGCTGGACAAGTTTCTTCAAAGTTGGCCAGCTTCTCCGAAAACCCGAGGCCACAAAGCCGCCAAGCTGGCCCGCCAAACTTGCCCCGCGCCCGCTCTGTTCCTTGCTTCTGTGGCTATCGTGCGAAGCCCCGGGGCCGCATTTTCGTCGTAGGAAAGTAATGCGAGCGCGGGAAGCCTCGGAACAGCCGGGGAGCTTTTTGCAAGTTTGGCCGGCTTTTTCGAAGAATCAACGCCGCAAAGCCGTCCAACTTGCCAGCCTTGCCCCGCTCGTTTCATTGCTTCTCCGGCTACCGCGCGAAGCCCCGCGGCCACATTTTGGCCGGAGGCAGGTAGTGCGATGGCTGGAAATCTTGAAAACCTGAAAAGGCGAAAGCCCAAGGCCGCAAAGCCGCCCCGCGTGCCAGCCTTGCCCCGCTCTGTTCCATGCTTCTCTGCTCACCGCGCGAAGCCCCGGCGCCACATCTTGGCCCTCGGCAATGCGAGGCCGGGGAGGTTTTGCAGGCCTTTTCAAGTTTGGCCGGGCGGCTTCTCCGAAAACCCAGGGCCGCAATCAAAGCCACCAAGCTGGCCAGTCTTGCCCCGCTCTGGTCCTTGCCTCTTCGGCTATCGCGCGAAGCCCCGCGGCCGCATCTTGGCCGTACGTGGTGCGAGCGCGGGGAATGATCTCGAAAAGCGAAAAGCCTGAGAGCAAAACTTTTGCAAGGTCGGCCAGGTTTTCCGAAAAGCCAAGGCCGCAAAGCCGCCAAGGTGGCAAGCCTTGCCCCGCTCTGTTCCTTCCTTGCTTCTCCGGCTACCGCGCGAAGCCCTGCGGCGCGGCCGCGTTCGCCCTGGCCGTAGGTAATAAATGCGAAGGCGGGGGGACTTTGCAAAAAGCTTGGGCAGCTTTATCAAGGTCGGCCAGCTTTTTCGAAAATCCAAAGCCGCAAAGCCGTCAAGCGTGCCAGCCTTGCCCCGCTCTGCTCCTTGCTTCTCCGCCTATCGCGCGAAGCCCCACGGCAACACTCAGCATGGCCGTAGGCAATGCGAGCGTGCGCGGGAATCTTGAAAAAACTTGAAGCGCGCACTTCTTCAGGTTTGGCCAGCTTTTCTTTTGCGAAAAGAAACCCGAGGCCACAAGGCCGCCTGGCTGCCTGGCCAGGCTTGCCCCGCTCTGTTCCTTGCTTCCCCGGCTACCGCGCGAAGCCCCGAGGCCACATTTTGGCCGTAGGCCGGTGATGCTGGGCCGGGGAATCATGAAAAAACTGGCAAAACTTTTCAAGTTTGGCGAGCTTTTCCGAAAACGCAAGGCCGCAAAGCCGCCAAGCTCGCTGGCCAGCCTTGCCGCGCTCTGTCTGTTCCTTGCCTCTCCGGCTATCGCGCGACGCCCCACGGCCGCACTTTGGCCGCAGATGGTGCGCAACTGGGGAAGCTTGGGCAACCTTATGAATTTTTTTCAAGTTTGGCCAGCTTTTCCGAAAGTAAGTCCAAGGCCAAAAAGCCGCCGAGCTCGCCAGCCTTGCCCCGCTCTGTTCCTTGCTTCCCCGGCTATCGCGCGAAGCCCCTAGCCCACACTTTGGACGAGGGAACATAATGCGAGGGTGGCGAATCTTGAAAAAACTGGATAAACTTCTGCAAGGCTGCCCAGCTTTTTCGAAAACCCAAGGCCGCAAGGCCGTCCAGCTGGGCAGCCCTGCCAGGCTCTGCGCCTTGCTTCTCCGGCTATCCCCCTCCTGACTTCGTGCCTCGGCCCTTGCTTTCATGCGAGGAAGCGACGCCCCGCGCCCAGATTTGTTGCGGGAACTTCGTAGAGCCCATTCCGCGCCTCTGGGGCGGTGGCATTTCTGCACCCACAGAGCGCACCGCCGTCCAGCTCTATCGCCTGACTGTCTGCCGCCGTCGCCTGAAGCCGAAACCCCAGGCCGAATGAAACCCCCAAGCCGAAGCCCCAGGCTGAAACCTCAAGCCGAAACCGAAGCCAAGGGCCCGCGTGGGGACCCTGTCCCCACGCTCGGACCTTGTTTGTCATGCAGAATACGCATCAAGATGCCCTCAAAACATCTGTGATGCTAGGGCATGCATCACAGACATGATGGCGCATGAAAAACATGCATCACAAGTCGCAGAATCTTCCAGACCCAGACCTTTTTACAAGCCATAGACAGCACTCGTTCACAATGCGACTAACGGACCGGCCAGCCACACGGATAAAGTACCAGTGCTTCTTCGTGCTGGCGGCATGCGCACCGAGATTCCCGATGATGGACGAGAAAACTTTGCAGGCGGTGTCGTGGCCAAGGGACTGTGGAGGTTTTTTGGACAAGGTACTTATTTTTATTATTTCTAGACGAAGATGAACACGAAAGAACGGTTTCTGTTTGAGCGACTGAAACAAATGAAGGTGGTGAAATGCACACATAAACATCAGCATAAGAAAGAACAAAACCATGGATGTTGAAGTAGTAAGTATCTGTACCTGCTCCACAAAGGGTAGATCGTTTTCGCAGCTGGCCGGTATCCCCACCACTGCGCAGGGCACCCGGAACTCCAGAAAGTACTCGGCCAAAAATGCCGTTTCCGGGTGGGACTGGCTGTTTCCAATCACCAAGAGCCCGTCTAATTCCAACGACAACACTGTTTCCACAACCTTCGTCAGATTCGCTTCCGTCCTTGTCACCGCGAAATCGGACCGCTGCAACAAATCCAGCCCCGCCTGGTTGCAGTAGGGTAGCAACCTTTGCTCGTCGATCTCGATGAAGTTCCGTTCACACAGACCCCGTCCCCCGCCCAAGAATCCGTACAAGTGCCCAGTTGGCTGCGCCGAAGGGCTTGCTGCACCCGGCCCAAAGTTGTGGTCTTCTTGGTTATAATTTGCTACGTTCGACGCACTTGTTGTTCCTGCTTCGGCAATTGCGTTCGTCGAGAAGGGCGGGGAGGGTGCGAAGTCGCTCATGCTTCCAGAAGAATGCATGTCTGCTCCTCCGCCGAACATTTGCTCCCGCGCCGCGGCGACCTCCCTTGCGTTCTCCTGCACGAACCGCAGCGCGCCCCAGACTATCACATGCAAAAATGTCTGGGTCTGGAAACTTGTGATGCTGCGTTGGGAATAGGAAATGCTCTGTAATGCACAGCCAAGCATGAGAAATATCTGCGCTTCTTTGTGTTGCGTTTTTCTCACGATAAGCTGCGTTTTTGCATGACAGGCAACAGGGGTCTCTTCTTAGACACGCATCACAAACTTTTTGGTCATCCCAGACAAGCATGACAAATCTCGCAGTCTTCCAGACCCGCCAGACATTTTTGCATTTGATACAGACCGCGTTGTGAATCCCCGGGGCCTCGCGGTCTCAACTGCAAAAATGTCTGGGTCTGGAAGACTGCAACTTGTCATGCTGTTTTTGAACTGTAAAAACATTTGTATTGCATGACCAGCAAGAGGGCTGCAGTTTGTGCTACACGGCCAGGGCATTTCTCATGCGGAAGGTGCATCAGGAAGCCCTCTGAAAGTCTGCGATGCTAGGTCATGCATTACAGGCATCATGGGTCATGAGAAATCTGCATGACAAATGTTTTTCCTCTTCCAGACCCAGACATTTTTGCACTTGATACGCGGGACAGGCACACGATCCCCAGCTTCAACGGTTTCGTGCGCCGGCCCTGCGGGCCGCGGGTTGTGGAAGACGAGGACGCGGGATGCGTCATGACCCCGCTGTAGTTTGTCGTAGCCTGCGACTCTCGCGGCGGCGGCAAAAACTGGAAAGGCTGCGAGGAACTCGGTGCAGCTCCAGATGAAGAACTCAACGTTGCTTGCGGGTTCAAAGATGCTGAACCAGCACCAGCTGCACCGCCAGAAGCCGTTGCAGCTGCTGGTGCTCCCACGATGCCGCCCACGTTTGACGTGACGCTCACATCTCTCGTCACCGCCGCACTACTTTCCATCCTTTTCACCACCGGGTCGTCCACGCGAATGGCTTTCAGCTTGTGGGTCGCCGGGAAGAGTTTTTCCAAAAATTTCAGTTCCGAACAAACCCCATAGCCGTCGCGGTCCACTAGCCTGTACTGGAGCAGACTTTGGGGCAGATGCGGTCGGTACTGCACCCGCCGCCGCTGCGTGTCGGACATTCGCGTGAGCTCGCGGAGGCGCGGGAGAAAGGCGTCTTGTGTTTGGATCCGCAATTTGTTGTTACTGCTTGTTGTTACATTTGTTCCCTTTGTCTGCTCGTTATTCTCCTGGTTCATCTTCTGATTGCTTCTCGAAGAGCTGGACTTCTTCAACGTTTTCGAAACCACCTGCATTATCAAAATGAAAAATCCCCCCTCCCCTCCATATCGAAACGGAAACTTCTGTTGCTGAATTTGTGTACACAAATCAGCCCTGTCTTGCAGTGAAGCACTACAGGCAATCAAAGCCTCAGCCTGCGGAGGGGTGTTTTGTTGTAGGCGCATAGCATAGCAGAGGCCTGCCATGAAGGTGAGACAGCATGACAAATCGCCGCCATAACGCGAGGGATTCTTTGGATTTGCCTTCTTGCAAGGGAGACAGGATTTGTGGTCACAAATCAGCATCACAAATTTCTAAGTGAACATACCTTTTCAGTATGGGGAGGGGGGATTTTTCCTCACAGTATGCATAGCCGCGTCTTTCGTGTCGTCGCTTACGGACGAAGAACTCCTGGAAACCGAGCCGCTGGAGAAGTCGCTCCGGCTTTCGAAGCTCTGCAGATTCCGGACCTTTGGCGCCGCTGGGTCCGGCGGTTTGATGCTGCTCGGCGGTTGCGCTATAGCATAATTCTCTTGATGTTGAGCAAGTTGCTCTTGAGCAGTAGATTGTTCTTCCGGCGGCGGGAAAATTGGCTGCGACTGGCCAATTTGAGCCCAGTTCGAAGAGGATGCTCTTTGCGATTGCTGCACTAAGCTTCGCACACTGTCCGCAGACGCGTTGAAGAAACCGGCAAGGGCGGAACTGCTATTGTGGTTCAGCAAGCCCTGCTGTTCCATCGGGTCAGCAAGAACAGTGGAGTTGTTGTGCGAGACCGCGGCTTCCCGTAGCTTCGCGTACGGGACGTATTCTGCCAAGATGGAATACGAATAGTCCAGGTTCGTCGCGTACATCAAGGTCCCGCGAAACACCCCGTCCCCCTTGATCCCGAATTGCGTCGGGCCCGGCTGGCGGACGGACAACCGGACCGCCCACTCGTCCGCGAGTTCCTTGTACACGGTGTACACCGGGTAGGTTTGTAATGCTAGCGGTCTGCTGGCCACCAGCATGCTTCTGTTGCGCTGCGCGAGCGCGGAACTGGTGGGGCTGGTACTAGTTCTCGTGTGATTTCCTCCTGCTGGATCTTGTTGATGACCCCCCGCCTTGCTGGAGGACTGCAGCCCAGCGGTAGAAGAAGTTGTTGTACCACCACGCGCCTCTGTCGAGAAGCTCACCGACCTCGATGCCGTACTTGCTGCGCCTACGCCGCTGCCAACATCTGCTCTTTTGTTCAGCGTACTAAAAATCGGGGTCGTCGTTGTGGTCGTTCTTGAATTCCGCAGCTCCTCCACCGACTTGGCTCCCAGGGAGACAGAGAAGGATGGCGTATTGCCCGCGGCAGAGTCACGCCAGGAGCTCCGCTCGATCGTGGAAGCTACCGAAGAACCTGCTGTGGTCCCGCCGACCGCCTGTTGCGGCTGGAAGAACTGCTCGATCAGGGTCTTCATCGGCAACCCGTAGGCCTGCCACATCCGCGGGGACTCGAGCAAGTCCGTGACGCAGGCGATGTATCCGTTTTGTCGTCTCTGCACCAAGGCCGCCGCGCAGTGCCCCAACGCCCAGCCCAGCGTCGCGTCAAACTGCGTGGGGACGGGACACCTTTATGCATTGCAAACATGTCTGCGTCTGGAACAAGAGTGTAACTTGTCATGCTACATCTGGATCGTGGAAAAATTTGTGTTGCATGATTACCAAAAGAGGTCCACTTTTGAACAAGTTTAGACTCAAGTTTCTCATGCAGGAGCGGCATGATAGAGATCTCACAGAACCTGTCAACATGCTAGGCCGTGCATGGCAGACCGTGTGGGTCATGGAAAACCCGCATGACAAACTTACCAATCTTCCAGACCCAGACATTTTTGCATTTGATAACCTTCCCTCGACCGCGATGTTGTGGTACCGCGGGATAAATTCCGCCCAGTCGTGGGACAAAGCCTCCTATGCAAGAAAAAAACTATGTGAGTGTGGATCTGTGATGCAGAAAGTGCAAAACTGTTTACACTTGTCATGCTGGATCTGCGTCATACGCTACTTTCATACGTGTTTCCACGTATTAGCTGCGCATGACAGATTTTCCCTGTAATGCAAAGCTACTTTGTAATGCTGTTCTTCCTACACAGTTACACTTACACAATTTTTTTCCTGGATACCTCCCGGACGAGGCGAGCCAGCAACTTCTCCGCGTCCACCTGCGGCAACAGCGGTTCCCCCCGCACGTCATCCCGAAACAGCAGCGCCTGCCGGCAGTCCGCCGGCAGCATGGCGTACAGCTCGCGCGAGGCGGGAGAGAGCCCGGGATTCTTGTTCTGTGCGGGTGGACCTGCTGCACCAGCAGAACTACCTGCTGCGTCGGAAGACAATTGCGACGCGGAGGAAGTTGTCCGGTCTGCGAGCAAATTGGTCGACGAGCCGGATATAATTGTCGCAGTAGAACTACTACTACTGCCGCCGAGCAACAATTCCGCTTCGGTCCGGACCTTGAAGGCTTTCCGCAGATGTGCGATTTCGGATTTCAAAATCTCCGTCTGCACCAGCCCGTTCTCGACCAATCCGTCGGATAGTAAAATAACCCCGGAATTCAAACCAAATTCGTCTCTTCTTTTCAAAATCTGCTCCGCGATGCTTTTCACGATTTCGGTCAGCGACTGCTTCCCATTCTTCACCTCCTCGTTCACAATCACGATGGTCGGCTCCACCTGCAGCGCGATCTCCAGGGTGACCGCCGTCGACCCGCAGCGGATAAAGTGGTAGAACTTCCCGCTGGAAAGGGCGTCGACCGAAATGTTCCCGGCGACCTCAGACAGAACTCCCCTTGCGGAGTCGAACCCGAGCGTGACAGGCACGTAGGGGGGAAGTCTCACAGTGCGGTTCGGGGACTGGAGAACCCCCACGATTGTGACGTGGTGCGGCTGCGTCGTGGGCGGATTTGGATTTGCATTTTGCAGTTGCTGCGCGAGGCCTTGGCTGCTGTTTGGCGTCTGCGCCTGGTTCGGACTGGTTTTCATGGGCATATTGAACGCTGATCAAGTGCAAAAGTGTCTTGGTCTGGAAGATTCTAAGCTTGTGATGCTGTCTCTGGATTCTAAAAAAGTTTGTATTGCATGACCAGCAAGAGGACTTTAGTTTGGGCTACGCCGAGAGGGCATTTCTCATGCGGCAGAGGCATAATCGCAAAGCCCTCTAAATCTGTGATGCTAGGGCATGCGTCAGAGACATCATGGGCCATGGAAAATATGCATGACGAGTCTCGCAATCATCCAGACCCAGACATATTTGCAATCCATAACGCTTGGTCGTTTACGACAACCTGGGCGGAACTTGGGCCTGCCGAACCCGGTGCCGCAGGTCCTCCGGGTGTCGTGGTTTTGCTTTCCCTCCCGCTCGCGAAAGCCGACCCCGCCGTGTTCGGCGTTCGCGGCTGCGAGAACGCGTTGGTTACCGGACTACTGCTGTTCCGCATCGACGAGGAAGAGCTAGTAGTGCCGACAGTAGTAAAAGTTGTAGTGCCCCTCGTACTACTATTATTACCCGCCGCCCCAGATGTTGAGCTTGATGCTGCTGCCTGCGCGATGAGTTCCGGCGGTAAGTTGTTGATTTTGTCGGCGATTTCCTGCATCGCGAGCACCTCTTCCAGCCCGCCGACGATCACTAAGCCCTGCAAGTCCAGCTCCCGGCACCGCTGCGCGATCTTCGCGATGTCGCGGTCGGAAATTCTGCCGCGGAACGGCTTGAAACCCAGCATGCGGGCACCGCCGCATATGAAATGCAAAAATGTCTGGGTCTGGAAGTTTGTCATGCAGATTTTCCATGACCCATGGAGTCTGTGATGCATGCCCGAGCGTCAGAGATTCTGTGAGGGTTTTCTGATGCAGCTCATACCGCATGAGAAATACCCACCTCTCCGCGTAGCACAAATTGCGCCTCTTTTGCTGTTCATGCAATACAGATTTTATGTAGATTCCAAAGGTAGCATGACAAGTTGCATCCTTCCCGGCCCAGACATATTTGCAACGCATACCGCAGTTGAGATATTGACTCGTGGAAGACGACGAGGGAAAATGGCTTGATGAAGATGAAGACGCCCCCCCGCCAGATGAACTACTGCTCGTGCCACCACCTATAATTCCACCAGTACTCTCTAGATTCATATAGTTGCCCTTCATCAGCCCCACCGATCCGTCTAGAAACCCAACCGCCCGGCCGGACATCCCTCTGGTCACCGAGGAGGCAACGCGCTGCTGCACGCCGAGAATCACGTTCTCCGTCCCGGCCCCGGGACACCGGTCGCACGCGAGGAGGACGCCGATCGAGCACTTCTGCTTTTCATACGCGCCAAATGGGGAGCACTTCAGCTGGATGATGGGCGGCGGCTTGTCTGGCTGGGAGAGATGTTGATGTTGAACGTGGTCTACTTCTACTTGCGAGGAATTAGAACCTGCGTTCTTCGCACCTCCGCTTCTTTCACATGCGGTGGATGATACAGTTGCTACTGGAGTTGTTTTCTGCTGTTTAGCCGGTGATGTTGTGGAGCTTGTACTAGAGGAAGAAAACGAACTACCCGTTTCCACCGGAACGACCGCGCCTTTCAAGACTTGTGGCAGCACGGGCCGCTCCATAGAACGAAGACGAATCAGTTCCGACATGCTTCGCGTTTTTTGTTTCAACAAAAATCAAGCAAGAAAAACTTTTTATTTTGTTCCGATATATAAGTGACTAGAAACAAAAACCTCCTCCTTCGCGACGCCAATCAATCTGACGCGGCAGGGCCTGTGGTGTTTGATCTCGGGATTGCTGGTTTTTCTTTTTACTACACAACGCCCTGGAAATGACCGAATGGTAGGATCTTTATTGACATAATAGGAACTAGACCTTTGCCGACGATTGGAACTAAAACGGGTAAAGACAAACAGAAGGAGCTCTCGCTTTTGAATAGCAAGACAAACTAAAATTTGTACGACCGGAAGAAAAGTTTGTTTTTGCGTTTGAACACCAACATACATACATTTGCTTTTCAACACCTCTTGCTGGAAAAAGCTCTTCTCTGTGAATTTTTTTCGGGATGTGCAACACAACTACAAGGAGTTTCTTTCTTTTCAAATTGGATCTCTTGCTTTGGAAATCAATCTAAGTCAAAGGCTCCTCATGTGCTGCGTCTTACTTTGTTCTTTTACATTTTTTTTTATGCAACGTACATCAATGTAATTACACAAAATAGAAAACCAAAACAACTCCCAAAATAAACTTCATCTTTTCTCTTATCAAAACTAGTGCTTGGACTACAGATCATTTATATATTACCTTCCGTAGAGCCTTCCAAAAATACTGATTAATTTGTTGACTTTGGCTCTGCAGTTGTAGGTTGTACTTTTCTTGACTATATCCTTTCAACACACGCGCCCACTAGCGCGACTCGTCCGGCTCAAAGCAAGCCTCTGCCATCTGCTGTAATAGGTCGGCCTTCCATTCTCTGCCGGAAGCAAGATGGTCGTCAATCATCGCGTTGAACATGGCGCGATCAGGCTCCAGCTCCACGCCGTCACACCAGACGGTCGAAAACGACCGCCTGGTCGCGAAATCAGCAATGGCAACGGTGAAAAACGGCAATGGCAATGGATATGGAAGAGGAAAAAAATAATAGTGGCCTACAACTACAAGATAGATAAAAGAGAAGATAGCCAAGGAAAAAAAGCAAAGCAACGAAAACAGCGACAATCAGAAGAGACAAAGCAGAACTATAAAGCCTTTTCCTTTTAAAACTTTGAAGTCGCTGTTTTAGTTTTTTTTCTACAATCTACAGCTCTTGGAGATAAAGAGACAGAAATAGCGCATCAAGCAAGAAAGCTGGACAATAACGTGGTAAGTGCAAGTGTGAAATTGATGAAGATTACGTTTATTTTCATATGAAAAAAGCTGTCAGACGCTTAAGCTTTAGGCAGATCAGACATATGCTTTCGCTAAAAATACTCCTGAAGCGGGATGGTACGGCAAAGGTAGATGCTTTGCTAGAATTAAACATGCCATCTTGACAGTGGTACCATCGCCATCCGCGATGGCAATAGAAGAAGAAAAAAATAAAAGCTGCCTATAGCTACAAGATAGAAAAAAAAGAGCGAAGAGACAAGGAAAAAAAAGTAGAGCAATCCCCCTGAAAGTCGACATAAGGCGTTTGGCGGCACCAAAGCAGCCAAACCAGCTGGAGGCCGCGTTTTGCTCCTTTGCATTCAAACTGTAGGTGTGAAGTTGCTCGTCTGGCCCTCCCATCTGTCATACACCTCCCGTAATAGTTTGGCCTGCTCTTTTCTGCCGGAAGAAACATAATAGTCAATCATCGCAGTGAATATGGCGCGATCAGGCTCCACGCGGGCCACCTCCATCAAATCCAAGACCTGTTCGATATCCTCGCAGGCATCGCTGCCGTCTCGTTTATGTTTAGCTATGTGCGCTCCCATCATGTGCCGATAGGTGACGGCGTTTGGCACGAGGCCCGCGTCCTCCATTTCCCCAAACGCCCGCCGCGCGCCGTCCAGGTCGCCTCTTTTTCTGTACGCGTTGACTAACCTGTTGTACGTGACGACATCCGGAACGACATTCGCGGCCTTCATATCTTTCAATACCCGTCGCGCGCCAGCCGTGTTTTTGCTGTTGCCGTAGGCGGCCAGTAAAGAGTTGTAGCAGGCGACATCCGGCACGATATTCGCAGCCTCCATATCTTGCAACACCTGTCTCGCGCCTTTCGTGTCGCCTTTTCTCCTGCACTCGTCTAGTAGCCCCCTGTAGGCGGCCTTCGCGGACTCTTTCAGTAGGCGACTTCCCTGACCTCCGTCAGCACGAGGAGCGCTCCTTCCCACAGCTCCAGCATTCCCTGGCGTAACGGAGGGCAGATTTTTGCCTATTTCGCCACGCAAGCTGCGGCGCCCCCCACCAACTTCTGACTCGGGAGATCCAGCTGCCTTCCTCCCGAGGGGGGTGCCATCATTGCTGCTTCCCGGCCGAGATGTTAACCGCACCCGGACAGCGACCACGAACGGGTGAACAGAGTGGCTGGCATTCATCCAAGAAGCTTCAAAAGCACCACGTCCGCCCAGCAGGAGCGCGCCGAATAGTAATTCTCCGCGCAAGTGGAGAGACATGGCAGCACCAACAGCGGCAAGTACGCGACGAAAGAGGGGCGCCATGATGTTCTGAAACACTTACTCGCGCGACCTTGAGATCGATCGCGAGAGGAGAAACGGCTCAACACAGGGAGCAGTGTGTTATTCGTGGGCTGGATGTAGGAGTAAAAATGTAAGCACTACTCCGATTTTGCTGTAGGTTTTCCAAGTTTGTTCTCCAATCTTTCCCAGCAGGGGCTTATTTGTGTAAGTAGCAAAATGCTTGAGAAAGAAGTGAGGAAGAAGATCCCCCTATTGTTACAGGCGAGCTTTGTAGTCTTGTTTATTAGCAATCACAGTTTTTCGTTTTACTTACAGCAAGCAAAATGCGAATGCTCCTTCGCTTTTATTTCCAATTCGAATGCAGGTCGCGTTCTGCGAAACTACGCTCCAAAAAAGAATGTCGCTGTGGTTATTTCGAAAGTTTGTAAGTAGGTTGTCCCCTTTCTTTGATGCTTGGCCCTTCGGCGGGTGAGCAGAAAGCTCGGAAATCAGCGCGCAGATTTCAATTTTCTACCCTGCTCGGCAGAGAGCAGTAGGCATCAATCGCACGCCTTCTATAGAAGTCCCCCACGATCGAATTCAACCTGCTCGAGATGAAGACCATCTGGCTCTAGCGATCCAGTTTTGATTTTCATTTTGCGGGATCAAAATTTTTGCGGAGCGGTGGGTAAAGCCAAAGACGAGAGAATTGGGTGAGTGTTTACGTTTGTTTTGTACTTATGAATTTTGCGGACCGACCGAGAGAGCAAGCGACAACAGGGGTTCGGATCAGTGTGGATATTCACTCACTTTCATCGATCATCTATCAATTTTCATGAGAGATTGCAGAGGGAGATCTTTCGAAGCCCCAATATCGTGTGAGTAAGCATCTTCTTTGCAAACGATACATCCGGTTTTTCGTTTTCACTTTGAGGATACTACCAGTCCACCGAGCTCCTTGAATTTTCATTCATTGGCATTACTGCCGGATCCATACTATGAAAAGAAACAAGAACAACTTCTCCGATATTACCAGAAACAAAAACCTCCTGCTGTGCGATGCCAATCTGACGCGGCGGGGCTTGAGCTTGTGGTCTTTGATCGCGGGAACTACTTGAACTTGTCCCTACCGTTTGGTACGCTCGCTGCACTCAGTTGGTGCGGCGGTACAAAAGTTTTGTGGAAGAGTTTTTCTTTTGAAGTACTACATGACGACCTGGACCACGAAATGACCGAACGATAGGACCTTTGTTGACATCAAACCGAATTATAGTAGTTGACATCAAGTCTGGAACTGGCCTTCACGAACACTGCTATGGGGCGGGGATTTCCGTGTGAAGATACCGCGCACATAAAATCGCTTGGACGTGTCGCAGCGGCCAACATCTGGCGTGTAAAGAAATTCGCTGTTGTAAGATAGTACGTCTACTTTTTTCATACTTTTTTTTTTTGAGAATCTATTTGAAATTTTCAGTGTCTGCCATTCACGCAGCAGCTCGAAATCCGCCATCAAGCGGCCACATCATGGCAGGCCGAAACTAGAACTATACAGTGCCACCCGGCCAAGAACACAATTTCAAACAAGAGCCTAACGCGCAAGCATCAAATAAAATGTAAATAAAGCACCGCGCTTTATAATCATCCTTTCAACTGGCCGCTCCTCTGGCCGCTGGCGTCTTCCCCGGCGCTGCCTTCGCTGTCGTCCGAAACGTACTGGAAGCCGTAATCCCATCCTCTGTAAAAACGTCCCCAGCCCATAGTTGTAATGCAAATCTGCATGCTGAAAATATTTCTCATGCGGAGCCCCATGAAAAGCCTTTCCTAGTCGTGTTTCGTAATTTGTGATGCTCGGATCAGCATGATATGCTAGATCTGTGATGCTAATGGAACTAGCTAAACAGGATCACACTATGCGGACAAACTTGTCATGCGAAACAACGAAAGCTTGTTGATTTGTCTAGCACATTTCCCATCTTGACTGTGGGGTGGGGGCGTTTTTACGCAGAATAAATCGCCCTGGAACCCGCCGGAGGAGTTGGGGGAGCTCCGCATGGACATGTTGGAGGAGTCCGAGATCATGTCTTCGGACTGCGACGCGATATACTAGCGTCAGGATTGAAGTCGACAAACTTGCAACAATTCCTCATGCGTAAATTGCAATGCAAGAAGAGCCTCTCTTGCAGGGATGGCAAGCGAGGCCGACGGTCAGCCTGTTTGGGGTCTGCGATAGAGCTGCGAAAGTAGCATGACAAAAGACGCCCTCTGTCCGCAAACAACATGACGAAGTGGATTTAGACGGTGCCGAAATTTGTCATGCATACCGCTTGGAAATTGGGCTTCCAACTGGAGGTATCGGTTTTATGCATCACAAATTTATTTTCAACTTTGTCAATTCCAAATCCTGGCACCCCCATACGCGAGCCGGTTCGGGTAGTGATCGTGGCCCAGAATGGCGGGTATGATCGGCGCGTTCAGATGCTGAAGTCCTCGGTGGTGGTGGTTATACAAAGAGCCGGTTTTATTATGAGAAAAAACGTCCCCACACCATAGTCAAGTAGGCAGATCTGCAATACAAATCTCCAAGTTTTGGGAGTTATGCATGACAAGTTTATCCTCGTAGCCTGATCCTCTTTAGCTAGTTCAGCAGCATCACAGATCTAGCACATCATGCTGATTCTAGCATCACAAATTCCACAACACGACTAGAAAATGCTTCTCATGGGGCTCCGCATGAGAAACATTTTCAGCATGCAGAACTGCATGACAACTATGGGGTGGGGACGTTTTTACTCAGGATACGTTTCCGCGATGTGACTACTACACTCGGCTGCGGCTAGTACACCAGCGAAATTATTCGCACTCGCGCTTGTTCCTGCGCCCCGGCCGGCGGCACGTCCTCTCGTAGCTGCTCTGGCAGAAGTATTCGTCCTCTCCGAGTTGTGGTTCAGATCACTCCCCGCGCCCCCCGACGCGCCGGTGCTCGAGGTCGAGGTCGTGTGCACAAAGCCGTATCTACTCACGCTATGGATTGCAAATATGTCTGGGTCTGGAAGTCTGCGATGCTGAATTAAGCATGATTGAAGCGCTTGCAATGGCAGCCAAGCAACCTGACAAGTTTTAGAGACGCCTGCTGATGCCTACCACGCATCACAAATTGCGTTTTTGCACGACAAAGCAAGCCCCTCTTTTACTTTTGCTGCTCATCATGCAACACAGATTTTCCGGGAATACAAGAAACGCATCACAAGTTCCACTGTTCTAGATCGAGACATTGTTGCATTTGATAGACGCCAGCGGACGAAGACATCAACTGTTCTTGCGCACTACTGCTGTTGTTTCCACCGAATCCGCCTCCCGACGAGCTGTTCGCGTTGTTTCTACTCCCTCTTTTGCTGTAGCTGCTGCGCTATCAAATGCAAATATGTCTGGGTCTGGCAATTTGTGATGCTAAAATGTGCATAAGGAACACACTTCCTTATGTAGCAGAGCATGACAAGTTTGCAGGACGCTTTCTCATCCGCCCTCCGCATGACAAATTGCGTTTTTGTATGACAAGAGAGGCTACGACTTTTGTTAGTCATGCAATACAGATTTTATAGGAATGTAAGGCCAGCATTACAAGTTCCAACTTTCCAGACCCAGACATATTTGCAATGCATATGCGTCTACTTTGTCGATACCTGGACCTGTTCTGGTGGTTTAAACCAGAGGTAGAAGATCCGCCACCTCCGTTCGTACTCAATCCGCTGCTACTTGCGTAGTCATCTGACATCATTCCTTGGGAAGAGGATCCAACACCGTCGGAAATGTCGGACAAATCGTCGTTCCGCAAGACCCCCTGGTACTTGGACCTAGTTGACCCGAACAGAAACAGCAGCTTCTTGTCTTTCTGGTCCAGAAAGAAGTAAAAGAAGGAGAACAGCGGCGTGTGCGGGATCTCGTCGAGGGACTCCGGTTTGTACAGAAACACCTTGCACTTCCCGATGTCGATAACGTCTCTTATCACCTGCCAAAAGCGGTTAATGAATCCCGCTTGTTGTCTCTCTGCTAGTGAGAAACAGTTGCAGTTGATTTGGTTCACGACGTACAAGCCGTCGTCCTGGGGTTCGAAACGGTCGGGGGCGAGGGAGGTGTAGTCGTATTCGGGGAAGACGATGCCGAGAACCTGGTTTGGTTTTGATGTATGAAATTTCATTCCATAAACAGTTTTACTGCGGAATGTTCATGTTGTGCATGCATCATGCGCAGCAAGGATCATTTCCATGCAAAACTACTCCAATTATCGAGAATCAGCAAAATAAAACACAGCCTCGTGGTCCTTTGTAGGTACTCAAACACAGGAGCCTCCTGTGTAGGTATATATCATAGGCTCTAAATACCTGTATGAAATGATTCAGCAGCGCCTTATTCGCGGGGTTGTTCAGCGGTCCGAGGGGTGAGTGGTGCTTGAATCTGTGAAACACCTCCTCACTGACGTCGTTCGTCGATCCGGCGAAGGACTGGAAGGAGGGGATATTCCTACCCAAATGGAACAGCTGCACCCGCCCGCTGAGAATTCTCTCCCCCACGTCGACGTGGGAAATCTGGCGCTGCAGCGCGGAAAGTCCGTCATGGTCGATGCTGGACACCATTGTTCTGGAAAAAATCGTGTATGGAAAAACTCCTTGTTGACGGCGCTTTTTCCGTCCTTGGCTGATACACTTCTGACTGGAGAACAGGCAGCACGCTGGAAATACCACAGGGTAGTAAAGTATTATCTTACACAATTGCGCGTTGGGTTGTACTTAGTCGTCGCTGCTTTCGAGGTTGTCCTCGGTATACTGGTCAAAAGCTGCTCCAAGAATCTGGGCGTCGCCTTGAGGTCGTGTCGTGTGGTGTAATTCCAATATCCGCTATTTTCATCAGCAAATCACAACTTCTGCTCCGGCTGTAAAAATACTGGCTGACGATGTTGGTCTACTGGTCCTTTGGATCCAACAACACCGGTCGTGAGTCATCGCGGTAAAATTATCCAGAGAACCCTTGTTGTGCGTATATTTTTCAGCTTCGACGGCTCCTGCAAGAAAAAAACGATCGGCTTCCTCCGCTGCTGCTGCTGACAAGTCTTGATCTTTTCTCGGACGAGGCGAAGTAGCTTCTTCTTCAGGTTTGTTCTTTAGCGCGGGCATGAGAGGGAGGTTTCGTTTTCTTCTCGTCACGTCCGGAAAATTTTGGTCGCTGAAGAGCACCATGCTTTTGAGAAACAGGAAATAGAGTTGTCACAACCGTCGTCGATCAGGGTTTTTTATAATGGGTGGTTCGAGTATAATCAAGAATGATACATATGAAAACGCAGGGATGTAGTTTAACGCTGAATAATATCACATCAGGGTAGAACAAGCGAAACAAGCGCGGGGTCAATACGAAGTAGACAAGAGTTGCGTATTTTTCACATCAAAAAACGACTCAGTGCGGTTTTTGTGGAGAATGCTTACCAGGTGGGAGAATAACTCCAATCGTTTGCTGCCAGGCGGTTTTCACCAGTGCGACGATTATTTTTTACAACTCAAAGACAAAGGAGCAAACAAAACTCGATCATGATTTTGGTGATCTCTACTAGTACCGTGAATAACGAAATTCGAAAAACCGATCCAAATTTATCTTCCGAAGATCCGAAATAATGCTGCATTTCCATGCTATAATTTTTTGCGAACTCCAGGCTGCATATTTGCAATGAAGTAACACTAACATCTTCGCGAGAAACAAAAGACCGAGTGCAAATTGCTTTTCCATTCAAAATTTTCTTCACATGGTGCCGCTCTGTGGTTCATTTGAAGAAATAGCAATTCCAGTATCTATTAGTACCGGTCGCCGTTCGTGCATTTAAGAACTAGAAAGTTGAAGCCCCAAAGTACATTTGTGATAGATTGTAGGTCCGCCAGGACGCAGGTCACGCTACACGCGCTTTACGTGGTCCCCGAAAGGTTTTGGAAGTATTAAACAGGAGTAAATAAACAGAGAAGCATTATAGCACACGCCTTGTTCTACTTACTTCTCCAACGTGTACATACAACAGCTACTGCTCACACGACCTCCACACCTATCCACGAAAAAAACTGTGTAAGTGTAAATCTCTTGGAGGAATAGCATCACAAGTTTGCTCTGCATGACACAGAAAACCTGTCATGCGTAGCTAGTACGTGAAAACACGCACGAAAATTGCCTCTGCTGCATGTCCAGCATGACAAGTGTAACAGTTTTGCATTTTCTGCAATACAGAGTTACACTCACACAGTTTTTTTCTTGCATAACCCCACCAGCCGCGCCTTCCAAGGAGTCCTCGGGCAGAGACCCGCAGTGGAGCAGCATTATGACGCGCTCAGCTGTTACAATCTCAAACCAACGTCTCAATAGAATATGGAAATCTGTGATGCAAGAGTGCATGATCTAGCAAATTCTCATAGGATTGCGCATGACAAGTTCCGGAGCTCCAAACCCCACTACAATCTGGCGAAATTTGCATTGCAGACAGTGGAACGCGCTGCGAGTCTGTCATGCTCATCATGCACGACAAATCTCAAATTCTATTGTAACGCTTGAGATTGTCACACCTGAGTGGGTTATAAGCGTTTCGGGCCGCTTCTCCCGGCGTGACTTCAAAATCAGCTCCTCGACTCTCATATGAATTGCGAACAAGTCTGGGTCTGGAAAAGCGAAGAGTTTGCGATGCAGGTTTTTTTCCATGCCTCAGAAGGTCAGGACTGTACAGTTGTCTAGGTCCTCTAGCATCACAGGTTATAATGATGTGACCGCGGCTTTGTACAGATAGAAAGAATGCCTAGACAGCATGAGAAATTGAAATCCTCAGTCTCTCGTGCATGACAGATTTTTGTGTAAGAGAAAAAGAGCATCACAAGTTTGCACCTTTCGTCCAGACCGCCCAGAAATATTTGCATTGCATACCGTGTCCAATTGAACGTTTTGGACACAGGATCGAAACTCCCCGGCCCGAAGAATTCTTCCATGGGCGACTTTTTCTTCTCCTCCAGCCTCGTATCGCAAGAAAAAAGTGTTACAGTTATAACATTGTGTTGCAGGCCAAGCAAGACACACAAGCTCTGTCATTCCGGATATGCATAGTAGCCTCGTTTCATAGGTATTTTCCCGTAGTATTTCTGCATTGCAAGTCTTCCCTTTCATGCAGAGAAATTTGTGTTGCTGAATTGACAACAAATGTGTAACTGAAAAACTTTTTTCGTGGGATACCTCGCTTTCGCCACGTACTCCCGTTCCCCGTGGCTCTCGTTGATTTCGCTGTGGTATGCATGGCAAATATGTCTCATTCAAGAAGAGTGCAGAAGTTTGTCATGCAGGTTTTGCATGGCCAAAACGGCCTGGAACATCACGGGGCTCAGCATCACAAATTTTGAGAAGTAGGGGGTTTCTCAATGCCTAATCCGCATGATAGATCGCGTGTTTTGGTGAGAAGAAGTGGGCAACTTTTGCTAGTGTCCATGCATGAGAGATTTTCGCGTGATCTGAAGTGCGCATCACAAGCTTACCTTCTTAACCAGACCCAGACATATTTGTAATGCGTATGTCGCCCTGCAGGAAGTGAAACATGACGACGTTTTTCAACTCCCCGCTCCACCCGGTCGACTCCAGTTCCGCTGCGGTGGCGAACTCCGTAACCGGATCCAAGATGCCCCACTTCGGAACTTATGAGAGTGCACAACTCCCCCTCCCCCTCATTTGTCATGCAAAATTCCCAATCCACCCTTTGCCTCTTGGCACTGTTTGCATGACAAGTTCTGGTAGCCCAAGTAGCACTACACTCCAGTGCAAATTTGTCATGCAAAACCGGCACTTTTGATGATGCTTGTATTGCCGGTCATGCTATGCAAATGAGGGGGAGGGGGAGTTCTGCACTTTCATAGAACTTCTAGCCTAGGTAAAAGGTATTTCACGAGCAGCTTGTCCGCGGACGCTTTTTCGAAGCCCACCAGCTTCTCCACGTCTTCCTATCCGAGAAAAAAACTGTGTTAGTGTAAAGTCTTTTGGGAAAACAGCATCACAAGTTTGTCTGCCATGACAGGAAAAACTTGTTATGCGCAGATAGGAAAGGAAAACACATAGGGAGCGAGCCGATCATGCATGTCGAGCATGACAAGTGTAACTGTTTTGCATTTTCTGCATCACAGATTTACGCTTACACAGTTTTTTTCTTGCATACTTCCCTCGGGGAGAGGAACATGCTGAAGAACTGCTGGTCGTGCAAGTGAACGTGCTCGTAGAGGTCACTATGCATTGCAAATATGTCTGGGAGGTCTGGAAGATTGCAACTTGTCATGCTAATTCTGGATAGTGCAAAAATCTGTGTTGCATGATTGCCAAAAGCTGCTCACTTTCGACCACAGCTGAGAGGGAGTTTCTCATACAGACGGGGCATGATAGGGGTCGGACAAAATCTGTCATGCTGGGCCATGCATGACAGACCTCACGCGTCTTGGAAGACCTGCATGACAAGCCTTCCAACCTTCCCGACCCAAACATATTTGCATTTGATAGTAACCTAATAGAAACCACAGCCAGTTCTTCACGGTCTTTGTGTTGCGGAAGAACACTATCAAATGCAAAAATGTCTGGGTCTGGGAGATTGCGAGATTTGTCATGCTTGTCTGGCATGACTCTGAACTCTGTGTTGCATGGCCGCGAAGAGCTCCTCCTCCCTGTCATGCAAAGACGCAGTTTCTCATGCAGAGTACGCAACTCAGAACCATGGAAAAAACTTGCCATGCTTGGCAGCGCATTAGAGTGAGTTCACTACTCCCTTTCTTGCATCACAACTTTCCAGACCCAGACATTTTTGCATTTGATAAACACGAGGCCCGTGCAGATGCAGTCGTCCCCGAAACTGGCGGACACCAGGAGCTCGACCGGTTTCTTGTCTTGATCATTTGTATCATCTACTTCCAGCTGTTCTACCCGGTTTTCCAAACTTTTCAGCGGGTTCTGCATCACGAACACGTCAAAGTCCAGCCAAAAAACGTCTATCCCTGCAGGTAGCCAATTCAAGAGAATCAGCGGGAGCGTGAATTTGTGCAGAATGGTTTTTTTCCGTCCCTGGAGGCAGAGCAGGTCAAAGTTGTGCTCTTTTTTCACGTCGCTACCGGTTGTGACGCATTTTTTGTGCGCTTCTTCATCCAAGCACAGCAACACGAGGGTTTGCATCTTCGCGTAGGCTGACATGTACACGAAGGCGGAGATCCATTGATTGAAGAAACTTCCGAAGACCATGGTCGCATAGACAACGGCTTTTTTCGATGAACCTGCAGTTGTTGTAGAAGTTCCGGCTTTAGTTGTAGCTCCTCTTACCTCGCTGGTCTGCTTGTTTTTCCAGGCTGCGAGCAGCTGAGAAAGCGGCTCGGACAACGCGAGCTCCTGCGAAGTAGATGCAACATCAGCAGTCGGAAGATCCTCACTGAGTAGTTGCACCCCTCTGGGGTCCAGCTCCTTCCAACTGAAATCCACATCCTTGAAATCGTGGCGAATCAGCGCCGGCCGCAACCGGTCCAAAAAGGTGAAGACCGGGAAGGGATTCCCCCTCAAATGCTGCTCCCACTGAAAATTCTCGAACAGCGCCAGCTCCAAGTGCTTCTGGTAGTGTTCCAGACACTGCGACGCCTGCCGGGCGCACACCTGGTACTTGTAGACATCGAGCAGGAGTAATATCCTGTGAAAAATTATCGTACTCGTAGTAATTGCATTCATGCATTACAAAATTTTTTTCTTATGGTAAATCCGCATGACAGATTTTATTTCTCATGCTGGGGGAATTTGTAATGCATTTATACGAGTACGATACTTTTGCACAGGATAAGTGTCCCGTGGAGGCAGATCAGCTCTGCCATCTCCCAGCCGCGGCCGAAGAAGTCCGTGAACAGAAAACTGATAGTATCAAAAGATAAAATCCCCCCTCCCCATATCGAAAAGGAAATCTGTGATGCTGGATTTGAGTACACAAATTGACTTGTGTTGCTAGAAGGCCAAGGGCCGCAGTTTTGGCCTCGTTTGCAGGCGATTTGTCATGCTGTTTTTCACTTCCAGGTGCCTCCTCTCATGCTGAAGATGCAAAGCTTTCCCACGCAACCCAGTACTACGGTCCGCATCTTTTCCCTTGTAGCATGATAAAGCTGATTTGTGACCACAAATCTGCATCACAAATACAGATTTGCGTTTTGATATGGGGTGGGGGCATTTTTCATTGCAATAGATAGCGCTATCATGGATGACATGAACCTTTTTTGATGGTGATATAACCTGATCATGTCCATCATTATCATTTCCACCCTCGACATAATTTCCCTCAGGATGATTCTCACCATCAGGCGCCGTGAGTTTGGTCGCCAGGATGTGTTTGCGGTACATCTCGAACTGCAAGGCTCGGGAGAATTCCTCCTGCTGCGCTGCGGAAGAAGTGGCCGGGTGCTCTTCCGTTCGTTCATCCCGCGCCGCAGCTAGCGCTTTCGCGCGCTCGATCAACTGGGCTAGGTCTGCTGGGCAAGAAGAAAAGGTAGCGGACGTGGTCGCATTTGGACCACCACCTCCTTCCGGTACTATATCACCGAAAAGGAACAACGCCTCCCTCATCTCGGCAAGCCACTGGATGCCCACCCTGTTGGCGACGGCGTCCGAAGGTTCTGAAGTCGGGGCCACCTGCATGGCGGACAGGATCATTTTGGGAAGCAGCACCGGAACGTCGCAAAGCGCGTCGGTCAGGAAGAAAAACTGCACTTCCGGAGGCAGAAAACGATGATGATCAGGTAGTTCTGAGTCATGTTGTTGACCAGGGTCTTGTTCTTCTGCTTCCCCTCCGAAGGTTCCTCCGAACGAATCCTCGTAAAAGCGCAGCAAGTTCTGCACCAGGTGACGCTTAGAGTTTTCCGGTAAAGTCGGAAAATCTTTCTCTTCCAGCTGCTTCGCGAAAGCCCAGCTGCCGAGCCCGCCCCGCTCGCTCCGCGTCAAGACTTCCGGGTAGAGCAAAGGCGAGAGCTCGGATAAGGACTCTCGGAGTTTTGGCCAATTTAAGACGTAGTCGACTGGGCAAGGGGGAGGAGAGGCTGCTAGTTGTACTTGGAGATCTTTATCACTACTCGAGGACATAACTGCGAAGCCCTCCTGAGCAGGTCCTTTTGCAGTAACTGCCTCCTCACCCTCTCGTTCGCCCATAATTTTCGGAATCCGTTCCAGCGCCCCAAGCAGCTCCAACACCGGCCATCGGGTGCCGAGTAGCAGCTCCACTTTCAGGTACTCGGTGCCGAATAATTCCTTCAAGGAGCGGAGGAAAACGAAAAGGATTTCGTGCACCGACAGGTGCAAATCTGCCCGCAAATGCTCAACCTTCGTGTGGTACGCAACCGTTGGCCAGGTCACCTCCTCGTGTGCTGTGTGCAGTCGCGTGGAGTATACCTCCTCGTCAGTCGTTTCGGCCTGCTGCTCGCCCTTTCCTGATCCACTTGTTCCATCACTACTTCCCTGCTCCAGCAGTCGATTCTGCCGCAGAATTTTCGCGGTCAAACGGTCGAATTCGGCTGCGCTGGCCCGCAGCGCTTGCTGGGAAAGAATTTCGGACTGAAACAGGTAGTAGACCTGGTCCGCCCACCGGCGGGCGGCGGCAAAGTCTGTTCGGGTGAACTGATCACTGGTGTCTTCGCCGTCCTGCATAAAAAACGTGTTGGTCGCCTCTACGATGGCCTCGAGAATGCGGCGGCACTTGTCCCGAAAGACGGCGGAGTTGGAGGAGAGAGGGGTCCTGTCTGTTTCTACTTTCTGGCTTTCTTGCAGCGTAGTAGACGCAGGGGCGCTTTTGCTGGAAGGAGGACTAGGGTCGAAGTCAGGATTTATTTCAGCTTCGCCATCGGCAGAAAAGGCGATGCTTTCCTGGTCTTGGTCTGGTTCCATTTTCATCGTCGTCGAAGGAGTAGAAGTTTTCTTACCCGATATTAAATTCACTTTCTTCCCCTTCTCCGTGATCACTAGGTGCAGTATGCGGAAAAGCTGGTAGGACAGCACACCCAGCGGACAGGATTCGAGTCGGAAGAGGGACTGATCCACAGCGCCGCCTCCTGTTTGTTCGTCCGCCACAGAATTTTCATCGAGGGGGGCTGTACTATCCGTACTACTGCTCGTCGCCTTGACGAACAGCGGCCAGAACATGTCCAGGACCTCTTTCAGGTGTTGCATGGAAGTGTCCATGATTCCCGGGTCAAACTCGAGTTTTGGGTTCTGGTACAGTTCGTCCGCGTTCCGGATCAGCAGCCCATTGTTGTTCAGCTCCCCGTAGAACCCGTTCCAGTACTCATTTTCGTTGCAATCCCAGTCCGGAAAAGTCGGGCGCCACTCCGGGTCGGAGCCCGCGAAACTCCACTCGGCGAGGGCGGGGAGAAGACTGTCGGCAGCAAGAGTGGCGGCAAGTAAGGAAGCTTTGGCGAGGTGAGGAATGCGGTTGCAGCAGTAGAGAGAGTGGCGAACCACGGTAGCGGTGCGGCGTTCCAGGGTCGACTTCGTGGCGCAGGGACGTGCCACTGGACGCCGCTTGTGACGCTGCTTTGTACGTCGATGGCGAGGGGACATGCTCTTGAGGCTGCTGTGCAATTTGAATGGCAAGAGAAATGTAAGCACCAGGCGCCGCTTGCTACAGTCGGCGTCTGTAGTATCGTGAAGAGAAGCGCGAAAAAAAAATTACGGAGGACAAGAGCCAATAGCCAACAGACGACAGCGCCTGCATGGACGAGTTCCAATACACAAAAGAACAAAGCCGACCGAACACGCTGGCTCCGGATTCGCTGCAGCACAGGCCGCTGGTGTGCTTTACGCAGAGCCAAACTCCGCGAACAAAGTCCAAGAGCGAGCCAACCTCGAATAATGTGCGCGCGCGCACCTTGCGACGGAGGAGGACCGGCCGGGGCGGCCACGCACGATAAGAGAAGCTGGCGCCGCGCTGTCGCGGCGGCCGCCCCGCTCGCACGAGCGCCGGCGGCGGCAAGGGGCTTCCACACGCCGCGACGCCCGGACCCGGCTCGCGGCGCCACATCCCGCGAGCCGCGCGCGCGTTGGCCCGACGCCATGGCGCCGCCCGGCCCCGGGCGCGCAGCCGGGCTAGCCCTGGCGCCCCCGTCCGTGCCGTTGCCATTGGTGAGGCACTTCTGAACACCTGCACGCGTCCCGCGTTTGAAGCAGCTGGGGCGCGTGCGACTACGGCCTCGCGGCGTCGCCCCCCTGCAGGTGGATGCTCGTGATCGCCTTCAGGAAGTACGCCTCCGCTTTTTCTCTCTGCCGTGCTTGGCGGCTGCGCGCCTTTCCGCCGCGACTCCTCTACCACCACGCACACGGCGAAAATTTTTTCCCGCATGCGTTCCGCTAGCTTCCTGCAAGGCCCGGCGCGAGTGCCCTGCGCCCATAAGGCGCCGGGCCGTGCGGCGGCGACAAAAGCCAAGGCGCAGCGCGCCGCAATGTTCCTGTCGGCGCCCCGCGCGCCCGCCGCCTGGCCAGGGCTTGCGCGGGCCTTGGGTGCCGCCGTGCCGCGGCAGCCCACCCCGGGCAGGCGCCCGGCACAGGGTGGCCCAGCTTCGCGCGCCGCGCGAACCTGGACCGCGACGGCGGACCGCCTTCGCCAGACCCCCTCGAGAGACATCCCCGGACATCTGGGGGAGCGAAATGCGGGCCGGGCACGTCTTGCGAAAGTTGTCGCCCCGGATGACTTCGCTCGCGGCCCTCGCAGTCGGCACTAGTGCAGTCGTAGCGCTGTCCTTTTTGGCGACTGTCGAAGAGGGCGTCGTAGGCAGAAAGGCGACCGAGATAAATCACGCCCCGTTCACGGATGGGCCCCGTGATTGGTCCCGAAGTGCCCGAGCCAGACCATGAAGGGGATCAGGCTCGTCATTTCATCAATTTCACCACTGTCGCATTGAAGACCCGCAGGGGCCCCCGCGCCTTCCCTCGTTCGGGGGCCCGTTCGCCTCGCCTATCGCTGGCGCCTTTTTTTCGAAGCAAAGGCACCCCAACGCGCAATAGGCGCCGCAACTCTTGCCGGGCTGCATCGATGTGCCAAAAACTCCAGAGGCTGCGCCTGGCGCTCTCGCGGACTTCGCTTTTGGTAACTCCGCAAAACAGCCCCGCTGGAGCCACCAACACCCGCATGAAAGAAGTTGAGAGCCGTCCACGGCGCCACCGCCCGAAGTTCGGTCTCTTACGGTGTCCGCGTAAAGGGTCGCGCCTACTGCACGCGGCGGCATGTAGGGGAAGCCGAGCGGCGCAGTTGGCCCTCGGTGGCCTGGGCACGAAGTTCACGGCGCGGCGCGCGGGCCCTGTCCCGCGAAGACCGACGCATCCCCGTCCCCGCCGGCCACCATTGATACACAGCCCGGAGGCGTTCCCGACGGTCAAGCCGCCCGCGCGGGTTACTCTGGCAACCAAAGCCGCCGCAAGAGACAGCACGCCGGCCCCGAGGGCGGACGCCTGGGCTTGGTCAGCGTGGCGCCGGCCGAAGAGGCGCGCCGGCCGCGCTGCCTATGCGGCGCGGGCAGCGCGCGACGTGCTTCAACCTGGTCCGGACTGCGATTCGCGGCGCCGCGTCGTAGCAGTTGCCAAAGCTGGCCGCCCCGCTCGAGCTCGGAGACGTTGCTGGCCTCTTGATCCAACGGAGTGCGCATGCGCGTAGGCCAGGCCGGCCGGATCCAACCGCGAAGGGCAGGCAGGCGCCGCCCCTGTGCTCCACTGGGATCCAGAGCACCGCGCCGGCAGTCGGTGGCGTTTGTTAGGCGCCGCACGCTCAGAAGCTGCATTCCTTTCTCGAGTGCAGTGTAGCGCCCTCCTGGTCAACAAGCAAGATTAAATATTGCGAACACCCTGGTCAACATAGTGACGCGCACCTGCCCGAATAGAACGGACAGCTTAAGTCTGAATACTCTTTCGCAAACGTGTAGTGAAAAATCCGACTGAGAGGCCCCTCACGCTAGACTGCCGTATACGCAGTGGCCGCGCACTTGCTAGTCTTCGCAATGTTCAATGCAGTAGCATGTCGAAACGGCAATCACGGCCGCACCTCGTGTCAAGGCAGTAAGTAGTAGGTCTAATCGCTTCAGTGTCCCCTTCTCCTCCTCCTTTCAACACATCCTTCCACGTAATGCCGCTCGCGGTACGACTGCAAAAAGGCAGGCACCGGTCGTTCCGGGTACGCACAACAAAATTCCGCCCGTGCTTGATCAAGATGCCAACAAGCCTCGCACCACTTGTGCACGCGCTTCTCGGTGTTGTACTCCGCGATGCATTCCGAACAGGCCTGCACGCCGTGCAACTTGCAAACACCCGCGGTTTTGTTGAACGGCTTTTTCCGGTACGCCGGCGCGACGCCGAACAGGCCGTCCGCGTTCTTCGGCAGCCGTATGCCCCGGTCGCGCTCGCGCTGCGCCTCCAATTCCCGCTGTATGTGCAACGCCTTCCGTTTCAGCTTCTCCACTGTGAAAGCGTGTGTGTCGCAGCTGTAGCCGCCCGCAGCTGCGGTCGTTCGTCCGCTGCTGCGTCTAGCTCCCGGTTTTCTGATGTCAAGGGAAGCTGGTGCTATGCCGAATTTCCCGGCAAGATCCTCCTGTAACGCATCTTGCTCTTCAATGATGTCTTCCACCACTTCTGTGAGCGTAGGCAAAAGTTCCTGCGCGCCGTCGCCCGCAAAATCGCCGCGCTCCCCGCTTTTGCTCCCCGCCGCCTCGTCTGCGGAATCCAAATCGACACCAAAATTCGCAAGTCCTCGCTCTTTGCACTCCAGCCGGAAACGCTCGAAGAACTGTCGCAGCGATTCCACGTGCGCAAAATCTTCCGCTGGTTGCCCGGACGGAGATGAAAAGTCGTCAATTCCTTCAACCTCCGTCAGAAGTCTCGTCCCAGCAGCCGCGCTCTCCGCGGCCAGTCGTCGGTGCTCCCCCGAAAGCAGAAAACTGGAAGGAGTTCTATTTTGTGAAAAGCCTCCTCGCACCGGTGATTGTTCGTCACACTGCGTCAGCACGTCGGATTGCGACGGAGCGCGCGTGGTGGGGGAGAGCGTAAGTAAATCGATATCTTGCTCTTCGTCGTCCTCAGACAGATCTTGGTCAGAACTTCTGGAGCTAATAAACTGCGCGTCGCTCCTCTGAGCACAACCAGGAAGTAAAATCGGTTTATTCTCTTCGTTCAGCACGAGTCGGCGCAGCTCCCGCCGCGCACCTTCTGTGAAATCGTTATATTGTCGTAGCCGGTCAAAGAACTGCGGAGGCTCGGCACAGTACACTTTGCGCAGCGCCGGCGACAGGTGCGGGATGTAACGCTCTTCTATCACTTCCGTGGTCTCTTCTCCTCCTCCAATTGGTGCTGCGTCGTCGCTGGTGCTGTCTTGATAAACTTCAGCAAACGTACTACGGCTGAACCGCTCCGCGCTGCGTTTCTTAGAAAACGAATGACGCCCTTGCGGTGACCGGCGGTTGAGATTGCGCTCTACACGGTCGTGAGGACGATGCCCTCCTTCTTCATCATATGGTAGCTCCTGCCACGAGGAGGAGCTGCTATCATCCAGTCGTGGTCCGCGTAGTTGATGTTGTTCCCACTCCTCTCTACTGCCCCCTCCTTCATCTTCCCAGTGCGAGTAACTTCTACTGCGACGTGGCGCGGAATTATTGTGATCTTCGGCACATAATTCAGAAAGCATTACGTTGCGGCCCGTCGCGTTGTAATCAGGACCTGCAAATGGTTCATCGGAAGCGCCGGAACTACAGCCGCTCGCCTCCTTTGGGTCTGGAGCACGACTCTGTGACCTGGCATGATCATGATCGGCCCTGTTTCCTCTCGACGAGCAAGCTGGGAAGACGTTGACTGAGGTCGTGCATCTGCGGTCGCGGTTTCCCGCGCAAGTACTGCAGTCGCGACCTGTGTGCTTTTTGAGAAAATGCCTGTCCTCGCTTGGTGTTCTTGGACCACAGTTGTACAAATCCTCTCTCTATCAAATGTAAAAATGTCTGGGTGTGGAAGGATGCAACTTGTGATGCTACCTTTGGACTCTACATAAAATCTGTATTGCATGAACAGCAAAAGAGGTGTAATTTGTGCTACGCGGAGAGGGCATTTCTCATGCAGTATGAGCATCAGAAAGCCCTCGCATGATCTCTGATGCTAAGGTATGCATCACAGACCTCATGGGTCATGCAAAATCTGCATGACAAACTCCTGCATTCTTCCAGACCCAGACATTTTTGCAATCCATACTCTCTCCATCGCCGAGACTTGACTCGACGTGGTGGAAAAAATGGAAGTATGACTCACCAGCTATCAAAAGGAAAAATCCCCCCTCCCCATATCGACACCCGAAATTTGTGATGCAGCTGTATTTCAGTACATCGAAGTCGACTTGTATTGCTAGAAGGCCGAAAGACGCAGCTGCGGCATTAATTGCAGGCGATTTGTCATGCTGTTTCCCGTTTCCAGTTGCTTCCTGTCATGCTGCAGACGCACGGCTTTCCCACGCCAGCCAGCACTACAATCCGCATCTCTTCCCTTCTAGCATGACAACATGATTTGTGGTCACAAATCATGCTACACAAATCTCGATTCCAGTATGGGGAGGGCAGATATTTCCTCTTAATACCAGCAGCCGCGAAACTTCGTGCGTGGGTGCCAGGTTCCTCGCCCGACTCAGTGGCCGCAAAGAGGTCTTCCAGTCCTGCAAGCTCTGGGCCTCCGCTGCGCCGCTCACGGAGGGGATCGACCGAGAGAGAAGCGGGTTGGGCGGCTGTCTCGCGGGCGGCCGGTACTGAAACAACGCGTTCGCACTCTGTTGCCGCTTGTCCTGGGAGCTGTAGGCGACAGGATCATGATCTTCGAGGTAGTAGTTTATTGCCGGTGTGGCCCTCGTGGCAGTACAAGTAGAACAACTGCTGCCGGCGACGCTTTGGCCACTGACGGACGAAGGCCGCGTTTGATGTTGTACAAAGCGCGTCGAGCTGGGCAGCGGAAGCTGCGCACCGCCGACGAAAGGGGAAGCCATGGTGATGGTAGGAACCGAAAACATCGAAAAGATAATTTGTTGTACCTCTAGAAGTAGCAAAATAAACCAAAAACCCAAACAGTTGGCTGGCCGCCCGCTCATTACGCCTCTCCGGAAAGAAACGTCCATACTTATCATCGTTCTCTTGCGTTCCTTCTACTGGAAACAGTACAACCGGGGAAGAGAAAGATCTTGGTAAACGACATTAAAAACTGGATCTCAAAAAAACCGGTCGTAGCGACCAAATTCCTCAAATTGTCAAAGTTTTTCTTGCGTTCAAAAATGTCGCGCAGGTGGACATCCGTTCTCAAAAACCAAAAGAACGCTGCCGACGCCGCTGCATAGAATAAACGAGTTCGCGTTTATTGCCCTTCGAACTTTAACTAGTCTTTGTCTTTCAACTGCAACGAAGGTTGATCTAGGTCCAATTCGCTTTTTCCTGTTTTCTTTCATACATCATAAGTACTGAATAGTAATTTTCCACTCGCTAGGGGAGCGCTTCGTGTTCGTACATATGAAACGTGTCAGGAAGCAATTACGAAGTTCACGTATCCTCACTCTCCATGGAAGCATGATTCGGCGGTTTTTCACCTGTGTTTTTATTCACTTTAAACAGATACACTCATGTAGATATTAAGCACTGATAAATATGGACATCAAAATCATACATAGATAACACCCCCAGTGCGTTTTCTTCGCTACTGCACGTCCGCTCCCCCGTTCTCCGCACCACTCGAGCCCCCGCTTCTCTTCCTCTCCTCATACTGCCATTCGCACTCTTCCGGAACGATGCGCTGGATGTAGATTTTCGGATAGTTATTATTATCCGTCGCACCCGTCTGCAGCTGTTCCACTTCCCCATCGTAATCCAGGAGTCTCACAAACCTTTCATCCGTCTCCCCCCGGTCGTTTTGCACCATTTGCACGTACTATGAGACTGCACAACCCCCCCTCCCCCTCATTTGCATAGCATCAACGGAAATACAAGCGTCAGCAAGAGTGCCGGTTTTGCATGACAAATTTGCAGAGGAGTGTAGGGCTATTTGGGCTACCAAAACTTGTCATGTTGGGAAACTGACGGCAGGGCGTCCCTGTATAAACTTTGTCATGCAAACAGTGCCACGAGGCGCAGCCTGGATTTGGTATTTTGCATGACAAATGAGGGGGAGGGGGAGGTGTGCACTCTCATACGTAGAAAAACCTCGCCTGATTCCGCGCAAAATCCCGCAGCCACGTGGCTTGTGCGGAGTTACTATTCGTGTTTGGGGGTAACGGCAAACAAACGACGATCTTAAATTTCCACCACAACTTGTCCAAAAATGTCTTTCGAAAAAACTGACAGAGCTCCTTCAGCACGTGCGCGCGCTTCGGCACGGCGGCCGGGCTATCGTTCGCCTGGAAATCCCTTTGCTCGAAGAAACGGAGTATGCATTGCAAATATGTCTGGGTCCTCTGGGAGAGTCCAAGATTTGTCATGCGTGTCTGCCATGACTTTGAAGTCTGTCATGCACGTTATCCAAGCGCGGCCCCAGTGTGCTGTCATGTAGAAACGCAGTTTGCCATGCAGAATATTAGGAAATGCCTAGCGATTGAAAAACTTGTCATGGTTGGCCGTCAATTGAAGCGTCGTCCGCATGAATGTCCAATCCGCATCACAAGTTATTTCCAGAGGACCCAGACATATTTGCATTCGATACGGAACGCGGTTTGCTTCAGCAGGAAGCGAGATTCAGACAGTTCCTCGAGGGAAATCAGCTCCTGGTAAAACAGTGGGGCGTTGCTGGTGGTTTTTGAAACAGCAGCGTTGGTCGTGGTATTTTTACTGTTTTGGTTTTCTTTGTTTATTTCCGTGGTCTTGTTGTTCCCCCCGTTGCTGTTGTTGGAGTTCCCACCCGCTGCAGCAACCTGCGCCACCTGCGATCCCGTCGAAGACTTCGTTGATTGTCGGTTCCCGCTCATCACGGCCTTGCTCGTCAACTGTGCCTTCCAGTAGTCAATGCGGTGCTCCAAATGCGCGAGATACCGCTCGCACTTTTTCAACACGAATATGCAATACAAATTTCGTCCCGCACATGTGCAAAATGCATCACAAATTTCACCAACTTAGAAGAAGAAGCCAGGTGTCATGCTGAGGAAGCTTGAAAGACAAGTTTGTGATGCAGAAGCCCCATTTGTACGTGTACGGGAACAAATTCACTGTGGATAACGAACTCCGATAAACAACATCCTTCTCTCTTGTCACAAGAAAAAGTGTTAACGTCAACGGAATTTGTGATGCAGAAATGCATCACAAGACGTGTCAGAATTTGTCATGCATAGCATGCATATTGGGCTACATTTGTGATGCATGACTGCAATCTGTGAAAACCGTTAACGTTAACACTTTTTTCTGTGATATCTCTTGTCCGCCTTCAAGACAAACCTCGGGTTTTTCGGACCGCAGGCACGGGTCTATGACAGTGCACAAGCCCCCCTCCCCCTCATTTGTATTGCATGAACAGCAATAGAAACACCAGCACACATAGAGCCTGTGCATGACAAATTCATGCGCCTGGGGTAGTACTGTTTGGGCTTCGTGAAAAATTTGTCATGCAAACAGTGCCACAGGGAAGCACTTGGATTTGGGTTTTGCATGACAAATGAGGGGGAGGAGGAGGTGTGCATTCTCATAGGGTGAGAGCTTGCTTGATCCGGTCCGGGTCCATCGACTGCCACAGGGCTTCCTGTACTGCTTTGCACGTCTCAACAAACAGATGCTTCTCGTCACACCTAACCCCTTTGAACACCGGGATGAAGTTCGGTTTGTAGCCGGGTTTGTTGTTGTGCCCGAACTGGGGAACCGGGAGACAACCGAGATTCATTTTCGGGCTGATAGGCTGGCCTTCTTGTTGCGCCTTTGCTTGCAGCTCCTGGGACGAGATGAACAGGGTTGATGTTCTTGTTTTCGTGCGGCTCATTTGTCCCCCCGGTGGAGAGGATGCTGATAGCTCCTCATGATCACCAACTGCTGCATCCGCTCGTCCGGCGAACTCGGTATCAAATGCAAACATGTCTGGGTCTGGAAACTTGTGATGCAAGAGAGGAAATAGAGAGCAGACTCTAATGCGCTGCCGCGCAAGGCAAGTTTTTCCGTGGTTCGGAGTTGCGTACTCCGCATGAACAACTGCGTTTTTGCATGACAGGCACGAGGAGCTCTTTGCGGCCACGCAATACAAAGCTCAGAGGCATGCTGGACTAGCATGACAAATCTCGCAAGCTGACAGACACAGACATATTTGCAACTCATACTCGGACACTTTCGGCAATCCGAGGATTTCCTTCGCCAGCAGCAACCTCCGGCGAGTACTTTCCTTCTATGCATTGCAAATATGTCTGGGTCTGGAAGAGTACAACTTGTCATGCTAGATCTGAATCATACAAAAATCTGTGTTGCATGATTCCCAATGAAGCTGTTCACTTTTGAGAAGGCCGAAGGGCAGTTTCTCATGCGGAAAAGGCATGGTAAAGCTCTCACATGATCTGTGATGCTAGGGCATGCATCACAGACCTCACGCGTCATGCAAAACGTGCATGACAAACGTTGCACTGTTCCAGACCCAGACATATTTGCATTTGATACCTTCAAGTGCTTCGCAACGTCCCGTGCCCGCAACCGCAGACTCGACCCGAGTGGATCGAGGATTTCGGTGTCCGGGGCCCAGTCGCGGAGGTACTTGAGACCGGCCAGGACAAGCGGGATCTCGCGGACTTTAACCTTTGGGGAAAATCAAAATTTTGAATTTCGTCACGCACGACTTCGCATAAAAAAAGCGATCGCAACCACCCATGCGGAAAATCAATCTCCGACTTTTCCCGTCCACAACTGCAAGGGAACCAGATCACTTCAATAGTGAGTACCTTTTCCAGCAACGCATACGCATCCTGCAGCTCTTCCACCACGTCCTTGCTGTGGCGGGCGATCGCGTGGACGTCGTTCCTGTTTCCCCCGTAGTTGCTGTCCTCTTCTAACTATCCTCGGCAAAAGTATCGTACTCGTAGCAATTGCAATCATGCAAATTTTTTTTCCCAAGGTAAATCCGCATGACAAATTTTATTTTTCATGCGGAGGGAATTATTTGTCACGCATACCCGACTGCACCACATCAAAAACCTTTGCACCGTCGCCGCAAGCAGCTTCGGACGCAGGAGATCTAGGGTCAGAACCGCGAAAATTTGTCATGCATTTATACGAGGGAATTATTTGTCATGCATTTATACGAGTACGATACTTTTGCAATTCATACTAGAATAGCCAACTGGGCCGCCTTCTGACACGCCTTCCAAAATTTCGCCCGCGCCGCCTGCGGGGTCGTGAGCTCCGAAGTTTGATAGGTAGTTCCGGTGTTGACACCCGCTGGGGGAGTCGGTGTCCGGAGTTGTTGTACGGAGGCTGTTGTGCTGCCCCTCGTCCCACCAGTGAAGGCCGCTGCTGTTGATGTCCCTGAAGATGATCCTGGCCAAACAAACAATGGCGCAGCCCTCGACCGCGCGAACACCGACCCGCGCCGCCCCGACATGTAGGAGCTGTCGTGTAGCGGACTCGCCGACCGCGAGCTGCTCGCCCCGCGGGAACTGGCGACGGAGGACACGGGGGAAGAATTTCCGCCGACAAGGTAATTCTGTGTGAAAGAACTGGTCGCTCCGGCTCCCAAAGGAGACGCGGTCGCGAATCCACTGTGCACTGCAGCAGCAGCCATAATCCCGAATGGGGACATGGGCTGGTGGTGCTCGCGTAGATTGATTCCCAGCGGATTGTTACTTTGCAACAGTAAACTTTGGTCGCTGCACACAGAAGCTGTGTCCGCCGCAATGCTGGCGTGGTGGCCGCCGGGGAAGGCGCCGAGGCGGAGGTCTTCGAAATTCACAAACTCGAATGTAGACCCGAGCTTGTCAGCGGCGACAATCAATTCTTCGCCCCGTTGGTACCGCTTAGAAAACGTCCCCGGGACGAAAGTCACGCGGAGCAGGTAGCTGGGAAAACATTTTGTAAAGTTTAGGTCTGTATGTCATATTACTCAACTCGGTGCATCCATGCATTCCATTTGCACAGCACATTTTCGACCGTGCCTATAAGTTGTTGCAACATACAACAGATAAACAGATATTACACAAATTATCGCAAGATGTTGAAAATAACGTCAGTCCATACTTACTGCCACGAATTCCGCCCTATGAACTGCAAAAGTATCGCACTTGTATAAATGCATTACAAATTTTCTCAGCATCAGAAATAAAAATTTGTAATGCAGATTTGCCTTGGAAACAAGATTTGTAATGCATGATTGCAATACGGGTACGATACTTTTGCACAGGATACGCCCTTGCAGATCGGATTCCTGCCAAGCGTCCAAAAGCCGACACAAACTGCCTATCAAATGCAAAAGTGTCTGGGTCTGGAAGAATGCAGACTTGTCATGCATATTTTCCATGCCCCATGACATCTGGAACGCAGGACCTAGCATGACAGATTGATTCTGCGAAGTAGTCTCTATCATGCCTATCCTGCAGGAGAAACTCCCGCTCATGTTGGTCAAAAAAGGACAACTTTTGGTGATCACGCAACACAGATTTTTGTAAGACCCACGGGACGCATCACTAGTTCCTTCCTTCCCAACGACCCAGACATTTTTGCATTTGATACTGCCCTTCCGCGCCCGACTCGGCACTTCCTCCAGCAATACCACATCCAAGCTGCCCAACACATCCACCGCGTGATCGTCCTCCTCGCTTCCCCCCGCGCTGGACGACGTCTTCTTCCCCGCCACACTTCCCCCGGCGCCTTTATTCAGCACATTGCTGGTACCGGCTGACGTCGCGTGGCTCATGCTGCTTTCCTTGGACCCTTCCTTCAGTGCGTGCTGTCCTCCTGCTCCTCTTCCCCCTCGCGCGGACCCCGCCCGACCGCCGGCCCCGAAATTGTAAAACGCGGCGCCGATATCCGCGTAGACCTTCGCGATCTCGGTTTCTTGCAGGGCGAAACAGCAGTAGCAGTCCACGAACTTCAATCCAGCCGGAAACAAGTTTTCCCCCAAGGTCCGCAGCTTTTGGCAGTGCGCCAAGTGCAGAACTTCCAAACACGGTGCTTGCTGCACGTTCACGGCCGTGAGATTATCGCAGTGCGCCGCGTTGACGATTTTCAGTAACGGCGCGGCCTCGAAAACGGTCGTGTAATTCAGTTCCTTCAGAGCGCCACAGAAACTCAAATCCAGTTGCCGGAGGCATTTGAAGTTCGCGGTGAGCTGCCGGACTTTCGGTAAATACGAAAGGTCGAGAGTTTCGACGACCGTGTTCATCCGCACGATTTCGAGTTCCGGACAGTCTTCCACATTCAGAATCTTCACGGTTTTGCTGTCCAGTAAAAGTTTCTCGTGCTGCTCGTTTATTTCCTGGTGCGGTGCTGTCGCTGATGTGCTGCCTGTCATGTTATTATTCGCCATAAAATTGAAATTATTCGTCGTCCCTGCCGCATTCGCTCCGAGTTTGCTTTCCGACCTGGAAAGTGGTGGCGTTCTCAAACGTTACATTCTCAACTGTTACATGGTTTGTCATGCAAAATTACCATGAGCCACCAGACGATCAAGCTACCTCGCATGACAAATCCCCGAAGGGCTAAACGGCGCCTAAATCTGTGCCGAATTTGTGATGCGAGAGTTGCAAGCTTACCCCTTTCACTGTTGCGGCTCTTGCATCACAAACCCATGTAACAGTTGAGAATGTAACAGTTGAGAACGCCATAAGAGTGGTGGTTGGATTTTGACCGCCTTCACCACCTGCTGCTTCATGCTCACTGCCGACGCCGTGCTGTGCTGCTGCTGGACCAAATTGGAAGATGAGTCCGGGATGTGAAGGTCCGATGCGGTTGAGAAAAGTCCCTTGCTCAAGGTTTTAGTTGTTCCGCTCGGCTGATGGAGGTCTACTGCATCACCAAACTGACCAGCGCTCGAAGTACTGTCAGCAAGCTCTAACAGCGTTTCTCCGCGAACATATTTTTCGACCAGCGCGTATCCCACAGAAAAAAGCAAGCAGGGCAGATTTGTACTGCAAAAATGAATAAACAGATAAATCTGTCATGGGCGGCCCCATAGCATGCTGTTTACGATATGCAATGCAGGTTTTTTTGTGTATTTACTTTTGCATCACAAATGTGACCTGCCGGCTTTTTTCTGTGTGATAGCGCGCGGTCCTGTGCCTCCTTGCTCAGCTCCTGATCCCACCACCGCCTGGGGTTGTTCTTTTTCGGGTATCAAAAGGAAAAACCCCCCCTCCCCATATCGAAACGAAGTTTCTGATGCTGGATTTGCTTACACAAATCGGATCACTCTTGCAGTAGGGGACTGCAAGCCCATATCAAGCTCGAGGAGAGACGTGCTTGCCTAGGTGCTTAGCATGAAAAACGTCCATGCTGTAGGCCCAGTAGCATCACAAACCGCCTACCTAATGCTGCGGGGCCTGTGGGGTTGCCTGCTTGCAACACAGAGACGATTTGTGGTCACCAATCAGCATGGCAAATTTTCTGCGGTGTGCCTTTTCGATATGGGGAGGGGGGATTTTTTCCTTACGATATCGGGCTCTCCGCCAGGCGGACAGATGGTGTTGGTCCGCTTGTAGTTTTTGTCGCAGGATGACCGACCACATGGGCTTCGCTTGCATCATGCTGCTTGCTGCTGATCGCGTTTAATATTTTACCCCCTTTATTTCCATTAAAAGAAGTAGTTATCTTCCCCGTCTTCAAACTAGACGATAACTGGTCCGCAAACCGTACATCATTCTCCTTCTCCGGGTCTGTGTCGATAGACAATTTTCCTCCGGTATTACGATGAAAAATGCCCCCACCCCCGAACTTGGGAGCATTTGTATTGCAAAGAAACCTTTCCAAATGAAACGCTCGCCCTCTTGCATCTATCAGCATCACAGCTTTCCGCTCGTGAATAGCAAACATTTGTATTGCAAAAGATCCCAGCAAGAGCGGCGCTTGTCATGCAAGCGATGCGACAACACACACCTAGACTCTGCATCAGAAAGGTTCATACTTCTTTCATGCATGAAAAAAAGTTTTCATTTGGAAACTTTGCATCACAAATTTTTGCAACTTTGGGGGTGGGGGCATTTTTCCTCGCGATATCCGGCGTAGGATACGTTCTGGTTAAACGTGACCACGTCAATCATGCCTTCCTCCGACGACGCGGCCGATTCCGGACGGTGCGAGACGGATGTTGAATCGCCCGGGTGGTGACCACCACGGCCTGTTGAGAATTTCATCGAAAATAAACATGTGACTTTCATTCTGTTTCTCGTAGCCAACCTTATGCTTAATATGCACAACAGCACAACAATATTTTCAAGATGAGAAAACGAACACTACCTCCAAAGCCGTCCCCAAACGTTTTTGCCATAGCGCCACTTCTCGCACCAACACCCCCTCGTCCCAACTGCGAAGAACCGTACGCACCACCCCCGAAACTTCCACCAGCTCTCCTCTCCCAACCCAGTCGGTCGCAGCACCGCGCCACGACCTCCCGCAGCATGGGGCACTTACTCAAGGTGTTCAAAGTTGTCAGATTGTGGCAGTAGGAGACCTCGAGCTTTTCCAATTGTTCAATCTCCGCCAGACAGGGGAGGTCTTCCGCAACCAGGAGTGGATTCTATGCAAGAAAAAAAGCGTGTAAGTGTCAGTCTGTGATGCAGGAAATGCAAAAGGGCATACGCTTGTCATGGTGGGTGTGCATCACAGGCAACTTTCATGCGTGTTTCCACGTGCTAGCTGCGCATGACAGATTTTCCCTGTAATGCAAAACGAACTTGTGATGCTGTTTTTCCTACAAAGTTACACTTACACAGTTTTTTTCCTGGATAGATTCTTGTCCAAAATCAGTGTGTGTAGGTGTCTCAAGACAGAAATCAAACACAGCGAGTCCTTATCCAGTGCAAGTACATCTGAGTCTGAAAGAGTGCAAATTTGTCGTGCTTGTCTCACATGCCCCTTAAATCTGTAATGCAGATGAAGCAAGAAAGAACTACCCTTCTATTGCCTGTCACGAAAAAATGCAGTTTGCCATGCGGAAAGCGAGACACATATTAGTAGCTCAAAAACTTGTCATGCGTAGCTGCGTATTGCAATGTGCCCGCAATTCAAAAACTAGCATCACAAGTTTGCAGACCCAGACACATTTGCATGCGATAGTCCTTCTTCAGAGCCACGCCCGTACAGTCGAGGATTTCGATCTATGCATTGCAAATATGTCTGGGTCTTGAATAAACTTGTGATGCAAGAAAGGGAATAGTGAACTCACTATGATGCGCTGCCAAGCATGACAAGTTTTTTTCGTGGTTCTGAGTCGCGTATTCCGCATGACAAACTGCGTTTTTGCATGACAGGGGGGAGGAGCTCTTCGCGGCCATGCAACACAGGATTCAGAGTCATGCCAGACTAGCATGACAAATCTCGCAATCTCCCAGACCCAGACATTTTTGCATTTGATACGATCGCAGGGTGAACTAGACAAGCGCACGCCATCCAACGCGGGTCCTGCGGGGTGATGATAGCAGGCTGCTGGTGGGAAATAAATCTCTTTGCAGTGGTGGGAGAAGCTGTTGAAAAATTCGCGGATGAGGATGAGAACCAGTTCATCATCTTCGGAGTGGAAGTGGATTTAGATGTTGGGGAAAGCGACAGCGCCGCGGCCAGCTGGTCGTGCAAAGAGGAAGATGGAGGAAACGTATTTGTGCCGCTTCCTGCCCCCAGTAATCCTCCTCCTCCTCTGGTGGACTGCTGGCTGGCGAGCGCGGTCGACCGAAAACCGCTGGAGGCACCGGCAGAAAAAAATCGGTGATCGTCATTTGCTGAGTTCTTCTTCATCTCTGCCACAGTTACAGCTTCCAATTGTTCCACCTCGTCGCGCGAGACCCCAAAAACTTATGCATTGCAAAAATGTCTGGGTCTGGAAACTTGTGATGCTGGTTGGCGAATCCTGAGGACGCCACAAGTGACTGCTCAGCATGACAAGTTTCTACCTTGCTAGATGTTGCGTATTCTGCATGACAAACCGCGTTTATGCATGACAGAAAAGTGGGGCATTTGGGTAACGAGCATGACAGACTTTGGGGTCATGCTAGCACAGCATGACAGACCTTCCATTCTTCCAGACCCAGACATTTTTACAATCCATAAAATTTTCTTCCGCGCAATTGCCGCTTTCTCCGTCCGCACCTGCATCAGCTTCCCGTTGCAGATCCGGGTCCAGTCGCGCCGGAGAGCTTCCTCGTGGTCCGCAGTGGACAACAATCTCCGCTGCTCCGTGGTCACTTTGTCCAAGTCCGGTCCGTCGAAGGAAATCCGCCTGACGTGTGGGCCCTGCCGCCTTGCGGACTTGCCGAACCGGCCGTGCTCGACGGAGAACGTCTTGATAATCTCGATATCAACTGCAAATATGTCTGGGTCTGGAAGGTTGGAAGACTTGTCATGCAGGTTTTCCATGGCGCGTGAGGTCTGTCATACATGACCCAGCATGACAGATTCTCCCCGACCTCTATCATGCCTCGTCTGCCTGAGAAACTCCCTCTCAGCTTGGTCAGAAGTGGACAGCTTTTGGTAAGATTGCAACACAGATTTTCGCACTATCCAGAATTAGCATCACAAGTTGCGTTCTTCCAGACCCAGACATATTTGCAATGCATACTCGACCCAGTTGGCCAATTCCAGTTCCGGGCAGATTTTGTCGACTTTGCAACAGGAGTAGTACGCCTGGGAGTCCTATGGAGTGCAAATCTCTCTGGATGTCTGGAAGGATGCAACTTGTGATGCTGCCTTTCGATTCTAGAAAAAACCTGTATTTTTGCATGGGCAGCGAGGGGAGTCCAGTAGCTGCTACGCGGAGGGTGCATTTCTCATGCGGTATAGGCAACATTAGGAAGCCCTCACAAAACCTGTCATGCTCGAGCATACATCACAGACATCATGGGTCATGCAAAATGTGCATGACCAACCTTCCATTCATCCAGACCGAGACATATTTGCGGTCCATAAGTCCAGTTGAATCGAGAGCCGCTTCATGTTCGGCTGCAACTGCCGGGCCGGGAGGGTGATCAGCGGTTTCATCGAGGAGGTCGTCTTGCCGGATATGCATCGCAAATATGTCTGGGTCTGGAAGAATAAAACCTGTTATGCTAAATCTGAATCATGCAAAAATCTGTGTTGCGTGAGTACCAAAAGCTGTCCGCTTTTGACCGAGTTGAGAGGGAGTTTCTCGTGCAGGAAAGACATGACAGAGACCTCAAAGAGTCTGTCATGCTGGGTCTCGCATTCCAGACCTCTACCTCATAGGTCATGGAAAATCTGCATGACAAGTCTTGCAACGTTCCAGACCTAGACATTTTTGCAGTTGATACCGGATGCATTGGTACAACTGGTGGAACAAGAATTCGACATATTTGCAACCTGCTGCACCACTCCTCCACTACCACTACCACTACCACTACTCCCCCCGCGCGCCCGCCCGCTGTGCGAAGTACTGGCTTTCCCCGGGGGACGCTTGGTCAGCTATGCATTGAAAAAGTATCGCACTCGTATAAATGCATTACAAATTTCCGCAGGATGAAAAATGAAATTTGTGATGCGGATTTGACTTAACAAAAAGATATGTAATGCATGATTGCAATACGAATACGATACTTTTGCACAGCATATCAGCAGCATGGCCACCATCACCTCGGAGGAAAAGGTGTCGTGAGGTTGTTCAACATAGTTGTCCCCGGATAACGCCTGCGCAGACTCCACTGGGTTTTTGATCCGCTGGTACAGCTTGAAGAAATCCGGGCGGACCTTAGATGTTGTGCAAATTTGGCATGACAAATACCTCTTGTTGTGCATTCCAGCATGACAAATTTACACCAACACTTCCCATCAACAAATTATACCTCTATCGGCAGCCGGTCATACACGTGAGCACAGGGCGCGGGCATGTATCAAATGCAAAAATGTCTGGGTCTGGAAGATTCGGGGAGTTTCTCATGCAGATTTTACAGGGCCTGCAATGTCACTGATGCATGCTCTAGCATCACAGGCTTCATCGCGAAGGCTTGCTCATGCCTGTCCTGCATGAGAAAAGGTCTGAACAGCTTTGGAAAAGGTCTGAACAGCTTCTGCTGGTCATGCAATACAGGTTTTTGTATAATCGAAAGCTAGCATCACAAATTCCATATTTTCCCGATCGAGACATATTTGCGATGCAGAGCATGGTGAAGGTCGCAATCCCCAGGTCCCGGCGGAAGCAGACTTGCGAGCTCACCAGCTCCGCCTGCCCGCGACGCAGAAACCGGCCTATTACGATGAAAAATGCCCCCACCCAGGAATTTGCAGAAGTTTGTCACGCATAAGGTTTTCAAATGAAGAACTTTTTATCTATGCATGAAAGGATTGCGAGCGTTTCTGATGCAGAATCTGGGTGCGCATCAAGGTGCCTTGTGCATAACAGATCCGGCTGCTGTTAGGCTACTTCGCAACACAAATTTGACCTATTCAGCATGGACAATTTGTCATGCTGAGATATGCAAGACGGGGAATGTTTCTGTTGGAAAGGTCTGCACTACAAATGCTGCCAAGCTGGGGGTGGGGGCATTTTTCATTGTAATACGGCCGGTTTTGAGTTCGCAACTGCGGTCATACCGCTGGTTCTCGTCGAGCTCGCCGAGTTGGAACGGGGATATGGAAGCGTCAGGATCGAAATCAACAAAATCGAAATAATTTGTGATGCATAAAATCGATACCAGTTGGAGCCTCAGTTTCCAACTGGCGCATGACAAATTTTGGGAGCACCAAAATCCAATCTGTCACGCTGCTACTCTGGCAGTACATGTTTAGGGATAAACAGGCTTGCAATCGGACTCATTTGCCTCCTCTCCAACACAGGCCTTATGTACCCTGCATTTTATGCATTACATATTTTTCGACTTGGTCGATTTCGATCCTGACACTCCCATAGGCGATGCTCCGGAGGTACAGAAAGCTCCTTCCTGGGGCACCCGCAACGCCCGCACGGATGCAGCCGACATGGTATACTTACTTTTGACCTTCCTCCGACGCGTCCGAGTAGAAGAGCAATAGAAACTTGTTTTTCACAGGTCTGCCGCATACTAGACGTGCGGACGCATAATTTAGGAAGATTTGATAATTGATAGCGTGGGCACCACTTGAGAGACACTCAGACACAGACCTCAACACACAGCTGCTCGATGGACTCTCGCTACTGGCTAGAAAGACAATCTAGCACAAGCTTCTTCGGTACTGACTAAAAAGACAAATAAAACAGCGCCCGGTGGACGCCGGAGCTGTAGCTACGAGCCCCTCTTGGAGCCCTATCATCTGGCCGCCTCTAAGCTTTCCCTTTTGACTTTACAACGCTCCGCATGATTCTTCGTCGCTTCATCACTCTGTCTTGTATGAATTCCGCGCCCGGTCGGGCGATACGGTAATCAATCGCTGCGTTCTGCGTTTTGCGAAGCAAAAACCGCGACGACGCGCATATCGGCGGCCGCGCGCGAAAACGGGGCTGCGGCCCAACGGCCGCGACCCCGTTCCACTCTTTTTCCTGCTCACAGCCTTCTTCTTGAGCCAGAGAGGAATATTAGCCCCAGGGCGCTGCAAAGAGTGGGACGGATCAAGGGCGCCCCCTCAAGGGGCGGGTCGGGGCTCGGTCGGGCTGCGCGGGGGCGGTCGCGCGCAACTCCAAAAACTTTGGCGCGCCATACCATCGCGCCCCATGTTACCCAGGACAGCAGCGACGTTAATCGGCGGCGTGGCCTTCCACGCGCTCGCTTCCGAGAACCTTCCCGCCAGCTCCTGTGCCAGTGGGGCGGCAGAGTGGAGCACGTTCTGCAGGCGCGGAGGTAAAAAAACCTGCAGCGGCGAGGAAAGTGGCCGCATCAACGTGGCTGACATCCCGCAAACCCGGCTGCTGAGGACCTTGGCCTCTTCATCGGTCGAGGGTCCCTTCAGAACAGGCACTTCGGCGCGCAATGCGCAAGCGTTGACGTCCCAGAGGAGCGCTTTGGTCTCCCCCGTCGCGGAGTCCCCCTCTGTCAGCGCCTTTCCGTTCACCGAGTTGGAACGGCGATGCTCCGGAAGTAGAGAATATTAATGCTCCACCTTCCTGGGGCGCGGACCGCGACGACGCCCGGAGGAAAGCAGGTGCCGACATTCTTTATGCGTCTCTTGGCTAACGCTGTAGCTTATTTGGCGGAATTCTCATTCTAGTAAGCCCAGATAGAAGGAAGTAAGTAATTTATCTTGCCCTCTCAACATGATCACTCGACAGCAACAGACACTCGCGATCACAGATCGTCCTTGAACGTCGCACGACTCAATCACATCGCAGGCACGGCAAACAGCTACTGTGAACACTGTGGCAATGGTTTTGCGCGGGAAGAGAAAGTTCGTCAACCTGCTTGCAACGTTTAGAAAATGATTTCGCCTTGTTGCGTCAAAGGACTTAATGGCGAATCCGATGGGTCTGAAACGCGTGTGGGAATAAACAGAAACAGTTGGAAAATCTGATTTCTTTTCAGCATCGCACTCTTTTCTAGGAATAATTGCGCATCATGATGAAAAAGTGCCACTGCACTTATCACGTAAAGCTTCTCAAGGAAAATTATTCTCGCCTCGTCAATGCTGCCGGACATCCGCAGAGTGCCGCACGGACCGTCGCCGGGCCATTTGCTTCCCCGGCACGTCGTGTGGGCGCCGGCGTCCTTCCCAGGAGATCGTTGTGGCGTAGTCCGTTAGAATGGTCTCTGAATATTCGGGATACCGCTCCCGGGCGCGCGAACACCGGTAGTTAATCAGCATCCCCGTGTACGGCTTGAGACCCAGGTTCAGCAACTGATTTCGCATATACTGGGCGACAAGGATCAGGAAGGAGAGCTGGCCTGGGTGAGTAGTTGTTTGGCATGAATAGGTCAGATTGTGGTTTTCGAAACAAGCTGTTTCGAAAGATGATGATGTTGAACTCTCTGAAATATAATTGATGACTCGCGTTCTTCCAAACTGAATCTGCATTCGAAAACAAAAATCTCACCTATCAACGGTTCCATCCACTGCCACGCAAAGCTCCCGACTTCCAGCCAGGTCTCCAAATCCTTCGGCTCTGGAACGTCGGCCGTGACATAGACCTCGTTGAACCACAACACCGCTTTATGGTGAGCAAAAACGTCCCCACCCCAGAGTCAAGACGACAAATCTGCTACACAAATCAACCAGCTTTGGCAGTTGCGCATGAGAAATTCGGGCTCGCAATGTAGTCGTGTTTAGCTAGTCAAGCAGCATCACAGATCTAGCATACCATGCGGATCTGAGCATCACAAATCGCGAAACACCAATAGAAACTGCTTCCCATAGGACTCCGCACGACAAACATTTTCAGCATGCAGATTTGCATTACAACTCTGGGGAGGTGGGGACGGTTTTACAAATGATACGTTTCCTTGTGGAAAATGAGCGGCACCGTGCTGAAGCCAAACATGCCCGCCAACAGCATCCCCCCCTTGTACGGGAGCAGCCCCAAGTGGCGATAATATTGAGAGGAAAAATCTCCCCCCCCATATTGAAAAGGCATGCTTCCGAAAATTTCTGTTGCTGATTTGAGGTCACAAATGACATTTGTTTTGCAAGAAGACAAGGGCAGAAGCTTCCCCCCCATTGTGGAAGCGATTTGTCATGCTGCTGGGCCTAAAGCGGAGCCGCTTGCCATGCTGAAAAACTAGACGCATACGCCCCTCCCTAGCCTGGGGATCTGACCGCAATGCTTTCCTGCAATACAAAGCTGATTTGTGTACCCAAATCCAGCATCAGAAATTTCGTTTTGATATGGGGAGGGGGGATTTTTCCTTTTGATAGATAAATGGTTTTCCCCCCGATAATGTGCTCCTGCATCTCCAGCAGCCGCCGCACCGCCTCGGAGTAGTCAATGCAGTCCACACGCATAATCTCCCGGATCATGCGCTCTTCGTTCGCGTCGTGGATGCCTTTCGGGCCGCAATGCACCCACAGGGTCACGTTATCGAGCTCGTGCCAATCCCGGGGCATCTGCTGCGCCTCCTCGAAGGTCGGGAATTTGCCGCCGAGCCGCGTCTGCTTGCGGAACGGCTGTTTCTTACTAGGTCGGGCATGCTGTAGCTCTTTTTTATCATGATGATCTGGAGAATTTATTGCGTTGTGGTCCCGCTGCTCATTGGCAAAATTCGAGAACTGCCGGAGCTGTTGTTGTGATGCGGATCGTAATAAACTGCGGTAGAACGGGTGTTGCTGCTGCTTTATGATCAGGGATTGATCCCCAAAAGCGCCAGCGTAATTAGAAAACTCACACCATCGAGGTCGCGGTGGCCTGTGGCAGAGCGAAGGAGAGCGCGCGGCTCCGTTCTGCGGCGGTGTCTGCACGGCGCTATTGGCTGTAGTTGTTACCGACCGCAGCTGAGACCTGAACGTCGCTGCGACAAGCTGTTGCGGTGCGGAGCCGGCGAAAACAAAATTGCTATTCAATGGTGCAGGGGAAGATTTGGAAGAAAAAGCTGAATCTATTGAGGGGTAAGTGCGGGGAAGTAGTGCCTTTGAGTGTTCTAATCGCGGAGCGCGCGAAGTAAAATTTCGAAACAGGGACTGCATGGCTGCGTTGCTTCAGAAAGCACAAAAATTGCGACCACTTTAGGGAAAATGAAGGTAGTGGTAATCGGGTAATAATTTTCCTTTGTGGCTAACAAAAGTTTTTATAAATATCGTAGTTGCTTCTTAATTTTATTTTTTCTTCACAGGGACTCCCATGTTGCCCTGTGCACAAGAAATGCATAGTGAAGTACGAATGACGCATCAATCATCGGCAAATCAGCGGAAAGAGTGGCGTTCTCCTGGGCTCAGCGTTTCGTTATTCAACCGAATCAGAAAACCAAACCGAAAAAAATCTGCACATCGGCAACAAACAACCGCGCGGCGTTTTCCGTGAGGAAAGAAAGAACCGAAGCTGCTTGCGCTCACAGAGCAGAGAGGTTTAAATTCATTGGGCGAGAACCGATACAGCAGTTCTGGGCTTCTTCAATTCAAAACCGAGAGCAGAAAAGTGCTTGGATATGCGAATACAAGCTTGCAACGGAACTTGCAATCCGCGAACAGCTGTCTAAGTAATTCGCTGCCTCCGCACGCCGAGTTCCCTACGCCGAGTTCCCCGCACGTCGAGGTCCCCCGAATCCGCCTTGTACAGCGGCACAACCGCCGCTCGCGCCTCGCCCCCCCCCCCCCC